GTCTTCTGGATGGAACAGAAGGGCACAAGAGTCAAAGGGGTTGTGTTAAACTTAGCAGGAGCTGGTGTATCAGCTTTTTTTTGATTGCTGGATCTTCAGTCATCCTGCTGGTAGGCACTTTCTGCCTCCTGTTAGTGCTGCTCCTTGTTCATTTCAATGATCCATGCCTTTCATTCCTTGTATCTCTTCAAGATGTTAAAGCCAATGTCAGCAATCATTATAGTATAAGAATAGAGTACCCTATTCTTCAGATATTCTATCAGGCATCTGTCATTCTTAGTGTAGTTGATGAGCCTGGCTAGTTTGGTGAGTCATTCAAACTTATCAAAGTACTTGATGGCTATTTTGTCCCCTATTTGAAGATTCTTCATTTTCTGTTTGTGGACTTCTTAGATGGTCAGGTCAATGAATTTGTTGCACACCATTTGTTTGAATATGGGCCAGAATAGCAAGCAGTAGTGCTCTCTGGTTATAAAATAAAGGTCTCAGCTCTTTAAGATCTACTAGACCTTAGCCTTGTCTTCAAAATAAAACATCACAAAGACAACCTGATAAATATCAGCAGACAGGTAGGCAGAATATACTTCAAAGTATTGCTTACAATTGATTAGAAAGTGATCAATGTCATCAGATTGCCCCTTAAAGAGTCAGGATTTTCATATAAGGTCTGATTTGCACTATATAAGAACCAAATCAGAGGTGAATGGTCTCATCAGGTTTGAGTAATCACTAAAGGGCAGTACTTTCTGATGTGAGGTCAGAAAAGAGTGAAGAGAGTCATCATAAGCAACAGGGCTCTCAGGAATTCCTTTTTCTGGCTTTCTGATGATCCTTTCATTGACAACAGTGAACCCTTGTCTGATGGCCTCAGGATCATCTCCTTCCACCTATCCACTGGTTCCAGCTTTATCAGGAGGAGGTTGCCCTCTCATTAATCAGTTTCTCTTCAGCTTCCAGAGATATCTGATCAGATTCTCAGCTGACAAGGTTTGCAGCTTCCATCAATAAGTGGAGATCATGCCAGTGGTTCAGATTGTCAGTGCCAAGTATTTAGCCCACTTAAAAGAGATGGATGATGTATTTGGCATTGGTCAGATGCTGAACCATGATTAATACTCTGGTAGTGTGGCCAGAGGGTCTTTGGAATGCTGTTGGTTATATAGATGAATAGCTTATTCTATTATAGCATACTGTAAAATGTCAATTTGTTCTTCTAGACTCAGTAAACTTCTTTCTGAGTGGGATCATTTGCTACTTTAAGTCTCAAGTAACCTTGTAAACTCTCTCCTGATACAGTTGTTTAAGCTCTTTTTCCTGTTCTCTTTGTATTTCTTCTTCTAATAATTTCTTGTCTTTGAGTTTAGCAGAGTCCCTAGAATAATCAAAGATTTCCAGAAGGAGATCATCCACTCTATAGTCCTTGCTGTCCTCATCAGAGGAGTTGTTGTGCAGGTTGAAGGTGGATGACACTCAGGGTTTCACTATTGCAAGCAAGCTATTCTTGGATGCTAGATCTGAGATCAGCAGAAGTGAGAGATTAGAGAAGGAGTTCTTTGGTGGACTCCTCTCAGCCTTCTGCTACCTCTACTGCTATATGATACTCTTGAAATCAGTTAGTATTCTGCTTATTAAGGAGTACTCCAGCAACTCAGTCTTGAATGAGTCACTGGATGATCAATTCAGAGATGTGGATTGATGGTGAGGGATAGATTCTATAGGTGGAGAGAAGAGTTTCAGAAGTTTAGAAAAGAGAAACTTCTCATAGTGAGAGGAGAGATTCTGTTCTAGGCCAGCTTGGCTCTTGGAATGAGCTTGGTGTATCACTTTGGTTTCTATATCTTTTATAATTTCTCCTTCTGTGATTCTGTCTTTGGGCTACATCTTCATATTAGTTTTTATAATAGGCTTCTTCTGTGCTGTGCCATGCATCAGACTCAGATTGAGTCCTGACTGGCTAGGCTTCATGCTCCTGGGCAATAATATGTTCTTTCTCTTCAACACCAGCTCAGCTTTCTATTGGTCTAGCTTCTTAGGTGAATTCCTCCATCTGCTCAGTGACTCAGTCAGGTATTGGGCTTCCTGATGGGCTTTCTGCAGACTCAGATGGGTTGGTATCCTTGACTCTCAAGTGCTCAGAGGTTTCATAAAAGGAGTCATGAGCCAAAGCCAATTGGGTGGCATTAAGGGAGTCTCAAGCAATTCTGCCAATTTCATGAGTAGAAGAGGTGGTAGAAGAGTCAGGAGACAGTCTCTTCTCAAAGAAGTCACTGGGGAGATTCTCATCCTCATGGTTCAGGACCAGAGAGAGATTTGGCAGATCATGATAGATGACATGTCAGTCATATCTTCAGGGACTCCTAAGGAGATAGCTTCTTTCTAATCCTGTCAGAAGAGATTCTGAATTTAAGACATCAGAGATGGTTTCAGGTATGGTTCTCTGCATAGGCTTATTGGTGATTCTGGCAGATTCTGGAGGGAGGTTATGGAGAGAGAGAATGAGTATAACATTTCTGATTCAGCAGTAGATTGTTTGGAGCTCATGGTAATATCTGATTACCTAAGCAGTGACAGATTAGTTTTCTCAGCAGAGATAGACAATAACAAAGAGCCTGAGCAAGATGCCAACAATGGTGCTCAAGAGCTTAGCAAAGTCAGAGGTAATATTGCAGATTGATAGCATTCAGTTTTCTTTGCCACAAATATGCATAAGAAAAGGGAAGCAGGAAGCTTTGAGCTAACTGTTAGATCTAGCTGACACATGATCTAAACATGTGATAAACTAGCACTGCATCACATTCATACAGTCACACTAGAGTCCTCTTAGTGTGTTTTAATAGGTGAAGTGCTGTCAAGGCCAAAGACAGACAAGGCTCAAGAGAAGATAGTATGGAATAAACTTATAGCTCAAAGCTGAACTACTATAGTGAGAGCTATCCTACTTATATACTGTCTAGCTATGATAAATATAACTGTTTTCCTATTGTACTGTTCTGTGCTGTGCTGCTTGTTCTGTCTAGTCATCAGAGAGTAGACAATAGGGAATTGTTCAAAGATGAGGTGACCAAGTATAATAGTGCATATTATTGTGATTATTTAATCTTCTCACACTTGCAAGTAGGCATTCAGATAAGATAAACACTCTGATAAGATAAGAAAAAGATGATAAAATAAGAAAAAATTATAACAATTGAATAGTCTTCTCAGACAAACTGTCTAACCTCTTGACAGGTAATCCATAACTCATAATGGATCATATATATATGAAGAATCTTATGTCAACCTTCTAATTCTAGTATCTAATAGCACTCATACATGTGGTGCCTGGGTAACCTAATTTGACTTGTACTCTAGAGGCAGATTTCTCTATAACCTTATATGATAGGTTGAACACCAGTCAACCAATTAGATAGCCTTTTTATGGCACTTGTGCAATAATCACTTGTACTTGGGCTTTATCACTGATCTCAGGATGGTGCCATGTCTCATGTGATCTGAGACTCTGTATCTGCACAGATGAGCAAGGCAATTAAAGGAGATTTTCTTTTGTCTCACCATCAGAAACTCCCTTATATGGAAACACATATAACATATAGAGCAGTCTCCTGAAAAAAAAACTGCTTGGATACATCAATCCATCTACAAGAACTACTACTAACATAGCAGGAATATGAATGTTACATATTTACATAATTTAGAGATGAAAACAGTTGGTATTGGCTGAGTACCAACTGCAAGGTCAACTCAATTAATGAGACAGCAGATCACTCATTGTGTCAAGCACAGCTGGGCTCTGTTTGACACAACAAGTGATCTGCTGTCTTATCAATTGAGTCAACCTTGCAGTTATTATGGGTACTCAGCTAATGTCAACTGTTTTTGCCTCTCAACATCACTCTGTTGCTGAGATTTCCAGGGTCTGATCACCTCACCGATGGCCTTCTCTGTACCTACAATTGCCATTCAATGCACAGACCTGGGAGGAAAGCCCAGACTATATATCAAGACTGTATCAATGTGCCTATACCCCACCTTCAATATCATTCAGTTCACGAAACAGAAAAGGTCGGTGAGCTCACCTGAATCGCCGTCAGTATCCAATCCTTCGTTGCATCACATGCCTCAACCGTCATTCCACTCGGACCACCACCAATACCTAGATATATGAGCGAAAAATCACTGTATGCAGGTGTACTAACCTGTGATTGGTATCTTCGTACCGTTGTTGAGCTCAACGAGGGGAATTGGAGGCATCGAAGTGACTGAGGATTCTCTATCACCTGAGAAGGATGCTTTGTATGCATGGATTCCGGGTCGAGATACAGATGACAAAAGATAATTCCGTCAATCTAGTTGATAATGGCTGCGCATCTCCGGACAGAGATTGAATTGAACTCGTCTCGGCTGCCAGCCCGACGTCTCGTTAATTTTGGGTTAATTCTCTTTCTTGCAATTGAATTTCATTTCAGAGAATCTCTACAGTTTCTCGTTGCTACGGTGCTAGTCTTGCCTATGCTTCTGCGATCGGTCACGCTTCGATGATTGCTCAATGCTGACCACTAGGTACTACTCTTGCTACACCATTTTGTTTCATTCCTTGCTCATGGTAAGGTTTAAATTGGCTGGCTCCAGCATTCTAAACTTATCACAGATTTACCAGCAATAACCAGACATGTCGACTGTCCGGTCGCAGGCAACCTTGAAGCAGCTGATTTCAATGAAGGTAACTACCATATTCTGCTCTCATTCTTGCAGATAAAGAGCTTTGGAGTTTTTTTTTAGATTCCTGGCCTTTCGATGGCGGGTTCTCGAGGCTGCCTATCACTCAGAAGTACAATCTAGCACAGAGGTGAGGAGTCTGAGCTCGAGATATCAGCCTCAAGGCCACAACGCTTGAGTTTGTTCTTCGTTCTTCGTGTCCGATATGCTCTCAAGTCCAAGAACACAACACAATGGCCGCATTTTAAATATATGATAACGGCACATGCAAATCACTTGATCACAGTTATCTCATCCTGGATTGACCGGGGTGAGATTCTCGGCATGAAAGGACGCGCGTCGAGGTCGAGCTACCTTTCCGGGGATAGTCTTTTCTCTCCAACCATAGCATGCCTGCGGTCCAGCAACACCCTGACACAAAAATACTGGTAACTGGAGTGAATGGTTACATTGGCTCCTGGATTGCTCGGTCCTTGCTTGAACGGGGGATAGCTGTTCTGGGTGCGGTGCGGAGCGAAAACAAGGGTAGGCATTTGAGAGAGCTCTTTGCTTCCTACGAGGAACGATTCCAGCTTGTTCAGGTACCCGACATTATGGTGGTGCGAACTTCTCGTTCATTCATGATATACTTTCCATGAACTGATTCACTTGACAGGATGGTGCATTCGATGAAGCCGTTCTGGATGTGGACGGTGTCATTCATACAGCTTCACCCGTCGTATTGACTGCCGTGGATCCAGGAGGTGAGATATTTCAACTGGCCTCATTTCCTTTTGCTCAGTAAACACTCGAATTAGAGGTTATTGGACCAGCCATGAAGGGTACGCTTGGCTTACTGACTAGCGTCGCCAAGTTCGGGTAACCATGTCCCGTTTATCTCCCGACGAAATATATTAATTTTATTCGACTAGAACAAACGTTCAGCGCGTGGTCGTCACATCATCGTGCACTGCCGTCTTCCACTTCCCCTCCGAACCCACGGTCTTCTCCGAGACGGATTGGAACGAGCAAGCAGTCAAAGAAGTCGAGGAGAAAGGAAGTAATGCCTCTTTTGCTGCAAAGTACTGTGCGTCTAAGACTCTGGCGGAGAAAGGTTAGTAGTGATCCTCATACTCGATTTCCAGGGTGCTTATCCGGCGAATACAGCTGCCTGGGATTTCTTTAATGAGAGCAAAGGCACATTACCTTGGGACCTCACGGTTATAAACCCACCGAACGTAAGTTCCTGCCCCAGCATAATAATTAAATCTCATCTCTTCGACCCCTCTTCTTAGGTCCACGGTGTGAGCTCTCGCTCTTCTTTCCTTTTTATTTTTTCCACACTCACCAAACACATCAGCCTTTCATCAACGAAGTCCCGAACCCCCAATCCCTCGGGTACGCCACCAACGAATGGTACAACATCGTTGTCCGCGGGGACATGAGTGCCGAAGACATGACATCCAAAGGGCACTGCTGGGTCGACGTGCGTGATTTGGCGGAGGCGCACATCAGGGCGCTGTTCGTAGATGCTGCGGGGGGTGAGAGGATCATCGTGTCCGCGGGTCCGTATGTATGGCAGGATTGGCGTGAGTGTTTCATCTCTTTCCTTTCTGTACATCAGAGACTTACATGTGCGCGAAAGTGGATGTTGCAAACTCTTTGGCTATGCAGTCACGAAGGCTACCTGTAGGCGTGCCGGGCGCTGGAGCGGGGGCCCAATATCTGATGAGTTATGATACGGGAAAGCAAGAGAGGATATTTGGGCTGGGTTTTAGAACGAAGGCGGATACTGCGAGGGATGTCTTGAACCAGTTCGCGCACCTTGGGTGGTGAATCTCCTTTATAAGTATCACTACGAATCGCATGTATTTTATTTTTGGATGCAAATTTGAATTCATGGCGAAAATATTTGACAACTGATCTCGAAAGCAATCAGAGTAAAGACAAAGAATAGATCCAGAAATCGTCCCTGCGAAGCCACCGCTGAACCATGGCCAAAGATTCTTTCGGCTTATCGTCAGGGACCTGAAGAAATCAAATTAATCGTCCTCTTTCACACTCAGACTTGAGAGAAACATACGAGCCATATACCCCGCTCCATCAACAGTAGCAAATGTCAACCATTTCGTGCTCCGGATCTTCCCAGCAGGTTTCTCATCGACATACCACTCCCTCAATTCCTCCCTCGCAAACTCCCTCTGCCCACTCTGCCCCAACGCGATCGTCCACCGCTCGTTCCCAACCCAATTACATATCCAATCATACGCACCCACGTGTATGAGCACCCTTATGCCGCGTTCGAGAAGGGCGGAGACGTAGTCCTTGGTGGGGTGGAGAGCATCCTGGGCAGAAGTTGTTCCCTACATCGTGGTTGCACGACGTGAAATTGGCAGTTAGGGAGGGATCGACACCGAGGAGGGTGCGGATGGCGGGGTCGTCGAGGTATTGGAGGATCTATCTAGGAGTGAGGGTATTAGACAAGGGGAGAATGAGGAGGTTAGGTGATGGACTTTGTCATTGGGTAGCACAGCGTCACGGAGATGTCCCCGTCGCATTTGCGGCTCATGTCGTATGGGTTAATGCCTAGGAATGCTTAAGAGAAAACTGGAGACTCTGAGACTGTGTACCGGTTTGTCGGTGAGGGGCGCTGAGAACGGAGCTGCAGAAGGAGTATGCAGCTCATGGAGTCCAATTGGTCCACGCAGGATTGGGTCATCCATTTTTTGCATCTTGGGAGCTGACGAGACTGTAAGAGCAGCTGGCAAGGTATAAATGGATGTATGCATACTGCGGGTTTCATGTAAACGCAGGTTTTGATATCTAGGATTGGCGGGACGGAGGCTGCGGTGCATTGCACGTCGAAGTAGGATAGAAGCATTGTTATACTATCCGTTATTCCGTTTCCTTGTTGAACAACTATGAGCTCTGGGACTAGAGGAGAGCATAGGTACATCATTACAGACGCGAGGTTGATAGGTGTCTGACTAGCGGCCAAGAGCTTGGTTTTCGACCAGGTTTTTCTCGCCCAGCATTGCGGTGTATGTTCTTGAATCCAGTTCGAGAGCTAGCCGCCGGGAGAGGCAGGCGAAGATTTATTACGATGAAAGCTCTAGGGCGGTAAATGTTGGATTAGCAAGCAGGAGCTCCGTCGTATCCCGCCGGCCAAGCTCGATACCCCTTTATGTCGGGATGGACTATATATATTGAATACGGTCTGTCGAGCACCCTCACCGCGTTTCTGCTTATCGCTACGCTGTGTGAGGTCTACGTTATAGCTAACAGCATAATCTATTAGGTGCTACAAACGCGCGTCACTTTCTTAGAGTAAAGTCCCCTGGCTGTTGGCATAGAGGCTTCACTTGGGCGAGGATGGTACTCTTCACGTCCTTGCCACCAAAATCGTAACGTCCACCCCAGCTACAATACATATGAGAATCGATAAGCCTTGAGATGGAGGCGAACTGACAGAGGTCGACCCATATGGACAACACACTCGAGTTCCGTGACTTCAGCTAGTGTTTGAGCACCTATCTTCCCCACTTGTCGTCCAGTCATCAAGTGGTCGAATCCAAGGTCTGTGAACGGAGGCACGGACCGCAACGTGACTTCAAAGATCCGTTGATGCGAGCCTACCAATCGCGTCTGGGCAGGTGGTGAGATGCGTCCCAAGATAGATACAAAGAACGAGAACAAGTTTGTGTATCGAAGCCTGGAGAGCACACGTTCAAGGATAGAAAGGTTGGATTCCTGTCGTAGCTGTGGGTCGAAATATTTTTTTCCAAGTAGTGCGCTTCGTCCCACATGATATAGATCTTTTGGCATGGGCTCCATCGTAAGGTGCGACATATCCGAGGCGTCGCATATTGCATCTTCTAAATCTTGGTAAGCCCCCTCGAGCTCAGTGGCATCGATGGAGGGTGAATATTTCTAGACTGTCGAGCAATGATATATGGATCATTGAAATGAAAATTTATATTTTCCCTCGTTGCGGCGACAACATCCTTGAAGAAATTGGTCCGAAAAACATTGGGTCCGCTTGTTGACTGGCCGTCGGTCATACAGGTACGAAATGCATACGCAAGCGTCCTTGAATCATTCGAAGATTCCGATTTGAGCATGTTGACCACATCTTTCGTCCGACGAAATAGTGCAAGCAGGAACCTGCACATATCCTGCAGGGAGTTGGCCTCTGGTCAGATATGAATAGACCTAGCACGGGGAGTATCGGCATTTCGGCATCTGTCGCCAAGAATGCTACCTGCATACGCCGGTCTCCTTGGAAAGGGACAAGGTGCAATATTATTTTGGTAAAACAAAACCCGGGCTGACGTCTTTAATTTACGTATTTATTTACGTACATGCGTGTATAAAGCACGTGTCATTTCCTCTCCTTACACCATCACAACGCCTTCGACCAGGGCGCGATGTCTCTGGAAAGCCCTACAATGCAGTCGTCAGCGGAAGTCTGGTACATGAAAGAAATACGTTTCGGAACAGAGCCATCAAGACGGCCCATAAGGATTATCACCCAGAATTTCAATGGGTGTGTCGATCGAATTTCGTTTTCTTGTCTGTATTCTCAGTTGTTTTTATCCAGGCCGTGTTCGTTCATTGCTATATGTACGACGCACCCCATATTCTGCAGCTTAAGCTAAACCAAATACCAATAGGCAACATCCTAATCCTACGCGGAAACATCACCATTGAACCTCCAGACCGACAAGCAGTCTCTTACGAACACCTCTGCCAGCTCGTGGCCGAATACCTTTTACTCAACTGTCCAGATGTCGACATTTCGTCTGCCCTATCTATCATGCCTTACACTCAAAGTACGTTCCAGTTCATACCAACCCGTGTCCCATTCATTAATTCGGTAGGAAGAGGGCATGGACCTGAACCCGTTGTTTACCGCTGCAACGTCTTTCCGTACTGGTGCTGGCGAGCTGAAGCTGTTTGAGCAGGTTGGTATTGAGCTCGTGCATGGATGGCTCGTCGATCCGGAGAGTCCTGAAGCAGAAGTGTTGACGAGGACGGCTGGCGATTATGATAGCGCGGCGATGCTTATTGCGGATGCGGATCATACTGCAAAGGGACAGCTCGTCGTCGGTGATAGCGACGAGCCGCAAGCAGGGACATCAGGGAGCGCGACTCTTAGTGAAGAAGATAGGCAGAAGATCGAAGATGGTACGTGGCTGAGCTTGTTTTAAGAATCTCATGCAAACCCCCTGTCAATCCCAGCTATCGTGGTTCGGAGATTCCTCGACAACACGCGCTCTCAGCTGACCTACCATGGTTTGTTCACTCTCGCTAACACTGTCCGACCGGGTATACTTGTCGCTCTTTATCGGAATCTACACCTATCCGTCTTGTACAAACACGAACAGGCACTGTATTCCCTCGTGACGGACTTTGTGTTCCTGAAGGAGCCCTCGGTGGTGTGGGAGCGCCTGGAGGATGTCGATGGGGGCTCCTCGACGTTTGTCGACTCAGATTTTGTGCGGGCGAGTCCGGCCGGAGGTGATTTCGCAGGACAGACGGCAGAGGAGATCGTTCACGCGGAAAGTTATGCGCCGTCGGATCTGGCGCTCGCCCAGCAGCTGCAAGCTGAGGAGCATAATCGGGCTCGGTACGAACGGGAGTTGTACGAGCGGGATTTGGCGATGCGTCAGGCTGAGATGGTAACAAAGAAGGACAAGCGGAAGGGAAAGAAGGGCTGTCTTATCATGTAGAGGATAGATGGCTGTTACTTGTAATTGTAGAAGGTAATGCATTTCTTCTCCAATTGGTTTGTTTCTTTCTCTCAATAGCAGCACATAGAAACTCGCCTCCACTTCCATCAGAGATGTGCATGCACGCAGAGTATCTGTGGTTCGAGAGCGCAGAGCTGGAGAAGGCTGACTATTGCATTGTGGATGCGGCTGTGTCTGCTGTTCTGCTGTTCAAATACTACTAGTTTCTTTCACTGCTGCGCCGGACTTGAGAGTTGGTGTTTTTACATCGCATAACAAGACCCAGATTTGAACGCTAATTCTAAGTAATAACGACGGGCGTACTACGTTCAAATCTTAGTCGTCAATTTTGATCCATGACAACATTCTATTTATTGTCTGCGTTTGATAGAATAACAAACAACACTAAAACTTCGTGCACAGCAGCAAGAGGGTGTAGTGATCGTCGTTCCTATTCTTCAATCCTTCCATACTGCTAACTGTTGTCAAGCGATGATGTCACTCTGTTCGAGTCTCAGTGCTCTCTGTTTCCCTACCCGAGTATTTCCCCAGCTAATATGCCCATAACGTCAAAGCATTTTTTTCATGAAATTTGTCTACCCAGTTTCGTTTGCAAGTCTTTCGAGTTGGATCTCCTGATGCAGTCGAAAAACCAGATTTCATCAGAAATATGGCTCTCGGATAGATAGTCTTTGAGCTCAGGAAGCATTTGTCGAACAGTCGCCTCCGTTGCTGTTCTCTTCATTGTCCGTGTTGTCTGTCTGGCAAAAGAGGGAAGAAGGTATTGGCAAAAGCGACCACCGTGCTCGAGGTAAGCTTCTCGTGTTCATAGCGGCACGGTAGGCTCATGGGTTTTTAAATAGAGTATCCAATTTTAATACAGGTCGAAAAACCTATATATATGATATTATCGTCTCTCCCTCCGAGCAAGAGCAACACCATCAATGGGGACGCGTGCCTCGCAGCTTTGCTCGTCGGCTGCCCTTTCTCATCTCGAAGCAGAACGTAGAGGCGTTGTATTCGAAGGATTCAAAGGCGAAACCTGTCCGAAGAAGCTGCCCAGAGCTGGGCGGCCAAAATCAACGAACGACTTGTCCCGGTCACACCAGACCTTTGATGATGAAGAGGTGGCGAGACGATTTACGAGACAGACAGACAGTGCGAGGCCGAGAAGCTTGCATGGATCTATACTCTATGACTACTCTCTGCTTCCTTGCTACGATGGCCCTTCCGTATACTACTATTCATCTCAAACTCCGAGAATCGAACCGTCCATAAATATGCAATCTTTAGTAAAATAGAAATCGATAAAACATTGAATTGTTAAAGAGTGTAAAGGACATAATAGCCAAAGGAAAAGGAAATCATCTTGTAAGGTATGGGAAGAGGGAAAATGCATGACTAGATATGATAAAACGAGACATCAATTGGCGACAAGAGGGGAAAGGAATGCGATGTGATCTTTCTTCTCACGTCCATGCATTTCACTAATGGTACACTGGACCTCACAAGGGACGCCAACCATCTACAAAGAGTGATCCAACGGCGCTCCAAACCATAGCAGGAGCATCCATTCCCACGTAGCCGGGGTTCCCTGCTCTGTGTGAGATAACACACACACACAAGACAGAGAATCGAAACTCACCCGAAATTCAGACTTTCTCGCGCGCCCAGGCCGGCGCATCAAACTATACTCATACATCAACATAAATCAGCACCGGCTCGCCTACACCTTCGATTTCCGGAATCACACACTTGAGGTCAAATGCCTTGGCCAGAACGATTTTAAATATCTTTTGCACGTTTATTGACGAGGACGTGGAGCAGAAGATGAGGGATGCATGCATGGCTCGCGCAAAGCGTTTCGCTTGCTTCGTGATCTCTTCCTGCTCGTCTCTAGGGAAAGTCGCAAATTGGTCGAATTTGGTGCCAATCAGGAAGGGTATCGCTGTCTACCACAAGGTGTGAGGAGGAATCTGTCGTGTGGGAAATTATACACGCACCTTGTTAAATCCCCTCGCCTGCCGGTACCACTCCTTGACGGAATTCAACGTGCTCTTCCTCGACAAATCAAACATGAACAGTATTGCTACCGCATCATTGCACACGAGCGGTAGCATGTTCACAAACTCGCGCTGGCCGCCAAGATCCCATATTGAGAACGTTATCGTCGTTCGCCGGACGGAGATGGTCTTCTCCATAAAGTTTACGCCTGTGTGACAAGGAACTTAGCGGCAGGAAGGAGAAACAGGACAAGTCCAACGTACCCAGCGTCTGGATATAATCCTCGTCAAAGCTTCCCTCGACGTATTTGACCATCAGACTCGTCTTGCCGATCTGTGAGTCGCCCACCATCCCGACCTTGATTACGACACTAGCAACAGTGAGCACACAACAAATGACCTCTACCACTACAGCAACAGACCTGTTCTTCTCATCGTTGTTCTCAAGGTGGGGGTGCACATTCGAACTTGTAGGCGAGGTAGACGTCGATGCCGATGCCGACATCGACATTGATTACGAAAGGGAAAGAAACGGAGAAAGGAGAAAAAAAAAACAAAGACGAGAAAAAGAGGGTAACGTCGTGGGATGGTGAACTGGCGCGATGCCGATGAGCAACGAACGACGGTCGCAGCGTTCACCGTCGTGGTTATTGAACAAGCCAGGGCCGCCTGTGGACGACGACTCCGAATTTGCTATTTATTTCACACGGTCTAGCACTTAGGAACAGAACTTAAAAAGAGTTCGAGGCCCAGTCGAAAGTTTAACGTTTAACCTGAATCGTCTTCAAATGTAACAATTTATGGAACTGTCAAAGTCAAAGATATGTGATATTTGGAAAAACCAACACATTCGTAATATCGTTTCGACAAACAGCAGATTACGCGTTGGATCCCGAACCTTACTTTAGTCACCTTCACCACAATATATGCCAGAAAGCGAGACACTACCATGGTGACAACGACCACCCCAAGACTGAGGGTTGCAGCATCTCCGTTCATATGATACATCTCAAGGACCTGCTCACCAGCACTAACCACACATGACTCATCAGATAGTTTTTGATCATCATCGCAAGAAAATATCTGCCCGCGGAAAGCAAGCGGCATGATATTCCGAATGACATGTCCCAAAGGGGACACTTGGTTAACGCCCTGGAGTAAAGCTGGCATGTCTGCACTCATCAGCCCTACAACAGACAAATAAGAATCCAAAGGAAGATATTACACAGACTTGTACACACCTGCCATAAAGATCATAAAGGATAAACGTTCATCACATTTAACGCCATAAGATATGCTCGTTGAATATCATATTGAAGATGGTTGGTTCCAAGAGACACCCCTGCATTGACCATACACAAAGCACCGAGAGTGACGATGAGAAACATGTCGACATAGTATACGAGAGGTTGATTGCGACAACTGCTAAAGCGGAGAACACGAAGCAGGCCACGACTTGCAAAGGTAACTCCAGGATAGTATACACCAAGAAAAAGCCTTCAATAGAGTATCCGTCGTCGCTGTATTCCTAAACATGACGAACAAGGCATTACATCACTTAAGAGCTGAATAACACACCTGGTAGAAGATACCCCTCTCCATCGGGTAGATAACCATGTTCTGGAGTACGCCTACAAAGTAAACTCTCCCAATTTCAGCCACTTCGCACGAAAGCTCGATCGACGGAGGTATACTCACTGGGAAGAATTCCCTGTATGCATCCGATACGATTTTGAATACTGACGTATCATGACTAGGCAGGGAAAAGAATAAGGCGGACATGATCTAAACAGAATGACCCATTATTTCATGAATCGATGACCAAAGTCTGCGGGATTCATAGTTGGAGGGCACTGAAGGCCCACCGAGTGCATATATTCCAGCATGCCCATGCCGCTAGCAGAGCCGGAGTATGCCACTTTCCCGTCTTTGGTTAGGAGAAGAACATTCCCGAAATGCTCGAACAATTCCGAAGAGCTCTGGTGAAGGACGGGTATTCACCCACAAGTTGCCGCAGCACGTCCATAATCGAGGTTGCCGTGAAGGAACCTGAAAGACATCAGAGAAGAGCTGTCTCGGATACGGGATCAAGTCACAACAAAACCCGAGGGTCTGTTAATACTTGCATCGCAATGCTGACCCTGCATTTCTCACCTCCCGAGATACCTTTCAACAACTGATTCCCAACCAGGGTATGAGCACAAGCACTCAGCCCCAGTTTCTTCATCACCTCGTCCGCTCTCTGCTGCTTTTTCTTCTTCGACAACCACAACCAACTCGGCAGTCTGAGAGCAACAGCAAACTCTATAAAGTTTCTTAGTCGGTGAGGTAGGGGAGAAGAGATTTGTCGTCTTGGGTCACATATGAGCCACAGAGCATGGATTGCATCACGGGTTGCCGAAGCGCCATTCGGTTTCATGTCTTCGTCCATTGCATAAGCTGTCGAGGACGTTGATCGTAGGCGACGTGCCATCATGTTCAACAATAACGATTACCACACCCCGAGGGTCCGAGAATAACATTGATCTTCCCAGGCTCGAACCGTGTATTGACGCCTTGTATTTATGCTAAGACACTGTCCTCCACGAATGCGTGCACGAAAGGAATAGTTCTCGAGATGCACTTGGACACCCTCTGTATCGGGATCGCGGGGAGTTTTCAATGTTTGCAGAGCAGTGTCTCTGTCGTCCTTTGGTTCAAAGATGGTCGAGCGCGGCTGAGGATTTTGGTGCTGACAGGAAATAAATGGAGGATAAGCATCTGCGCAAGAGAGGAGAAGGCTTTATAGGAACGATAAACCAGGTCTGGTGTGGGACAGCGAGCGATTCAGTGATAAAATCACCGCGGTAGGCGTTACAGTCAGGGCTGGAATGTGGGTCACCCAGGAGTCAGTCGAAGTTTCGGTCCTTGAATTTGTTATTCACCAGAGCTGTAGAACTTGGAACAAACAAGTCAGTCGAAAAGCATAGTGAGCACCCACAATCGCTTACCAGATGCGAAGTCCACTTTGTCCAGCGCAGATATACCGGAATAGAATTGGCTTTAAGAAGAAAACCGCATACATAGGTGTGTACTGCAAAGACCAAGTTTGTGATGAGCGTTGACATTGCGAAATCCTTCGATATAGAAACCGACAGCCCCGGAAACGTCAACGAAGCGTAGTGCACGAGTAGCATAATAAAGTAGTACAAGAATCGTGTCACCGGAGGAGTGAGTCCAATCATGAGATAGCTGATTCTTGAGAAGACGAAAGGAACAATAGTGTCCTCTAGGATGCCGTGCGCAATACGATGGCGGCAATACTTCCACCACCCCTTCACCATGTTCTCGATTGAAAAGCGGCATGTAGATACTGCTCGGTCGGTACACCTCGAATATGAAGACGAGATAGATGGGAGGGAAGGACGGTCTGTATACAAGCAACGAGAAATCTTCTGCGGTGTCGGCGCGAAGCCGAGATAAGCGGCGCTGCGGCAACACAGGGGAGAGAGACAATACGGCAACTCACCGGAACGATCCTGACCTTTATCGCATTCCGTGGTTTCTGTGTATCCGTAATGCATAAACCTTTTCATTCCTCACTGCGGGCGAGATAAATGAATATTTGGGTAGCAGACTGTCCTCTTCAATTGTAGTATCCCTTTCTTCACTGAGGGGAGTTTAGACTTTCCTTGCTCTTTCTGTCTTTTCTAAGCCGCAAAGTTCATGGCACCGGCTCCACGCTTCTTGCACGCTGCATAGTCATTCGAGTTCGAACAAGTGAGTGTTCTCAAGCTCAGGTCTATCTGGATCAGGACTTCCGCGCCATGCTAGCCTTCAAATGAGAAGACCGCTCAGTATCTTCCCAGGCAATGCGAATCCGTCTCTTGGTTCGAGGACAGTTGCTTTACAATGGTTCTCCTTCCCTTTCAAGTGTCTACGTCGCTCAAACCGACGTCTTCCTTCCCACATTAACTGTTCGCGAGACGCTTATGTATGTCACGGACCTCCGTCTGCCCGATTCGATCAGCCACGAGAAACGTCGTAATCTTGTCGAGGAGATCATCCTCAAGATCGGACTGAAGGAATGTGCAGATGCATCAGCCGGGGATGGGAACGGAGACGCCTGAGTCTCGGAGTCCAGCTCCTCGGTCTCGATGCAAGAAAGTGCGTATCGGCTTAGAGTCCTGCGAAGAAAGGACGGACGATCATCATGACGCTTCATCAATCTCGGTCGGAGATTTTCCTCCCCAGCTCGACGCGGTGATATTGCTCGCCCAAGGATATGTGTTGTATTCAGGTCCTGTCGCAGATGCCGTGCCATGGTTCGAACGGAGACTGTCGCCACCTGAGCTTCATGTTAACCCTGCTGATTATTTGATCAGTATCGCCGCTATCGACACCCGAACGAGGGAAGCCGAAAGCGTTGGTAGGGCTCGCGTGAATATGCTCGTTGCAGCGTGGAAGGAAGAGTCGGTGATGCGCTTTCGGCATACGAAACCTACAGTTCATCCTGGTACCGGGGGATTCCTATCCCCCGGTATTCACCCACGACCATCCCAAAGTACCGTTCACTCGAGTCGTACTTACTCTCGTCTCAAGGGCATCGAAATCAAATATCATGACCTATGGGGTGTTATGGCATCGTGGATCGAAGCCGTTTTGATAGGACCCATTGTAGGTTTGGTATTTTTACCACTACCCAATTCAATGGAATGCGTTCGGTCGCGCCAGGCACCATTTTATATCTCTATCGGCTTTCAAGGCAATAGGTCTCTATTCGTCTTTCTATGAGAAACTAGGCATAAACTAGATTTGGGGACTTCGAACTCATGAAACGGTTCCGAGAACGCCGCTCTCTTCACCGCTTGATAGCAAGCGCCCTTTGTGCGAGTATTATGCAGACGGCTGTAAACTACGTTTCAGTATTCGCCCCAAATAACTTTCTATTATCGCCAGATCTAACAGAGTTTCGGCTTAGCTTACGTAACTGCTCACTGAAGCTCGGGAAAGGTGAAAACGAACGTCCGACTCCAAGTGATGCCATATGCCTATGATCTTTCACATGTATCCCGTTGGCTTCCAGAAGGTGAGGGATGATAGCCATTTCAAGTGAGAGGAATGCTGGTACTGCGCTTTTTTCGCAGTTGCACGGCCTATATCGAGTTGGGAGTCGCCTCAAAAGTGGTCGACGAGCAACAACATTCACTGTGTTTGAGGTTTATATCACGGACGATATACATAAATGACGTTACGATAAGTCCTCTGTCAGCAACACTCGGCATCGGTTCCATACCTCAAATCCGCGTTTTTGCCGTGCCGTGGGTTGTTGGTGTCAGCCGGCTTAATAGTCTCTTTCTGATCTTCTCTTCTATGTTTAATTGACATTACGAATGGCGTTCGCCTGACTCCACCGTGCTTTATAAGAGTCGGGCCAACCTCAATGCCCACAACCTCTTCTGTCCCTAACCATGAGTCAAACTTTCAGCTACGATTTTGATACACCCACCTTCAAGGGCACCACCAAAGTCCACACTGGTCTCTTCATCAATGGAAAGTTTGTTGCCCCCGCCGAAGGCGGTTCTATCGAGTGAGTTTCTAGCTTATTTCCACCTGAATAATACCGACGGAAATGTTCCATTTTCTAGAGTTGTCAACCCAGGTATGCCGATCTCAGTCGGTTGGCTACGCCATTGTACCTAACGAGAAACTTAAGCCACCGGGAAAACAATTACATCCGTTGCTGCTGGTACGAAGAAAGACGTCGACCTCGCCGTCAAAGCAGCCAAGGAGGTGAGGAATGCCAGCGCGGAACGTTCAATAACCGCTCAACCATCATTGACTAGGCCTACAAGAAATCGTGGGGCCTCAAGTGTCCTGGTTCTGAACGGGGACGGCTCCTTTCTAAATTCGCAGATCTCGTGGAACAGCATATTGATGAATTGTCTGCCCTAGAGACATTGAATGTCGGTGCGTATCGTGCGTCTGTCTTGGAACCAACACACTCATTGATTTGTCCACAGGGAAACCATTCCTGGTCGCTAAAACCCTGGATGTTACCAGCGTGGTCGCCGTCCTGAGGTACTTTGCTGGCTGGGCAGACAAGATTCAGGGGAAAGTTATCGAAGTGAGATATTCAGCACGGCCCTGTGTACATGTACTCACCTTGTCTGACCAGACTAATGCAGATAAGCTAAGTTACACTCGCCACGAACCCTACGGCGTTGTGGTACGTGGTCGCATTCGGTCCGTCCAGCACACACTCATTTGCTGATCAGGGGCAAATCATACCCTGGAACTACCCTATGGTGATCCGATCCTTCGTGGTCTAGTACAAACTACACTGACACGTCAACTAGTTGATGGCGGCTTGGAAACTCGGCCCAGCGCTTGCTACTGGAAATACTGTCGTTCTGAAGGTATTCATCTTTTTTTTTAACTCGAGAACTGACCCTTATCTCTTTAAAGCCATCCGAAATAACACCATTAACTGCTCAACGTCTATCTGACTTCATCATCGAGGCAGGATTCCCACCCGGCGTTGTCAATATCGTAAATGGCTACGGTGAGAGGCTCTCTATGTCCCCAATTTCTTCAAAAGAAATTTACTGAATGCCATGTAGGTAACACAGTTGGCCAGGCAATCAGCGAACATCCGGACATCTCCAAGGTTGCTTTCACCGGAAGTACCGCCGTGGGAAGGAAGATCCAAGAAGCGTCAGCCAAATCGAACTTGAAAGCCGTCACTCTTGAGCTTGGAGGGAAGAGCCCGTGTATCATCTTCGACGATGCAGACATCGAACAAGCAGTGAAATGGGCGACCTTGGGTATTTTGTATGCCCATCCATTCTCCGGCTACACCATGTTGTTTTGCTAACTAAAGCATGGCTAATAGCTCTAATGCGGGTCAAATATGCGCAGCCTCGTCTCGAATCCTCCTCCAAGAAGGCATCTACGATGCCTTCGTTGAAAAATTCACCGCGGTCGCGAAGAGTCTGCAGCACGTAACGGGCGACCCCTTCCTCGCCGAGACCCAGCACGGACCTCAAGTCTCGCGGACACAATTTGAAGTAGGATGATCCCCTTAATCATGTATGGCGTCCAAGGAGCTTAACCCACGATATATATATAGCGCGTCATGAGCTACCTTCATTCAGCCAGGACGGACGGTGCTAAATTCCATATAGGCGGAGAGAAACATGGCATTGGAGAAGGGTTCTTCATCCAGCCGACTGTCTTCACGGGGGATAACCACATGAAGGCAGTCAAGGAGGAGATTTTCGGCCCCGTGGCTGCGCTGATCAAGTTCAAGACTGAGGAAGGTGAGAGAAAGAACAGTGCTATCAGAACTAAGAAGAATTGCTCATAATGAGCACAGAGGCGATCGAGTTGGCCAACGACTCATCCTACGGTCTAGCTGCGGCTGTTTTCTCAGAAAATTCAAGTCGGGCTCTCCGAGTGTCTCACCAGTTGGAGTCTGGTACTGCCTACGTCAACTGTTACGGTATCACAGAACCCGGCATGCCGTTTGGAGGCTACAAGCAGTCTGGCAATGGTAGGGAATGTGGCGAGTATGCCTTGAACATGTCCGTGTTCAATTTGTTAATGTTCATAATTGTGCAACTAACTCTTTCCTTAGGTACACAGAAGTCAAGGCTGTGCATGTCAACATCGGAATGAAGATCTAAGCGGAGAAAATATTCTTGTAAAGTATGTACACTACCAGACTGTATATTTGAAATCCATCGACTGGACGGAATCAGTGAGGTGTGGTGTAAGTATCGTTAGTTTTTGAGTGGAGTATTACTATACTACCTAGTGAATATGCAATACGTGAATTACCTAGATGTGTACATCTCAAATGACCAGCTTAAGCAGCCAAAGCACCGACCCGCTTTTTTAAATCTACCGCCCGACTACTTCCTCGCCCTTCAAGCTTTCCAAACACCACAACCTTGCCCTTCTCCCCTGCTCGACCGGAGCGGCCAGCCCGATGAAGAAAATCGATCATATTCCTCGGCTCATCCACGATGAAGACGTGCTTGATTTCCGGACTGAAATCCAACCCTCTTGAAAGCAACGAAGTCGTTATCATGACATGAGGTGTCTCGCTCGGATCCTCGGTACCGTCTTCCTTCGCGGCAACACTCTCATCTGACTTGACTTTAAGGAACCCGTCCAGATGATGGTTCGACCCCTTCCTTCTTGACTCCGCTGTCCCATCAATCGCGACAGTTTTAATATCTTTTCCTTCCAGATGTTGGCTGAGCAGTTGCACCTTGGTATTCTTGTTGCAGAATACCAAGATCTTCGACAGTTTCCCGGTTCGGGTGATACTATCTTCAGCCCACACCTTCCTGATGCGTTTTTCAATGTCGGCATTTTTGTTGGTGCCCGTCCAGCCAACGTACTCAGTCTGGAGCTTCTTGGGGAGGTGATGTACCGTCGGCGAGGCCAAACGAGTGTGAGAGGGATGATGAGTCTCGAGGTAGTTGCCGAGAGCACTAGGGATGGTAGCGCTACACAGGATGAGGTTGAATGGATAAGAAATCGGCTTCGGTTCTACACTCTCGGTCTTGAAGTTGAACTCGTCGGGGTAGTAAGGTACAGGTGATCCACGAGCGGCACTGACTTCGGAAAGCAAAAGACGCGTAGTTTCTTGGAAATCAGGATCTGGTTAAGAAAAAGTATTAGTACAACACTGATGACTCGTAAACATCCCACATACCGAACAGGACGTCGGCTTCATCAATAATCACCCATTCGACGTTAGCCAGACCCATCTCTGGAGCTGCACCCAGAGTGCCAGTGGGAACGACGCCAAGATCTCTGCCACGTCTAGGCTTCTTCTGGAATTCCTGATCTTCGACGTCTTCGCTGTTTTCCTCCTGAGCTTTTGGGGTCTCATTCCCGATCCTGCGCTCCCAGCCACGACCTTTGATCAACTCGAGCAACTTCATCGGCGTACCGACGACAACGTCTACCGGGAATCTCCCGCCAGGTCGCACCTGGAGATCTTGCGAGTGATTGCTGAATAACGCAGCATCAAGCTTCCCCTTCATCTGGGCAGCGCTTCCGCCTCCAAGACTCATCTTGTTATCCACGTTCGCCTGGCTAGCACAGAGTATTCTCAACTTGATCTCATGAATGAGATCTTTAGCGAATCCTGATAGTTGACGAGCCAGCTCGTGCGTCGGAGCGAGGACGAGGGCACGGGGGTTCAGAGGATGGGTGCTTTTTCGATGGATTTGCCCACTGAGCTCCGAAACTTTGAGGGATTGAAGAAGGGGCAGGAAGTAGGCTACCGATTTTCCAGACCCAGTTTCAGATGCGAGAAGGTATTCCTTCCATTTTCTGTTTGGATCGTATTCAGTCTCAAGCAGGTGCTGAAGACTAAGAGCCTGGATGGGTGTAGGCTGGGCACGAGTGCCCACAACTTCGGTGAGGCAGGAAAGGAGACCAGGCATAAGGGGAAAGGATGCGAAGGATGGGGGAGATGAAGAAGATGAGGAAAACGACGCAGATGATTCTGCTGAAGGAGCCTTCCGAACCTCCACGGCTTTTGCCAAGCGCTTCAAGTACGGAGTCGCCGACCTGTACGAGGTGTTACCACGTGGACCTGATGACTCGTTTGAGAGAGAGGATCCCTCATCCAAAAACTCGTTTCTGGCGCCCGAGATATGTGAGGATTGTTTTTCAGAAGGTCGGAATCTAGGAGAGGGGCTGGGCCTTGTTGGCGATATCCATGTCGGTTTTTGTGAAAACTCCTGCACCGGTTTTCTGCTGTCTGCATTCCTCGTGTATGAGACGCTGCCTTCGTCCCCATACCTGGGAGAATCATAGGAATCGAACCGCGGCGCAGGTCCTCTGCGACCCCGGTTCATCGAAGAAGAAAAGGGATCGTTTCGGTGATCTCTTCGGTTGAAGGTATGATTAGGTGGCCTCCGACGGTCCTCAGAGCTCATCAAGGAGGGAGGTATAACTGTTGGCGCTGAAGATGAATCAACCCTCCTTTGTGTCCCCATATTGGCCAGGTAAGGAGACGGTGAGTTGTACGCCTTCCTCCCCAACGCATTGAGCATATTCCCTCGCTCGTCCCGATATCCAGGAAGCTCATGCCAACGGCCCTTGCGTTTCTTTAAATCCTGCGAACTGTCGTGGCGACGAAACGACATGGTGCTACGAGCGTCATTATCTTGCTTTTCTAAGTCGATTTCGGAGTGCGGCAACTCGTCGCGCTGGAACGCATTCTTGACCTTTTCCAGAGACATAGCAGTAGCTCTCCCTCCACCGCCGCCACCGCGACGACGAGCCTGCTTTTTTCGACGACCGCTGCGATATCCATTAATACGACCATTTGTAAAGAAACATGTCCACGAACTCTTCGACCATCGCTGAAGCATGGAACATTCTCAGCACCTGTATGCGGCACGCGTTCGACCCCGAAAGGACTTCATTGCCGATTGGCAGAAGCCCAGCCATCCCTACGGTTTACTTCAGAGTAATTCAGCGATGGTATGGAAACCACCAAAATGATTGTAAAGTCTACCGTTGCCAACACCGATTTCTGCCAGGAGAAAGAGGAAGAGGAAAAAACTGTAACGCTTGTCACATATCACGCAGCATTATCGGACCGAAAGGACGGCAGGCCTAGGCCCTTGCAATGGCGACTCTGCTTTATCCCCTTTCACCAGCTTCTGGTACTTGTGCGAATTGTCAACGAGGATCCCTGTTTCTCATTCTTTTGCCTGGGATTCTGTAAATATATTTCGAGGAACTTTTCTCTTCACTGGCCGTCACGTCGGTCCTCTGTCGCTCATGCAGATTCTCAGGTCGCTCTTCTCCTACCCTTGTGAAGACTCAGCACTCAGTCTGGGTTGCTTTTCGACTCTGTATTTATCTGGCTCACGAATGACACGTTCGCGACCTTAAAGTGGGTCGGCCCCACTGCTGACGTCAATGCTGATCCACATAAAAGGACGTCAACTACTGTCCTTGAGCTTGAACACCGACCATCATGTACTCAGTCATTTTGTCCGTGCTCAAGAAAGGTGCAAGAGCACCAACCCGCGCGCTCTTGGGAGCAACACGAAACTCTAGGTTAGTTTCATCGTTTCCTAGACCAAGACCCGCTTTTGATATTCCGCTTCAGTTCAGTGCATAGCAACGATCCAGTGGTATGTCCCGTCTCCTTCGCCTCGTCGGGACTTTGGGTCTGAACCTTCTAAAGATTATCGAAAGAGAGAAACAGAAGAGCCTGGCAAAAAGCAGATACCAGACGTCCGCTCCTATCGACAACGCGGAAGGATGGAACGAGTTCCTCGCGACTCATTCTGAATTGGCGGTCAAGGTGTGTTATATCTAAAAGCGTATCTTGTCTCGTTTGGATAATAGTATTTAGGCGGACCGTCATACTGTGTCTTCCACGGCAGACCTTCAGGAGAAAACCGTGTTGCATATCTGTAGCGCCCGTCAAGAAGATGGAGACTTTTCAGCTCAGGATGCAAAGGCGGCACTTGGAGAGAATGGCCGTTCTATTGATCGTGCGGGGAAGTAAATATGAATTTGAAAGCACCATAAAGCATTAGACGTTTTGTACTTGTAATCTGGGCCGCACAGGCCTTGCAAATGACAAGAAGTTCAAACAGATTCATTCCATGTTATATACCAGTTGTATCTCAAAACATTCGTAGGAAAAGGTGGGGATTCAGACGCATATGTGGTGGTTAGGTCTCATCTACTTCCAAGGTCGGCATGACGAATTTCGTCATGCGTTCAACATCTATATGTGCTCACCTTCTTTTCACGACCTCTTTCAAAGCGCTCGGAATTGGAGATTTTACCAACGGCCGTCTGACCGTCGCCTAAGAAAAACAATAGTGCCCTGGAAAATTAGATGAAAGAGTAATATATACCCTCATAGGCAGAGGCTTGAGACAAGGTAGCCGCTTCGGTAGTATTACCGTAGCCAGTGCCGGTGGACTCGATAGGATCTAGCAGGTTCCTATCAGCTAAAGCAAAAATGGAAAATAGAAACTGCCTACCGCCCACTGGCATACTAGAGATAGCATCACGAGTGACTTGATGACCATGCTCGTCTTGAAAGTTCCTAGGATTGCTTCTGTAGTCTTCTTGTTGAGCCGGGGTTATCATAGTAGAGTCGACCATTGTAGCTTTGTCTCGGAGGCAAAAGTAGATGCCTTATATTGATGTCCCGTGGACATGATGACGTTCGTGTCTAAGACGTGCCTGATGGTTTCACCAAAAAAAATATTGCACCTTGTTACCCGCGAATTTGGATGTAAGCGGATTGGTGAAGGACTTATTCTATTTGAACGGGCTCAGCCAAAGATGGCCCAAGCCAAGGAGACCCACATATGCGGGTACTGTAGTATTGATGGCGATACTGCTAAGAGATAGTAATGCTTCTTGTAAGTTGGAAAGCGGTACCGGTCCGTGGAACGCAACTTCCAACGAGCATCAGTTGAGTCACAGAACTAAGTTTTTCCATTTTCACAGGGTTTGAGAAGTTATAAGGTTCAAGCTTCAAATTTATGACCGTGCCTCCCTTGACGTCGTACATGAAGTCATCTGGGCGGTCAGACATCAGGAGCTTTACGTGTTCGTCTGTTCGCTCTGTGATAGGCTCATCCTGACTCCTCGGTGAATTCTCCAATGCCGTTCTATCAATGTTGCTTCGGCGACAATCTTGAGAGTCTCGAGTCTTCATCCTAGAGCGTATAAGAGAGGTACATTGATCACTAATAGACAAACATGGAGATGATATACAATCACGCCTGCATCGTAGCCACTTCGAGAAAACAGCATTACGTGCTTCATTAATGACGAAGCCTTTGTGGACTATATGGTTCTTCCAGATACCGTATTTCATGGGGAGTAAGCATCACATCCAAGCCATCTATCAAAATTTTATACCCGGGAGGTCGAAGTGAATAGGACGAACGTACCAACAACTTCTAAAAGATTGTCAGTGGACGACACATTGACGACCAGGGCACAAACTCCTAAGTCACGGTCATCAGTAAACGATCTAATACAACGCTTCCGTTTGAATATACCTTCTCGGCTAATGGACCATGCAACGACGACTTGGGTCATGGTGATGTTTCTGCGGCGAGCAATCTCTTCTACCCTGATACAGAAAGATGTGTCAGGAGCCTGGGATTCAGGTAATCAAAGTAGAGGCTGACTCACCTCAAGATTATCATGTCATTCGACTCTAACTGGTTATCGGTAGTTCTTTGGGCGCAAATGAGTAGGTTGACGTACTTCCATACGGTGCACATACCTGGCATCGACAAGCCATTTGCGTTGCTGATGAAGAGGATGGACGACAGCACCACCAGCAAATGTGGACCAAGGTACGGAAGAAAGACCGAAATGCTGAGGCGAATATCAGATACGGCCAGAACTATTCTGTACACTGGACAAACCTTCAAGGTGGGGAACAACTCTTTTTCATCCTCGCGATAGAGGATATTGTAGTCGTTTTCTACCACGATAAACGCCGTCAAACAATTCTTGAGCGCGTAATCTCCAAATCCCGTTAGTATTCTTAGGATGCGCTTCTTGGGAAAGAGGGTACTTTGCATGATATGGACTGTACAAGAAAAGATGATGTCAGGGTGTAACCTTGACCTTGACATGGAAGAAAGAACGTGCATACATTGCCAGGCACGACAGGTCGATATTCCGATATATCGAACATAACCAGCTGTTACTACATCATGAAGGGCTTGCATCTAAAGCAGTTGGGTTCGGTATATCAGAGTCGATCGAACGGATGTATGTATGTCTCCTCACCGTCTCATGGATCGGGGTCTCGGAGTCAAACTCGTGGCAGTGAAGAACGTCGATATAATCCAGTTGCAGACGATCCAGGCTCTTCTGGACCGAATCAAATATGTGCTGAAGTATGGATGAGCACATCGTTTCAGGAAAAACTATGCCTATAGGACCTTGCGACTGAGCCCGTACTGGTTCACATATCCGTTATCATCGGCGAGCGCCGATGCTTGGCCAGTAATCCGTTCGTTCATGGATCGTGTTACTGGGTGAAAAACCTGTAACGATGTTACCCCCTTGCGAAACCGAATCAAAATCACCTACCTTTGTCATTACAACAATCTTCTCCCGTAACAAATCGTGCTGCTTAATGGCTTTCCCTAAGACGACTTCGGATTGTCCGTTGGAGTAAATCTAACGCATGCCGACGTCGGTTAGAGAAAAGGGCGAGCAAAAAAAATAATAATACATTAGCAGTATCAAAGGCGTTGATTCCGATATCGTAACTGGCAGAGAGCAAAATGAGCATTGGAAAAGAGGAAGACAATGGCGTACGCCGCTTTGATCTGCTTGATGCTCGCTTCTTCGTCTTGGACCCAGCTATACCAGTCGGAACTGCCATATACCGTGCAACCGAGGATAATCTTCGATACCTTTAGCCCAGATGATCCAAGGCGTACTGCAGACGGTTTGTGAGCCGGGATCATCTGAATAGCTTGGGACTTAACCGTAGGACATGTCTGTACTTGAAAGAGACATCATGAGCTGAGGGAAGTCCGGTAAGCAACCGGTTCGTCTTTATATCCTCTCGTGATGTGAGCCGTGACATGACTAGTGCTGGCTTTCGTTGGTAGGAGAGCCTGGCATACTGTAGACCCTAATACCTTGGCTTTAACCCTTGGATGCCCAGACAAGCACCATGATGCTTTCTAGCCGCCGCCTTGACGCTGCATTGGCCAAAGATGTATGACGCGACGACATCAGGTTGCATAGCACCACCGCATCCTCATTCTTCGCAGCTCTCCAGAGGTCTCGGGGACAACAAGAAAAGAAGGCTTAGTACGCAACTGAGATGTGACGGGACACAGTGGAATAGGGTGTTGTCCCAGCAAGAAGTAGGGTACCCTAACTTTCCCCAGATAACGCTGAACACCAAGAATTTCTTAGGCATTTTAGGGGTCGCGCGGATAATAGACACCAGACTCGACTTCACTGTCCAAGGAATATGGACACATGCCCCCTTCATGGATACTTGCACCAGACTCACTCCTGCGAATAGCAAAGATCAACAGTGGCGCGACGCGAGTTTAATCCGAGGTGGCCCTTTAGCTTAGCTGGGGTGTGTGTTAGTTGCAGCAACTTACAGCCCATCCGAAATTTTCCAGGGCTGCCGCCGAATCAGATCCAAGTCAGTTCAAGGTAAGGAAACGTACTGTGCTGAATCTTCGGATGTAGATTGAGGTGCAGAGCGTCGAGCACTGATGCTTGTAAGTTCTGCATTTCTCGGTACAATGCATCAAAGGTGCACCATCATGTACTCACATCGTTCTTGATACACCTCAGAGGTCCAGCGTATGCGGGCTACTTCTAGATAACAATGGCTATCTTGAGCGAGCTATAGTCTGGAGTGATGGGTACGTTCATTGTTCAGAGTAGACAAATGATTCACTCACGATATCTCCAGGCTAGGTAGTATTGACAAGGTTCAGAAGTTGAACCATGACGGACGTGTTTGAACGAAGATATTACCAACGACGATACGCTCGGATGGGCTGTCCAGTGCACTAGACCCATAAAATGGCAACTACCGTCGACCTCTTAAGTCGCCAATTGCTGTTGAACTGGAATGGTCGCTCCCAGAAAGGAGTTTCCGACTCGGGAGTGAACCGTTCGATAGCGACTCTTCTTCCGGGTTGTGATGATGACTATTCCAACAACCAAAGAATTTCTTGCCTTCTTGGCGTATCGAAAGAGGAGAGTCTAGTATTCTGAGCTAGCTGGGGAGCACGGCCTACGGCGCGGTACAAGAACAGCAGCAGCACTACACCACATACGTGCCGATCATTGAGCCAGCTAACCACAGCCTCAGTTGGGTCAAACCCGTACGATGCTTGATGTCCTCGGTCCCTGTAGATAACAAAGTCAATGCGCTTCGCATTGAAGAAGGGTCGTACCACTCACCAGCACCCGAATGTCAGTCTGGGCCTTCCCCTCCGCGCCAGACGTGACTCCAGTATCTCCAACCATCGTTGCGAGGTTCAGCGACATTCACGAGCTAGTGAGACGTGCATTAGAAAAAGCTGCATTGATGGCCCGGACGATGGGCTGGACTCCAGTAGCTGTTGTTCGTTGTGGTAGTCAACATTGAAAGGGCGTGACCCGGGGGTTGTCATCGAATTCGTCCCTTCTCACCGGTTCGAATTGCGTATGAACATCGCACGTTCTGATGGCTTGAATTTTCTTCGTGTCGCAGATCCTCATCATGACATCCTTCAGCGATAATGATGCTCAATTGCAACACTCAGCTGGATGCTCATGGACAACATCATGTTGCCACCAATACTGTGGTTCATTATTACCTTTGGTATAATGGTAGTCTCGAAATGGTATCCACAGAATCTCGAGGCTACACTGCAGCGCTGAAATGCATACACTACACAAACGTTCCTATGCTTTCCAGCTTCGAATGACCAAATCAACGTTTCGAACGTGGCACTGCATGCGGGAAAGGACGTATAACGTTGGGCGTTCCGCGAGTAGTATACACACTGCGTGCTTCAAGACCTAAATTATCAAGTACAGGCTGCCCTCTCCTTCGTTTGAAGAACTGAGTCAAGTCCTCACGGTGTGACCTTTAAATCTTCACTCTCATCCCCCATCTCGATAGCATATTCTGTCGACCAGTTCCCCGTGCCTTGCGCTTTCATTCATTCTCGTGGGTTAAGTGCCCATCCATGGCGACAAAATTGTGGGATAACGTCGAGACAAGCTAATCAAATAGAAAAAAAAACTGAAGTAAAGAACTGCATAGAAAAATGTATCATAAATAAATCAAACGTGAGTTTTCATAGCGAACCAAGCGTCTACTACGAAAATTCTTAACTTGCAATCTCAGGTTCAACGGTACAGAACCAGCTGCATACAAACTCGGGCGAAAGTTCAAATTGTGCGCTGGAGAAGTCAAACAAGTCAAAGATCAAAATCGAAAAAGTGAAAGTGAACCCACCTTGACTAAGCCCCATTGTTCAGTTAGCTGTTCAAGCCTTTTGTAGAGATTGGCCTTGCAGGTCTCGCACGAAGTTTGGTCCTTCAATGGTCTTAACAGAGCAACCATATAATGCGAGGATATGTCTGGATTACTCGGTTCAGATAGACCAGTCTATTTTAGACTTCGAAGACGTACCAGGACTTGCGTCCGAAACAATCTGTGCAGCAATAAGAACCCAGTCTAGCGCAAATTGTTCCTGCGAGCGAGCGGTGCACATCAAGGTCGTGGGGTGCCCTCTCGGAGGTGTGATAAGCACTCGCTTCAACGCTTCTTTACGACCAAGGTGTAATGCGAATAAGCATCTCAGGTAGGGCGCACCAATCCGCTTGACCATGTCTTCTGTCAAGCTGGAGAGTCTGAAAGAGAGGAGATGCTCCGACGCGACGACAGCGAGATCATATAGGTCAAAGTGCGCAGCTAGCGCATAGAGGTGCAGCGCACGACCGGGTGCATGAGAAGAAAGGACATCGAACATTGGCGTGGACGGCTGGACATAGGTATTCACAACCATGCCATAGTGTCTCATCCTCTCGGCCGCTGTTTGGAGGACTTCAAATGATGGCTGATAGGATATGCACGAGATGGAGTAGATAATATGCAGGAGGATGTTTAAAACCTCGGAATGCTCATCAATTTGAATAACGTCATTATCATCTTCCTGCCTACCGGGTTGAAGCAATCGGAACCCAAAGGCGTTGTCTGATGCGCCGAGAACGGTCTGAGAATGAACGTGGAAAGCAACAGAGTCGAAGGAAAGCAATACAACGTCCGTGTCCTCCTGCTGAGGGAACGCTGTAGATATACGCTGGGGTCTAGATTCGTCCGTAGCCCTTGGTTTCACCTTGAAAGTATATAAGCTGTCATCACAGCACCGGACAGTATTCTTACCAGGGTTGAGGCCAGGCTTTGGATGAAGTCGGATTGCCGTAGGCTATCCTGGCGCGGGCTCAACGACAGTTCGAAAAGCTATAGAATAGTTATTATCTGACATTATATTGAAATTTACACACACTACATACCTCGGGATCATGAGCTGCCAGTTCAACAGGATAGGTTTCAAGTTTCCATGACGGTTCAGACCGCACGGAATTGTCGAAAGGCATACTTTGGTGACTTCCATAGGCATTGTTATGGAACGAGTGGGAGAAGGCCATCGTATGCTTGCCGTGCCAACGCACTAGATCGACTTTATGTCCCTTATTAGCTACGTTATTCCATGATGGCAGGATAGGCACGTAGTTAGTACATCGGACCCGTGGACTATGGTGCGGTCCGATGGTAAGGTATAGAATGTGCAGGTACGACGAGATCGAGGCAGGCACGAGAGTCATAAATACGTTGACAGCATGAACTTGATCTGAAGACGAAGCATAGAAGAAGCTGGAAGGGTCAAAAGGATGCCGCTATGCATTACCTTTGGTGATGATTGGCACCTGAAACCTTGGATTAGAAATACAAAGTATGGAAATATCCCAAGGACAACACCGTAGACGATTCATCTGTCCTAGATGCACACTATTTCTGGCAGCGCCAAAAAATCGGACACAGTCCTGCAGAAACAAAGTTACAGCACGCGTGAATGACTCGGGATTATTCAGATTTCTATTGGCGGGCCTGCCATCAAGCTTCAGCGGTAAGAAATGAATGACAATCTAGTAGCATTCCGCTCGCCTTTCCGACCATCATGACGGTTCCGAAGATAGTAAGATAAGAGTGTGGTAGATCTTGGTTAGGGCGATCATTAAGTTTACAGTGCTGACAACTGTTCAGAGTTCGTCGCTACTCGCCTTTTAAGTATCGATGGGAATGTACTAACTTAACCTTGAATGCGTTCAGGTTTGGTAACAATGATGCTTATCTCTGAGTGGGTTAATTATGGAGCTGAAAACTCACGATCAAACAGTACTCAGTAAGCGGCAACTGTATGAACCTCATGTCGGAACAGTTGACACTCTTGAGGACACATCGGGAGGCATCGCTTCAGTCAATCGTGATCGCATCTAGTATTCACGAAATGAGAGATGTTTCTGTCGTCGCGCTGTCGTCAGTGACTCACAGGAGAACTAAGGTCTAGAGACAATAATGCGTAGTAGCCTGTGAACGTGAGTGTGCTTATAATGAAAAGACATTCTCGCAATTTGAGAAGGAGAGAGGTAGAAAAATACTGCTGGTTGTATCCTCATAGAACCAACTCTATGGTTCGTATGAAGATGATTATTCGATAAAAGATGCAGTTACTGAGCGCGCTTCTTGAAATCTGTGATGGCCGGCCTCCGGCATTGCGCGCGCAAGATTCAAACAAGTGGGAATTGACTCACCAACAATGTCACGTCTTCTTTCCTAACTCTACGCCCTTATTACTCTTCAAAATCTAAGCTGTATTTTGTCAAAGTCAGTGGACATGGCCTGGTCTATTTGGATGTGCAAGCCATGCCGATTCGGCATACGCCGTCTGCACCCGCCGCTTTTCGAGTTCGGGTTTTTGGTAAGTTTCCTTAACTTCTCTTATTCTCATCTCAGCATGAAAAACTCATCCAAGTATCCAAGTTGAGCAGCTAAAATTTCGGTCGGACCCAAGAAGCGGGGACCTTACATCATGTCCCTTGATGATTTCTCCAGACTTGCACCTCCGCGCCTCTCAGTCGCCTTCCTGTCACCCCGGCGTTTTGGGGTGCTTCTCTGACTCGTCGTCTCCGTCTAAGTTGATGTTCTCTCTTCCACGACTATCAGGGAGAAACAACAGCTATCGTAGTGTTCATCCTCTGCATAGCTTGCGACGGATCCTACGAAGGACTTCCAAACATTGGCTTCGGTCCAGCGTTCCTCAGGTCCATTATTCTGGTAGAAACGGAGCAGATTGGAGGGGGGGAGGAAGATCGGTACTGGCACTTCACGAGAATGTCGACAGTCCGAGTCCGAAAGAGGTTTCCGACGGCGGTTCTGTGAATGGTCAAGAATGGTTCCGTATTGCTTATAAAAATCAGATCCCTGACTGGCTGAAGCTTGAAAAAAATGGGGTGTACGGGCTGTGCTATCTCCGACGCACTGGAACGAGGAATGAAGTCGTCGCTCTATTCCTAACATGATCGGATGCCTGAAAAACATCCGTCATCTTGTATGCTTCTGCATATAGTTCTCTAATACGTTAGATGAATACAAAGTCTTACAAGTGACTTCCCATCTGAGTTGGGTGCCGCGATTTTCGCTTTTTGATAGTCACTGATCTTACCGTCACTCACCATGAATACATGTGTGACTTGGTGTATCTTCCGGGGCTGTGAATTGTGAGTTTTCGGGAGGTAGATGCGATTCCTTCTGTGATAACCGACAAGTTTCAGTATTAAGACGCAGGACTGTGGGAACCATATGAATATTTTTAAATATTCGAACACACGGAACTAGAACTATGATTGACGTACATTCGAGAACGTGTGTACGTCTAGGATTAACTGAGACGTTCACGTTTATCGGGCACCGTGTGGTGACCTGGATATGTGTGTGTTGCTTGGGCATGATCCTCGATCTCTTTCTATACCCCATGGAAAGGATGGCTCTCGATGGGCGGTACGATACGTTCTCCAATCTGCTTCCTTGGCCAAGAAATTAGTATTTGACTTTCCGAGGAGCTCATAGTTGTGGGACTTCCGGTTAAATCTACGCCAAAAGAGTATCTCGGCTTTTACAGACGTACAGCCTCATTTCCATACGAGATGGCGGGTCTGGATATTTCGTCGACAATCTAGTTAGTCGGCGTTTATATGGGCATATGCCTCCCTATAGTCGAGCAATACTGCCATTGTATGTAGTTGCTCCAACGAGCCCTAGCATCTTCGAGTCAATCCAAAACGCTTGGAAGCCCTAAGGCTGCGGCGATAGACATCAGACTCTAAATCTGATCGGTCTATTCAGATTATTGGGTGCGCAGAAGAAGGCAGACAGAAGGAGACACGCTGTTTATTCTCAGACAGGACGAGCTGTCGGTCACCGGTGAATAGGTATCATCATAACCCCACTTTAACCAAGGAATTCAGCCAACTTCAAATGCTGAAACGGAGAGTTAATATGATGTTGTTCTCGTATCAGCCATGGGACGCACAGACCTTCAGTGTAGAGAAAAGCTCGTTTTCATTCTGGCGATAAAGAATACTTTATTGATTCTCCATCGATATGAAAGGCGTTAAGCGGCGGGTCATAAACTCCGGACAAAGAGCGTCAGCGTAAACCTCCGTAAGGGGTGCTGAGTTTGCACAGCATGAACTGTGTGTACGACAACATGAGATTAAGGACGAGTGCTTGAGGAGTCGGGATTGAAGTGAAAATCTTACATTACCAGGCGTAGCAGCTTGATAATAAATCGAACGCACCAACTTTTACTGCATCACGAAGATCTTGCATCTATCAAAAATTTAGTCTATCAGATGAGAATATATTCATGCATGTCACGCATTACCGGATGAAATACCTGGATAGATCTCGCCCGTTAGCTCCCTTTGTCATTATGACGATATTCTCCCGCTAATAAGACTACTTGTCATTAATCTGATTGCCCGTTGGAGTAAACCTAGGCGATATGAGTCGGTGAATAAAAGTAAGTGAAAAACTCTAAATTGGCGGTGTCAAGTGTGTTGATTCCAGCCCCGTAGCTGGCAGAAGGTGGGATGAATACAAGACAAGGATATGGACAATGACCATTGACATACGCCGTTTTGACCTGCTTAATGCTCCCTTCATCCTGCACCCAACCAAACTACTCAGGACTCCCATACACGGGGATAAACTTCAATCCAGAGGGGCTGAAGACAGCAGACTATGAACTGGGGCAGCAAGGCTACGGGAAATCAGGGCATATCTGTCCTTGAGGAAGCAGAGATCATTAGCGTGGCCTGGAGAAGCACTAAAAGAGAACGGGTACGTTTTGACACTTACCGATGTGAATTGTGACAAAACTAGAGGGTACCATAGAAAAATGTTGCCCCAAAACTTCACTCATTCCGAACATTGGCAGCCCATCGTACGTAGGTATTACGCCTTGATATTCAACTCCGGCCACCTCTGCTTAAGAATGCTTCCGCATATTAGCCACGAAATTGTAGCTCCGCACAGTGCTTCATCCCTGCCTCTCTGCCACGTCGACGCGACAGAAAGAAAACTGACGGTTTGGTACTCCACGCTGGACTCTGGATGATGTCGGTGTTGTCAATGGCGTCAGAGCCTTGTCGTCAATGGCCGGTGTGTGACTGTCGTCACACAAGAAACATCGGCTCTCCTCCTGCCGCCCCCTTCCGCCTCCTTGTGTCTTATCTTTTGTCGCCTGTGATGTTCAAAGGAATTTATGAGGTTTGCAAGAAATCCTTGACGCTGAAGACGGCCTTCTCAACAGACTGTACGGCCCCTATCCGGACGCTGGTCTCGATTCGGATGTTCAACGAGCAGAAATTCATTTTCATACATACATCGGACGTGCGTGGTGAGGTACACGGCACTCGTGAAACCCAAACATCTGAGATTGGGCTCGATATCTGAAAGAAATGGCATTCGGTCTAAGCAGCGTACGACATGGTCATGGTCACCGTTCTTGCTGGGGCGTCGGTCAGATAAGGTCAGCCCATTCTAGTGCGAGAGGCTCACAGTTTTAAATCTTTCAGTATAGGATAAGGCACTTCCTAATGCCTTGCGATGAATTTTCTTGATACACGATGTATCACGAAGACGCACTCATGCCATCCCGACATATTAAGGATGCTCTCCTGATGGTTTTTCGGATCATTCTGGCGTGTACCTATTGCTTGTCTGCACCTTCATAATGAAGATCTGGAGCGACCCGTCTATGCATGCAGCAGCCAGCGACATCGGGACCTCACCCGGTGAAACAGTCAAAATTCGCGTAATCCAGTAGCCTGAGGTCGCACGAAGGCACCGCCTCGACTTTCTACACCCTGGTCGCAGAAAATCATGCATATATGCGCATAAGCATTATTCCCGGGGTATACCTTTCCCTCTGATTCGGAGCGATAAGGGTGACGATAGGTATGAGATTGCCCATTGAACTGCGAATGAAAATTCATCTTCATATTTAGAAGGCGGCGTGGTACGCCGGCGCCACGACGTGCTGGTGGTGAGATGAACTCGAGAAGAGGTATCATGGACGACCAGGAAATGAGAAAGAGAATGGATAGGGCTTTAGGAGCATGGAGTTGGCTACACCGGCCCAGATGCAAGTGCTGCCGCTGAGCCCAAGTATTTATGGCCGAACGTGCAAACTGAAAACACTGCACTGAATCCTTCTGCTGCACTCTGGAGAATAATCTCTCTCAGCATCGTGGGAGTACTCTGGCGCCTGAAGACCTAGAGTGACTGGCCGGAGGTCCGAGGAAGGACATGTATAGGTCGGTCGCCTCGCGTGCAGAATAGTAACGAGCTCGTCGTGTCTGCTGGACGAGTGAGAGGGTGCGAAAGCGAATGTAACAAAGTGGAAGAGGCATGTCGAACGATGTTCAAGTTGGCGGATTTCGCTCTGCAGTTGCTGTCAAGGTCTTTTTTCATCTCGACGAGCAAGCCCATCTTCTACGTTGGAAGTGAACCATCCTGGGACCTGAATATAGCAGTCTCGTCGAGTTTCACGTCAGAAATGTCTAGCGACTCACTGGCGTCTTCGCTCCTTCATCGACTGTGACCAACCAACAGGCTACGTGCCGCCGTCAAAGATATTGCCGTTGTCGTACACCCTTGTCGCTGTCGAAGCTTCGTATGACAGCCAATTGTCACCGACAGGGACCGACAACGACGATATTTTGCAGGTCCATGTTGTCAACAAAACGCTGTCGATGATAGGGGACCCGCTTCGTTTTATCCTTTCACCATCACTCTTCGTCCACCGCTCTTACAGTTCGCTGGTCCCCACCGACTCCGGAAGTATTTGCCGTCCTCTTCTGAATGTATACGCCCATCCTTCCTCTGACGAGTTTCCCGCATCGCAGAGCTGAAGTACCTTCGGGTACTAGTTAGAATCCACAGAGGGAGTTCTCTGGATCAATGCTGCAGGTGATGACCTTATCCAGAGTCGAGGTTGGCATTGATTGACGGCTTTTCGGCTTTCTGCGACGACCCCTTCACTTTAAGTATTACTCTTGGCTTCGGCTCACATTGCTCCGTCCCACTTGGAGGCTCCTGGCTTGGTCCTAGCTAGTTTCCTTGACGACGGAATGCTAAGGCCGCGAGATTACGAACACCGGGACTACGACGCATCTTATTACATCCAACAAGGTCCGTATTCTTGTTTGCATATAAATCAGTAACTGCTATTTAGGTACGTAAAAGGGCCTTGTGGTAGGAATAATAAACCCAGATGACGAAAACCTTGTCAAAGCAGCATTACTTATGTGAATGAGGAAATCGAGGCGGCTGCTCGACAACGTTGACGGACGATTCTTTCCGGCTATCGTACAGAGCTGCGATCAGCTAAATCGTTCGCTGTAACGGGGGAGAGGGTTATGTGACTAAAGACACTGGAGTAAAGGTGGCGACGTACTTTTTGCTCTGACCATTCAATGACAATATCTTTGACACGCTCTCTAAGAGATCGCTTGCAGTCAAAGCATGTTAGGTGGTCGTCGAGCATCCGGAACATACTTTCAATCATGACAACCGTCGTATCTACCATGCATTCAGATCCAATCAGGGATGAAAAGCATGTATCTCACCCGCTCGAGCACCCCACAGCAGATGAGCAGTATACAAAGCCCACGCTCTACTCAAAGCCTTTTGAGCTATAAAGTCGCAGTGAGGCCTCGCGGGGTGCAGGTATGGGGGAACGGAAAAAAGATCCTTGAGCTTATCGATGCGCCTCTGCTGCAGGTCGAAGAGGCGCTTAAGATATACTGGATTGATGAATTCTACCATCTCGTCACCCATGGCGGATATATCCAACGCAAGGAGATGAGCCGATGTAATGACGGCAAGTTCTTCAAGTTCGTAAACCGAGGATACGACGTATGTCATAAGTGGCGAGAGCGGCATTTGGTAACGAATATCGTTGAATAGTGGCGATGATGGTTGGATGAACTTCTTGGGCTGTAAGCCGTATTTTGGGAGGAGGCAAACTGCAGTCATCAGCGTGTCGATACTGTGCTGGAATTGAGAGCATGGATGTCCGTAGATAGCATGTAGGATAATGTTGAGAAAATCAGATGTCTCTGGGACAGTAATGAAGGTCCCGAAGCTGCCTAAGAGGTTGTTGAATCCATTGGTAGATGCATCGACGAGCATGTGACGATGGGCGTGAAATAAGACCAGATCCGAGCAGACGAGCTGAGTGTCTGGGGGAATTCCGTCGTGCTTGAAATCTGCATTGAATTTGGTTGATATGGCGTGTATGGGGTTAATTTCCTGGTATGACTGTTGGTATTTTTCAGGGGCAAAATCGGCACAACGACGTATGAAGATACCAGACATCACTTACTGATAACGGGGTATTTAGTCCTAACACGAAGTCATTGACTTCAGAGGCTTTGCGAAATGTTGAGGCGCATTCCTCGATGTCGGCAGGAACAAAATTCGCCATGAGGTTTACGCCTGCGCTTGGCTGGTTTGAACGCGTTCAGGAGATAGGCATGATAGCCAAGTAAAGGGGTGCTTACCGGAGCCGGGACAAGGACATTGGCTAGACCCGATTCGTCCACATTGGGAACAAATTCGGGGACAGATGTTGGGATATACATCCAGCTCGACATCTACTTCACTTAGATAGAGAAACTCGCTTGAAATGGAAACGCACGGAAGGTGGGTTGGTATAGAAATAGGTTGCAGAACGGAATGCGGTGCGTTGCACTCTGTCGTTTCCTTCTGGTACTTGAATATCGACGATGGCGTTATCACGGAGGGCTATCGCTCTGGCGCTTGATACGATGTGGCGTGATAGTCTTACAATATGTGTAGTGCACGAGTTCGCAGAATGGGTGGGCTGGATTTCTAGATGGCTTCCCTCTCCATCCGTTGGATCTTATGACTATGCCGGCTGTAGATCTAAAGTCCTTGGACTTCATTGAGGACACCGACGAAATCTGGGGAAAAAATAGATTGTCGGTCAACATCTCCATGTTGCCCTCGGTAATGCGTGAAAGCGATAAGCTAGAAACACTTTCTTAGGAAAACACCTAAAATATCCACGCGAAGTTCGTGCCATTGCTGAGCTTCAATGTTCCGCATAACGATAGCTGCTGCGGCTTTTACACATTGTCGATAACGAGAGTAACCTTCCCTCAGACAGGATAGGACCAATACGCAGAGGAATGAAAGTGCGTACAGGTCGATATCTTCAGGGAGCCATTGCGTGAATGGTGTTAATTTGTTTGCATTTATTCCAGTTCGCACACCTGATAGTGCACCGACAGGAGAAAATATGGTGAGCCTTCGATTGAATTTCCAATAGCACAAGCTGAGCAAAGCTTACGGACAAAGCGAATGCCGTCAATAATGAAGATAAAAGCATCGATTCGTGATAATACTAGTATGGCTAGCGACACACGAATAATTGTCTTGGTTGATTCAGAAAGCTGGAGTACTTCCTGTTAAAATTAATCAGACAGATAGTTCCTGCATATCTAATAAACACTTACCAATACCCAGCTTGAGTAGGATGGCCTCAATAGTGTCTTGAAGAGACATTGACATACGATAGTTCTTCAATAGCATATTAGACGACTCACAAAGGAGGACCAGGAATTGAATCGCAAACGACCGCAGGCCAAGTCGTGTCAGGTGGGTCATAGATCTCACTTTTGTCCATCCTGCCATTAGATGACCTGTGAATGTGACCTCTTAGGAGCGGCATGTCACAACACGTCATCCAGCTATATGTATGGCTTCAGCCTGAGCCTGACGGCGTCACCGGTAGTCTTCAACAATATACATCAGTATATCAGGCTTCAGAAATACTAAGGACAACGTACAAGGATAAATACACACAACCATAGTGTCCCCATTTGAAATGTGGTTGACTGTAGAGCAGAAGAAACAGAAAATACACTACTGACTGAAGAGACCGACGACTGCGGCAAAAAGACGCGTCGAGAAGAGACAGTGACAACGAGGGACGTTCCTTGATAGCCGTGCCTCCATCTACTTGGCTTCTTCGAGATTCTTGATGGGCTCGACGCGTCCCAGTCCAGCAGCATCATTGGCAGTGTAATGGGATGACGCGACACACATTTGACTACATAGCAAGAGATGTTGGATTAAGTCCGGGGTTGGCTACTGTCGTGGACACCGTCAACTCGTCTGGAATGGACGTGGTGGTTGAGCTTCACACTTGAGTCGTCCCGACAGCCGGCGACGGGGTCATGTGATCTGAAATTACCTCCTATCCGGCATATATTTGATCCAGAACTTTCCAACATGTCGGGTCACCGGATAATGCATTCGTAGTAGAGTCTCACTACTATCGTCACTTTTCGATAACTGTGTTTCGGAAAATGACGTGAACATACAAGAGACATATAAATCCTGGTGAGGCTTACATCGCACAGCACTCTTCCGTGATGACTTCTATCACATCAGCAGCAAAAACTCTCGTCGAAGGAAATACATCGACCGACAAGACTAAATGTCTGGAATCTGATACTATCACGCCCTCTGTGGGCGGCGGTTTGACTACGGATCATGGAGTGAAAATTTCTGATACAGATAATTGGTACGTGCTGCAATACTCCAACTTCTCTGAAATCTCTCATGTGTAAATTCCAAGGTTGAAAGTTTCCGACAAGATCACCGGAGGTCCATCGTTATTGGAAGACCAAATATCACGGGAGAAGATCCACCATTTTGACCATGAGCGGATTCCTGAACGCGTAGTGCATGCGCGCGGAGCAGGCGCCCATGGGTATTTCCGGGTCTTCGATGACCGCGCAGCAAAGTATACTTTCGCACCCGTATTGACGGATGCCTCTCGGAAGACCTCTGTTTTTGTACGGTTCAGTACTGTGCAAGGAGCCCGGGGAAGCGCGGTGAGTCATCACTTGTTTACTTCTTACAGCGCATTCAAATTTGTCCGTAGGATACCGTTCGAGATGTACGCGGTTTCGCCATCAAGATGTACACAGACGAAGGAAACTGGGATCTTGTAGGAAATGACATCCCGGTCTTTTTCATTCAAGACGCTGTCAAATTCCCCGACTTCGTGCATGCGGTGAAGCCTGAACCTCATAATGAAGTTCCTCAAGGGCAGTCGGCTCACAACAACTTTTGGGATTTCGTTGGCTTGCAGCCTGAATGTGAGTTCTCCGATTCGTGACCGTACTCGTAAATTCACCGATGTCTTCAGCTGCTCATATGGTTATGTGGGTCATGTCCGACCGAGGGATTCCTCGTTCGTTCCGCATGATGCAAGGCTTCGGTGTCAACGCATACACGCTGCTCAATGCGAAGGGTGAACAACACTTCGTCAAATTTCATCTCATCCCCGAACTCGGTGTGCACAGTCTGGTGTGGGACGAGGCGCTTAAGATTTCTGGACAAGATCCCGGTAGGCGTCTTCTAAACATGCTTCTACTAACATTTCGTTTACCTTATTCTAGACTTCCATCGTAAAGACTTGAACGAGGCCATTGAAAGTGGCTGTCCCGCCAAATGGACATTTGCCATCCAGACCATTGCCGAGAGTGACGAGCATAACTTCGAGTTTGACATTCTCGATGCGACCAAGGTGTGGCCGGAGGAACTCGTACCATTGCAGCCCATAGGCGAGCTAGTCCTTGACCGTACTGTGAACGAATTTTTCCCCGAGACGGAGCAGGTCGCTTTCTGCACCTCTCATGTCGTTCCCGGTATCGGTTTCAGCGATGATCCATTGTTGCAAGGCAGAAATTTTTCCTACTTCGACACTCAAATCTCTAGGCTGGGCTTGAATTGGGAACAGGTACTGTCGTCTTTGGTTATTGCCTTCGTCGGGACTCATGGCTTTCTCAGCTCCCGATCAATAAACCGGTATGCCCAGTTATGAACCATCATCGCGGTGGCCAGCATCAAAGTTGTATTGTCAAGAGTAATGTTAACTACTGGCCAAACCGCAACGCCACCGGTCAACCAGTTCCACCTTCTGAAGGAGGGTATGCGGAGTGGGTCTTTCAGTGAATATTCTTTGGCGTCATTATAAATTTAATTGTCGCAGATACCCCCAAAAAGTCTCCGGCATCAAGCAGCGCGTCCGGGGCCCGAAGTTCCAGGAGCACTTCAACCAAGCCCAACTCTTCTACAACAGCCTCACTCCATACGAACGGTCCCACCTTATATCTGCCTTCTCTTTCGAGCTCAGCCACTGCGACGACCCTGTCGTATATGAAACTTACACAAACATCCTCAACAACATCGATTTCGACCTAGCCAAAATTGTTGCGCACAACGTCGGCGGTATCACCCCACGTTCCCCCGCACGCGACAACCCCGGGGAGACCTCTCCAGCCCTCTCGCAGAAGTACTATGTTCCCAAGACACCCACAATTGCTTCGCGCCGTGTTGCGATCTTGGTCGCGGATGGGTTTGACCAGGCGAACGTAGAAGGTATACAGGAGGCATTCCGCGAGCTCGGTGCTTTGCCTTTCCTTATTGGGCCTAGGCGGGGTCGCATATTCCCCAAGGGTGGGAAATCGGGTGTGATGGTGGACCATCACTTCGAAGGACAGAGGTCGACGCTGTTTGACGCTGTATTCATTCCCTCTGGTATCGAGCATGCAAAGGTCCTATCAGACATCGGGAGGACTGTACATTGGATTAGGGAAAGCTTTGGCCATTGCAAGGCGATTGGTGCTATCGGGGATGGTATGTTGCTACGCCTCTTATTTCTTGTAAAGGATTCTGAAGACCCATTACAGGCGCTGATTTCCTCCAAGGCGCACTTGATGTACCGGGGTTGAAGTTTTCGAATTCTGTGAGCAAAGAGGATGTGGTGGTATCGTACGGGGTTGTAACTGTCGGGAACGGCAAACCCGACTTGTACTCAACAAGTGATTTCGCCAAAGGGAAGAAAGAAAGCAAGTCGTTCGCTTCTGCCTTTGCATTGGAGATCAGCAAGCATAGGTGTTGGGAACGTGAGACCGAAGGCTTAACGAGTCAGGTAGCATACTAACTGCATATGTATGGTATTATCTCTTGTACATATTTCCGAGCATGTATTATTAGTCAGAATACTATTGCTGTGCTACTTTTACTCCAAGTTGCATAGGATTCTATCTCAATAAAAACTACATTCATGGTAGTGCCTAGTATGAGCACACATTAGACAGACTGTACTAATTAGGTCACCTTCCTATTTCACTATGGGGTAATAGTATTCCACGCTTTCGTTGATTTTCCTTGGCGCTATTTGTCTACTTTGGGGCTATAAAATTTGACATTAGATGAAATATGCAATTATTAATGACACGTTAAAGTTCTGAGGGACCAAAGTTGCTATGTAGTACAATACTCGAAAAAGTGCATCTTATCTGCCAAGCCCCTATTTTATCTGTCACCGGCCCGAAGGGTCCGAGTTACCCGCGGCGCGACCATGCTTGTTCTTGCTTCTAGAATGTATCCTCCTCACATATATATCTATCGATGCTATGAATAAATTTTAGATGCACTTCCCTTCACTAAATACTCATTTGTTTTGTAGTCCCCAAGTCACAAACAGGGTTTAAACCAGAAGAACTGACCAGAAAAGATCGTTATGCTCAAAAATGCTGGAATGAATTCGTGGTTTTTTTTATTCTGGGCCATCTGCCCGTTGCGCAAGCCTACCAGCCTCATGCATAGGTAACTGCCGTGGAAACCCGGTGAAACCGATGGTAAACCCATCCCCTTCACTTACTTGATTTGTCTCATTTACTATTATTCGGCGTGACTCATTGATGATTTCATCAATCATAGCAGGACTTGGCGGAAACTCGCGATCAATGTACTCAGGTATTTCCTGAAAGTAGCAAAAGCCGTAAGTCGTGTATTGAATGATCTTATGTCATGTTCGTGGGCTATAACTTAGGTGGTAGCTGACTGACAATGGGAAGAATAACGCAGGTCTCAGTTCCGCGCCGATATTGCTTAAAAGGCCCAGACGAATTCTCATTCAAATCGAATATATAGTGAGGTCATGTCTACAGTCAGGCGCCATGGACAATCATTAGCCGCCCGCAAGTGACTGGTGAGATTCTTATAAAGCGTGGGTCTGAGAACCTTATTCATCCCAATGGCGCGCAATTATAGTCTTGCATTCCCCCGCTTGGCGCTGTACACATTACTCGTAAGTGTAGGAATCGTCGTTATTCTACGCATATTGAAAATTGGCTAGTGGGCTATTGCAGTCGTCCTGCTGGGCCTAACGTCGTACCGCATCCATTTCACGAAGCATGAGTTCAGACGCTACCGTACATTTGCTGTCTTTTTGTGATTTGGGATCTGTCTCATGGGACTTTCAGAGAGTATTGTTGTCGAGCTATTGGTCTCAGCCATCCTGACAATTCTTTGGGTACCGTTTGTGTGAGTCCACTTTGTATGCTTTTATTCGTCCAGCTGACTCAACGCATAGGGCTGTAATGATATTTGCTGCACGTTCTTCGAGGCGTGAACACGTCGGCACCCAGATTTGTTTCGAGCTGTTGGTATTAGCCATCTTATGGGTGATGTGGCTCGTCGGTGCTGTAGACACAACCGTGAGTGAACTCAGACTCAGTCCGTCTGAGACCTCATTCAAGCGGCCTCCTTCAGAACCGCATTATTCCCGGCCACAACTGGTGTTCTCCCCTATTCAGTTCGAAGCAGTGTAACATCTTGACGACGATTAGTGCCTTTGCCTGGATCGGGTGGTCCCTATTGACGATCATCTTCGTCTTGTCAACGATCGCCCTTGTTTCTGGAGAAGCTGAACCGACTACAACCGCCCCTGCCACTGCAAAGGACAGAATGGCGGAAACTTCGGCGCAAGGCACCCAGCAGCCTGCCACTACAACCCAGCCAGCGGCCCAGCCAGCTACACAGCCAGCTACACAGCCATCCACCCAGCCAGCTACCCAGACACCGGCGACTCAGGCTGTATGAATGATTGTCTAATGTCCATGATCAGCCCCGTGTGACGACTTGTAGCGTCCTTAAAGGCGCCAGGCATTCAGATGTAAAATATTTTGTTGTAATCTGTAATATTATGCTCTTACAAGGTTTCGTGCCGTACATGAAGCGTGAAGTTTGGATTACACACAAGAATACCTACAGCAACCTGTTGATAGAGCGAACGCAAATGCCAAATCCTGTTCAATGACTGCTTTTTCGGTCAAAGCGAAGGTCAAGTCAAATAAGCGTAGGTTGCCTCGCTCTGACCTTGGGGACGTATGATACGGTGCGTAAGGACCGCCTGTAAGGAATTCGTGCCCACTCGTCATAGCAGCCCCGAAGTTATTGGGTTTGGCAGTACGTACTAGTATCCAAGTTGTCGTAGCAGTCAGAATAATACGCAAGAGGGAGGAGGGGATTAACTATATGCAGGCACTCTTCTTAATGCCCATAGAAACTGTGACCTGTGGCCGTGACAAGCTTTCGTGGAAATGGAAGACCAAAGCGACGCGATCAGGTATGAGCTTGAAGAGCAGACGTAACACTGTGGATCCAAAGACATCTCGCTCGATTGTTCTAGCGCCCACCTGACTATGCAACGCAAACACTCATGGATAGACCCAGATGACGTACGATCTTTTTTATGGTATCTCGCCCCCCCGTCGGAACACCAGTGTTGAAGAGAGCCTCAGTCGGTTTGAAGCCATCACTCAAGGCTCCCCTGATGTTACGCACTGGTGTATCCGTGCCAAGACTGATATGATCAGCCCCAACAAAGCGATGCGTGACCTGGTTATATACCGATATAGTGTAACTCGGTACCATCGAACCAGGCGAGTCTTTTGATTGGTTTTTTTAGCTCAGTCTTATTGATAAAACGTTGCATAGAGAAAGGTGGAATGTATATTCGACCTATAGTTTGCATGTGTCGTAGACTCCATTGAAGGCGTAGCACATGCGATACGAACTACTGAGTACCGAGATCGCAACCCTCAGTACTGCTGGATGATGTGATGTGTTTGGGGTTTGCCCCGTCTATGTTTGGGATTTCAGGTCTGTATGCTTTAATGCTTGCTAGACTGTTTCTGATGTGTCTACTGGCAGTCGTCTAAATTTCATACGTACAGTCCTCGAAGGGAAAACTTCAGCGATTCGTGGATAAAGGCTTAGTTCACGGCTGGGATGATCCTAGGTTTCGGACTGTAAGAGGGTAGTCATGAGATGAACCAAGGTATTCGAAAGCTCACCACTCTACAATCAGGAATGTTCCGTCGCGGTCTCACTGCAGAAGCCTTGCAGCAGTTTATATTATAGCAAGGGCCATAGGGTCAATCACTTTCCGGTTCAATGACCATACCAAGTCCCATTCGAGTAACCCGCGGGGGCACTGGGCGATCATCAAAGAGGATATGTATGTTTATTTCTCGCGATCATACTCTCTTCTTGACGTCCGGTACAGTTTCTGACATCCTCAAAGGAGGTCCGAAGGAGCCGTACTCTCGCACTCTTCCGAAACGCAAGAAGAAGCCATCAGTCGGCGAAAAGCGAATGAGGCAATATTTGATGCCCGCTCTTTCAAGGAACCAGAAGAGGTGGGCTGACTATCCCTTTGCGCTCACGCATATTGACATAGAACATCAGGTCACACTCATAGATTGGGATAACACCTGTTGAGATTTGGACTATATCTAGAGCACATGCTTGTAAGACCTTTAGTCTTTGGGTTACAAACTCCTGAGGAGTTCCCCCATTGACTTCTCATATTTATACTAGACTACTCCTTTTCTAGTAGTTCCTACCTAATTCCTTCAATTTCCCTCAGATTCTTTCCTCACTCAGAATGCTGGAATGCTGGATTGCTCGAACTCTCTTGCAGATTCCAACACTTCCCTTCAAGCCGGTATTCCGCCTCTAGCATCTTTAGGTAAGCCCTCTAGACTTCCTCGAATTCCGGTTCCGATGTAAGCCCTCTAAACTTCCTCGAATTTCGGCCTCTTTGTCCGAGTCTCGAGCCCTAAAATAAGTCCTTTAGACTTCCCTCGAATTCTGGCCTCTTTGTCCGGATCTCGAGTCCTAAAATATTTCCTTCTCCAGATCTGGTTTGTGTGCTTGTCCTTGTGCCTTCTCAAGCTGACGACCCATCTGCACAATCTATCCTCTGCTGCTGTTTCCCTTCCTTCCAATTCCTTCTGTTGTGAAGCCTTTGGTTTCTCTATTGCCCCGGAAACAACCTTCCATGTGCCTGCATGCCAAAAGATCATGCCGAGAACAAACTTCCAATCATGGTAATTCAATTTCGTAACAGATCCGAGTAGCGAATTGATGTTCTGCGAGGCCATAGCAATAAGAGGTAGAGAGCAATGTGGAGATAAGCAGTGTACTAGGAGTTTGTGTTGAGATTTGAACTGTATCCAGAGTACATGCTTGTAAGACCTTTAGTCTTTGGGTTACAAACTCCTGAGGAGTTCCCCCATTGACTTCTCATATTTATACTAGACTACTCCTTTTCTAGTAGTTCCTACCTAATTCCTTCAATTTCCCTCAGATTCTTTCCTCACTCGGAATGCCGGATTGCTCGAACTGTCGCAGATTCCAACAACACCAGCGGACGCTCGATCTGTCATCTCAGAAGGTCGTCTCATTGGTCTTCATCTGGACGGAGATTTTCGCGCTATGCAGAAGAAACATTGTGGCTCAAACTGGATAATTCTCTGCGTCAACTTCATCACATTAGGTTCAGCTGACAGCGGAAGCTCCTCCCAATTATCTCATTCCTCCAATTTCTTCTTCGTGATGAGGTACCCGCGGTCAAAGTAGAATGGCCTCGGGACAGAAGCCTGAGAGCATAAAGAGTCCTATGCTTTTGACGGCGTTGATAGCCATGACCGACATGCCTTCATAAAATTGCCTGGATGGTAACTACACAGCTCTATAGTCATGGCCGCCGTCGTTTCCAATGTTATCATGTGTTTCGACTCGGTTTTCACTACGGAGTGGCATTCCTTTCGACAGAACCGTCACGGTGGTTTGAGGAAGAAGATTTTGGCAAGTTCTTAGGCCAAATTTAATTTGTGGTCCATGAACATGCATGAACAGTTGTCGGGTACATTTTTTTTCGTTCATAGCCGGGCCGACTCTCCGACGCATTGCCTTTTTTTTTCAAACTTCGATCTCGGCTGCAGCCCAACTTCAGCCTCGTGGCTCACGAAACAGTATTATCGTATGGACTGCATTGTCTCTACCATCAGATCCACTGCTTCGTGTACGTTATTTCTCTTGCCAACTGGCATTGAGTTCTACTCCAGCTGAAACGAGGGTCGTACGCCGGCGAATTATTTTGGTTTTGGTAGGAATCAGATCTCAATGCATCCTGATGGGACACTGCACATAATATACTTGCTTCTTCATTTGTAACTTTGGTCATAGGATAAACAATTCCCCCGGCTCCCAGAAATCAATCCTCGAGCGAAAAAGCTTTCTTCCTAGAATTCTGACGACAGCATCGTGTACAAGGTTGGGCGCTCCAAGCCAGCACCTCCTTCCCAGACTGGCCTGGCCCTGATACGTGATAGCGTCCTATGATTCTCTATTCCGTGTCAGTCCTCGAACGGTCTCTTTTCTCCGTTTCGCGAACATCACCTCATTTTGCAGGGAGGCTAGATGCACTGTAAAATGTACTCGTCTCGTGAGGCTCGTTCAAGGACTAATGCGGGTGTGTTTCGGCTGATTTACTTCCAGAAAACTTGTCGAAACATGTTTCAGACGTCGAATAGCATCTGGATGCCGTAAACACCCTCGAACATACAGGTCTAGTACTTTACCCTCAGTGTTTTAGCGTATAAAGGACAGTCGAACAGAGGGTTTGAGTGCAGCAGCGCCAGCAGCATTACCTCCCCCCCTACAATTTACATCCTTTCTCAGTTTTGCAACCCAAAAGTCAGTTCTCCCTGCTTTTCATCTATACAGTGGTTATTAACGAGACGTAGATGCAATTCAAGTTTGCTACCTTCGTTGAGGTCGCCTTCTTGGCTTCTTCTGTGGCAGCTATCTGCCCCGGTTACAAGTACGCTCAACATCAGGACTATCCTCCACACACAATACTGATTTATATGTGTACAGCTACGGAATCATGGACCTCGGATATGACGTCGGCACTGGAACAGAGGGCTGTCAGTAATCTTAAATCTCTTCCGTGCGGGAACTGGGAACTGGGAACTGACACGAAATTCATAGACGCCGTGGTGGATGATTCTTGCAACCAGGTGGCTGGAGCAATTACTCACAACGTCTGCGACGAACCGCTGTTCTCCTGCTCTCCGGCGCCTATCACGATCACCGCCTTGCATTATGGTGGCCAAAAGTGTGTACCGAACTCTCGAACTTGTTCTTCAGCTTAACTAACTTTTACTACTCTGTAGCTATGCCTGCCGAGGCGACGTTAACTCAGGATCATGTGACGGTACAGCCGTTCAAGTCTGCGTAAGTGCTCTGTCGGTCACATTGTTCTCTTCGCAAACGCTGACGTCGATGGGCAGTGCCGCAATGACGGAAACTAATATAACACTGCTTTCGACCATTTTCTTAGTTTATGATTGTATGTGTATATAGCTCAGGACTTTTTTTTCTTTCGAATGTTATCATCTGTGAACTATCTACCACCTTGAGTAATCCCAGAGGCTGCGCTTTCATTGGAACAATCAAAGACTGATTTTAGGGAGGCGCAACGAATACTATGGCCACCGCAGCGGCATAATAAAATGTATTATCTACAGTCTCGGATGTCATGGTAGAAGACCTTGTGCTTAGAGGAAAGACGTATTGCCTAAGATTCTTTGAATTCATTTTGATTGATGGTCAGGGCATCTTGAAAATACATGTTATGTCGGGTTTAGATACATAACTCTTCGATAACTTCGTTCAGTTCCTGTCTTACAATTTCAATCCGATGTTCATATGAACAGCTTTGACTTCCGAGTACCTGTAGCCGAAGTCAACGCAGACCAACAAATAAAACTAAGTTAACACTTACATATTCAACGCATACTCACCCAGCTCCCGCCCATTGCCAGATTGCTTGTAACCTCCGAACGGAAGGGAAGGCTCCAAGTCACCATAGCAATTAACGTAGGCAGTACCAGCCTCCAGAGCATGAGTCACTCGGATGGCTTTACTCGAGTTCTCTGTAAAGACTGCCGCAGCCAGACCATAAGATGAGTCGTTCGCCAACTCGATCGCGTCTGCACTCATTGTCAGTATTTCTTTCGGATTGGCTATCATCGAGTCTGCATACCTTCTTCAGTCTTAAACTTGATTAGAGCGGCCACCGGCCCGAAAATCTCCTCCTTGACCGCTTTCATGTGGGGCCCGCCGGTGAAGATAGTCGGCTGGATAAAGAAACCCTCTCCCATGCCATGTTTCTCTCCACCGACATGGAACTGCGCTCCTTCCTCCTTGGCGGAGTCGAGGTAACCCATGACGCGCTATCCTGCATGTGAATCCCCTTTTATGCTTGATTATATTCAGAAACGCACGTCAAATTGTATCTGCGAAACCTGAGGCCCATGTTTGGTGTCCGCGTCGAAAGGATCACCGGTTACATGCTGCAAACTTTTGGCGAGCGCAGTGAACTTTTCGACAAAAGTGTCATAGATGGTTTCCTGGAGCAGAATTCGAGAAGAAGCACTGCATATTTGACCCGCATTTGAGCTGAAAGTAACATTCTAGTCAGCACCAAATAACGTATGGCAAGTATACTTACAAGATACCCGTAGCAGCCCATTTCACAGCTTGTTCAATATCTGCATCGTCAAAAATAATGCATGGACTCTTTCCTCCAAGCTCCAGACTGACGGCTTTCAAATTCGATTTGGCTGACGCTTCTTGGATCTTCCTTCCCACTAGGGTACTGCCGGTGAAAGCAACCTTGGAGATGTTTGGATGTTCGCTGATTGCCTGACCAGCCGTGCTACCTACGTGTCATTCAGTATTTTTTTAAAAGATATTAACAGCGTATAACGCCTCTCACCGTAGCCATTGACGATATTGACAACACCAGGTGGGAACCCGGCCTCGATGATGAAATCGCAGAGGCGTTGAGCGGTCAAAGGGGTGATTTCGGACGGCTGGGGAGCTATCAATGCCGACGATCAAAACGGATCCGCGATATGATTACCTTTAGGACAACGGTATTCCCTGTGGCCAGCGCCGGGCCGAGCTTCCATCCCACCATCAGCTAAATAAAGGCCTGAGTGAACTTCTAAATTCGCCATGAGCGATCGGGATTACCATAGGGAAGTTCCATGGTACAATTTGGCCCTGCCAAAACAGGTCAACAGCGGCAGAAAGAACTGAATCCATGGACGCACCACAACGCCGTAAGGTTCATGTCGAGTATAGCTGAATTTTTCCTCGTAGGTCTTAGTGTGTGGTGTTAGCATTTGACGAGGATAGGATAAGGTAGAGCTCAATATCGCACTTCAATTACTTTCCCATGAATCTTGTCCGCCCATCCGGCATAGTATCTGAGAACAGAGATCATATCAGTAAGATCACTATTCTTCGCGGTCTTGAATGGTTTTCCTATGGGGTCGGTTCGTTCAGTTCCCGCGTACGGAGACAATAGGCCCGCACATACCGACATTCAAAGTCTCCAATGCAGCCATCTCATCGATGTTCTTCTCGACGAGGTCTGCGAGCTTGGATAGATATCGCCCCCTTTGGGCCCCAGGACACTTTAGGCCCCACGAGTTCTTGTACGCCTAACAAGCGGTAGCGTGAGATGCGTGAGACTGCGAGATAACGATTTCTCACCTCCTTGGCCGCTTTGACTGCGACATCGATGTCTTTCTTTGTGCCCCCAGCGATGGTTGTGATCACCTTTCCAGTAGCTGAGGTGCATTATTGAATACAGACCGAGTCGGAAAGACTAGGCTGGTCGTACCTGGGTTAGTGACGCTGAAAACGGAGTATCTCAGTCATCATGCCTCGTAACAGATAGTAGAGGCCAGATACGCACTCGATGGAGCCACCCTCGATGGGGTCGACGAACTTTCCATTGATGAACAGACCGGTGTTGACTTGAGTAGTACCCTTGAAGGTGGGCGTGTCGAACTTGTAAGTGAATACTCGATTCATGACGGTGGATGCAGAAGAAGCGGGCGTGGACTCTTTCATCTTTTAAGGGCTTAGTGAAGTCCGGCTCGTCTTCCCCGGTCAATGTGGGCATTGGTGGATTAAACTGTGCATCAAAGATCATGAGGACGGATCGCCTGATACGAATAGTCCGCAGGAAAGGCAAAGGGGTCGGTTGCAGACGGAGCTTTTAGTCGTCTGGGAAATTTTTGAGAATTGCTGACGGAACCTTAAGCTCTTCGTTTAAAGCTGTAAAGGGATGTTAACGATTTGTGTTCGTCGGTACCGAGCCACCGTACCTCGCTCAAAGGCACACAATGGAGTTCAAAAGATTGAGGGCTGATTATCGATACACTGAAGCTAGTCCTTAGAGTCAAAGCTTCAGGTTCTCATTCGGAAGAAAGGAAGACGACGCGTGTTATTCATCTTGGAATTTTTCCTGGATCTTTTTGGAACAACATTCTCGCATTCAAAGTCTGGTCGCTGGAGAAATAACTCGTTGAAGTCCCATATTAAGTTTTAACTGTTATCTAACGCAGAAATGTTTACATCAGTACGATTTCACTCTATTCCACTTGACAATGTAGTAAGGCGAACCAAAAATTGTTTGGCCTTGTCTGGGGAAGCAGTAAACGGTCATCCAGCATGTCGTGAATGCACACAGAGTGTCAAGTAAACAACATCATACCATCTGCGATCGATCGCACTGGCGGGAACGTTCGGAGTTTAAACCATCTTTTTCCTCAAAACGTTCAGTGCTTATCATTGTCACTGAGCAAATTGAGGCTGTAGAGCTTGGGATCACGACAAATAAAAGCATCATTGTGTTTGTCAGGAGAAAAGCCTGATGTCTGCCTACTTATAGGTGGGAGATGTGGCACATGGTCACCTTTGACAAGTCAAACGATGTGATCTTCGCACCAGAGCTGAAAATTAAGCAAAGAGTTGACCATCATGAGCCAGAGGACACCAAGCAGAGTGAGGTAATCTATTGGGATTGGAAACCTTGGCATCAGGACTGGGTATGAGATCACTGTAGAAAGTAGAGAGTGAAGCAGCCAAAGCAGGATACTGTATGGTGTATACTTCTGTGGCATTGGGGGGGGGGGGATTGTCCCATGGTCAGCAAAGAATGGTCCATAGCTGACATTAAATGGCACCTTGAATTGCAGGTAGTTGGAGTGGCCATGCATATGTGATATTGGGTGAGGCTTGAGGTAAATCTGAACACTCGCCATGAGAGCTGGGGTCAAAGATGTATAGGGCCAAATCTTTACTCCCAGATTTTGTCGTACCATTGGCTTGCAAGGATGACTTCAGTTCAAAGGCGTGTAAAAGATTTAATTTTAATTTGTGACTCAGAAAGTGAACCTTCTTCTATCTCATCAGTGTGAATCCTTGGGTTTATCGGACCTGGATCAGGCTGGAGGTGACACGAACTTGAGTGTTTCATACTACAACCAAGCCCATTAACATAGATACACTACTACTGTATCAAACGATTGTATACATGTCTACGACTAGACATTTATCGCCAGGTTACTGATTGAACTTGAAGCGGAGAAATTACCAGCATGACACAGTAAGAACCTAGTGAATAACACACTAGGCAACATCAAGCAAGACATCACACCACCTATGACATTTCCAAATCCCACTCTATTATGTCTTCCAACAATCAACCCCCACTGGCAGGCAGGTACAGCGTTCTCCAAGTGTGCATTCGAGGCCCGCCTGACCATCAAGAGTGACACGTTAGGCATCAGAAAACTGGGCCTTGTAGGTAAAGGAGGTACCAGGGATGTTGAAGTTGGAGAAGGTGTGAAGAGCTGCGCAAGCGAGGCCCTTTGGGCGAGAGGCTTGTGTGTGGCTACAGGCAACGCATGGGACAGGCGTGACGGCGGAGAGGGAGAAAGTTGAGTATGCGACACATGATGCGTGAGAGACCGAGGAACGACAGGTGAAGACGGCGTTTGGTGCGTAACAGTTGGAGGTATCGGAGAAGATCTTGCAGAAGGAGTGTTTGCTTCACATGCGTTACATATAGGAATCATGATCGGAGGAGCTTCTTGTCCTGGTTGCGAAAGATTTGCAACGGAAGAGCGCCGGCTCAACGATAGACCACGATGACGGGGACGGGAGACATTGGTGAAGGGGGTGATGAAGGTTCAGTGCCCGAAGTCGGAGCCGATGGGTGAGGCTGAGAATGAGCAGGACGGACGCACTGTTATCGGAGATATGGACTAGGAATGACGCGGCAACTTTGGGACGGGAGGAAGAGACCACGGTAGTACAGATAACGGTGATAGTTCTTTCATCTTCAATGTGGTTGGCCCAGTCAAATTCGGCGCTTGCTTGAGTTGTGTAGTTTTGCTTGACCCAATGAACCCACTACCAAATCGTGCCTAAGCTTCGTCAAAGGGAGGTAGTTCTGTGCGTGAGCCGAATGTTGGAGTTCCGCATCTGGAGCTGGCTCGTTCCATAATCTCTCTTTGCCCGGCTCCGACGTCTGTAATGTCCCGAACGGAGGATCCACGTCCTAGGTCCGATGTCCCTGCGTCTGGGAAGACAGATCCACTACCTGCCCTGGCTCTCTGCTGGATTGGAATAGACGTTGGAACAGCAATGATGTGTCCAAAAAGAGATCCGGGAGCCTTCGTCAATTTTGTCACCTTCCATCCAGCGGAAGCCGCAAGTGATACAATCTCGCGAAGAGTACGTTCTTGCCCATTGAACACGGACTGCATCTGATATGAACTGAAATGAGCACTCATGATAATCGAGGGCAAAATCAGCGAACCGTAAGATCCATCCAATATACATGGGCGCTAGCTTTGCCCAAGTTGGGTAACAGAGGGGCAGGAGCTAACGTGGTCTCTGCACCGATGACACCATTGTCCCCCCTTGAACTGAAGTCATCCTCGCAAGCTAATGGAATGACGAAATCAGCGATCACAAGCTTTGTATCATCAGCCGCCGCTTCCCGGAGACGCAATAAGATGTGCTGAGCGAATGAGTCCGGCCAGTCATGCAGGATAACGCGTAGAAAGTACACAGCAGCATTTCTGACGGGCTGAGGCGTGAAGAAGTCATGAACTGATAGCATATATGAAGTTTTTAGTAAGTCATGACGAAAAGAATCTGGACTGTACCTTGAAATTGGGCGATATCTGGATCCAGGAGTTGAGGACATTTGTTTCTCCATTGCCGCTCCCCCATCTCAACAACAACCGGTCGATCCTGGATGATGAACTTTAATCCAATGCTATCCTCATCGGAGGGATTCGAGAATGTGTGTGCGAGGAACATGCTAGTGGAACCAATACCACCACCAACGTCTACCACGACGCTCCCTCGGGGAAGAGCATGCCAATCAAACCCTAGAGAATTGCAGTTCAGTTGCCCGTTAATGCAAAACGGAGATGGGCGTACCATTTAATACCGCTCCAGGGACCTCCCAAGAATCCGTCCCAGTCATCGCCGTCCCAAACCTTTCTAGTCGGTATCGATTCGAATTCAATAGCGGATTCACGTTCGAGGGCTTAAGACCGCAGCGATTCTCGATCGTTGCCGCCTCCTCTGATCTCGGCAACATCCCTGATTCACACTCAGGTCCGTTGACGCGACCGCCTCTGATTCCTTCGCCCTCGAGCCATCCAAAAAATCCAACGCCTTCGCATCCAAAGGCAAAATTGAAAGGCGCATGTGTCGGTTCGTTCGTGTTTTTGTGGGCGTCAGCAGAATAAAGATAAGCTTCAGCGATATATGCGGAAGATTTGAATAATTCGTCGGTGCTAAGAAAGGATTAAATCTTGAAGCAAGCTTAAAGGAGAAGATTGACGACTACCTAAGCCCGACAAACGCCGCAATCCCATTTGTGTCACGAAACTTTGCTTGAGGACTATCGCGAGATTTAGCAAAGATTCGACCAGTGAACAACGCTGTGACTGCACCTTGATATGACTTCTTGTGTTGATTTGCCCGTATCCACCAAAGACGAAATACGGTTGTTAGTAAACACATCAGGAACAACTTCGCGGAGTATATGATGTGTTGCAAGGAGACGCAAAATGTGAGCTGAAGGCAAAGGAGAGTAAATGGGCTGTGTTACAACATAAGCCGCGAGGTCATACCTAGTTTACTCTTCTCGACGCCATTCTTCTCGGCGATCATCTTAACGTGTAAACCATTAGGACCAGCTTCTCTGAGGATCTCTACCGTATTTGACGCTTCCAATATCCTCAGGCATGCCGGTAAATGATACTAGAAAGACGAAGCGTCAGTACTGGTCAACAACAATCGCGAAGCATGAGCGTCAGCCGCAGGGACAATCGGAGCCGACGAGTTTTGACAGGCGCCGGTGGGAAGAAGCCAGCGTGAGAACGAAAGGAAAGGGCGAGAGGATGGGAAAAACAACTGGAAGAGGAAGGCACTCACTGTCATCGAGGCATCGCACAGCGACAAAAAAGGCGTCTGGACTGTCGCTGTCATTTGTCCCGCAGCGGCAACAATTTTGTTGATTGCTTGCAAAACTGTAGGATGAGACGTCAAGACTTCAGAAGGCGAAGCTAGGTCGCAAGGAAGATCCAAGGCAGGAAAATCGAGGTGGGCGGGTGGCGAAGGCGTAGAAGAACGGTGATGAGGAAACGGATGCTCTGTTGCGGTCGTAATGGATGTCGAAGGCGGCGGCGACGCATACCCATGGTCAAGGGCGAAAGACGAGCACTTTTCTTTTGTCATCGTCGTCGATGGTGGTACAGAGTCCGCTGGAGACCTCCCCGGCATCGATAAACCTTCTCCATGGGCACTCTCCTCCTTGTAAACAAGCTCAATGTCGTCGAGCGCACTGCCAATGATTGCGTGCAGCTCCCGCAGGATGACGAAGGTCATGGTGATGGTAGCCGTACAAAGGAAAGAGACGAAGCGATCGTTCTTGACTGTGATACACTGGCTAACAGGCGTCACTCTAGACATAGAAGACTTTTCTTTTGCAGGTACATGAAGAATTGGTCCAAATCGTCCAAATCGAGTAATTACCAGACATCTCAAAAAGCCGGCGCTGATCCCTTTATACGTTCTCGACCATACCAGCCGTCCGATGGTACAAGCACAATATGCAGTTCATGCCCAACAATTCGACAGCTGTACTGTCAAAAAGACGTACTGGTGACCATTAAGATTGCATATTTTTCCAGACACTGTTCGGCTTTCAGATTTCGATTCTCGGAACTTTGAGAGATAGCAGATAGATGAGCCTAAAGCCAAAGATCGTGGAGAACACAAGATATATCCCGCGGAGCTGTACTGTTAGATGCATGAAATATTCGGTCTGTACAAGTAAAGCAAGAGCTCGGATCCTGCAGCAGCATTAAACATACGATCTAGAGTCAGGTGGCGTAGGCAAAGGAAAGCAAGATTGAGCGCAATGACCGGACAGCAAGGCGGATAATATCACTTGTACAAAGGTGACCTAACCTTCGAAGCAATCCCAGCGTCGTTCAATATAAACTAACCCTTTGTTATATAAAGCAGCCGATATGTTCGCGTTGTGTCAATTCTCGTCAATTAGCGTGCGGTCAGAGTCAGAAGAGAGGATACGGTCGGAGATAGAATCGGCATTATCGGCCACCCGGCTCACGAGGCTTCGACCCGAAACTGCAGTTCAGACGTCCACCATGCAATGGTCCACTCCGGGCCTTTGTACTTTATTTCTATCTCTTGTTGTCCCAACCCTCGGTATATGGCCATTCTCTCCGAAGCGATTCACTGGAAACTCGCTGGTAGGCGCCGGGTCGAGAGGCATAGTACTTGGTGAAAGAGCTATCGCATTCGGAGACTTCAATGGAGACCAATTGTATGTCGTGGCGTGATCATTTTGTCGATATCCTGACCGTGAACGCAGCCTAGATGTCCTGATGCTCGACGAGGACCAACAAACACTGATTGTGTACCTCTGGGACCACGGTGAGCGCCAGATTCATACAGAGTACATGCAGGAACGTGACGAGGCCCTTTCGCAAGCGGATTTTGAATTCAAGGAATCAGGATCACTCAGGCATCCAGTGGTGGTGGAGAATGTCGTCCCCGGCGACTTTACGCACTCAGGAAAGCTGGATTTGTTGGTTATGGGTCGCCGCAGAACTGGTAGCACCGTCGACATGGTGCTGTACCCCGCATTGCCTGGCGGTGGCTTCGGTGTGTGAGATATATATGTGCTATGGTTACCTCTGACTCGTTCTTAGATATTGCCAACCCAATTTCCGTGGCTTCTTCCAAGGCTCCTCAGCCAATACCCATCGACTTGGACGGTGACATGAAGATCGACCTCTTGGGAATAACGTCTGACTCTGACAAGCCATTGAAGGCGTGGAAAAACGTATGGAACACGTCGAAGGCACATTCAACATTGTTCAACATGTGCGTTTTGTCTGTGTATGCTGTCCTGAGCTAATAGTTTCCCAGCATTGATCCACAATTTCATGGCACACAGTGTACTCTCGCTTCTCCTCACAGTAATGCAGTTGTTGACCTCAACGGGGATTGCCTCGCAGGTGTGTCTGATCTATTATCACCACTAAATGCCAACTTAAACTATAATAGACGTCTTCCTCGTATGCGATGCCGGTGGAGGTAGGCGGTCCTTCCAGGTCTGGGTCAACGAGAAAGACAACGGATTCCGTCTTGCGCAGCAAGCTATCCTTCCTTCTGGTGTCCAAGCCATCTCCTTCGCCGATATTGACCGCGACGGGACCATCGACATGATCTTTCCCACCTGCTCCTCTGTCTCAACCTCTAGCGGTCTTGGAAGCAATTGTTACATAAACATCGCCTACAACAAGCAACTTCCTCTGTGTGCCTCATCCGCCACACCTTCTGTCGTCAAGGGTGTTCGTATATGTCGTTCCCCCGAGAGCCTGTGCATCGCGGATCCAGACTTCAAGTTTGATCTGAGGGATAGCAGTGACAACGATGCGTTTGTCCGGTTCCCGGTGTCTTCCCTCGGCAGCGGCTCACTCCTAGTCCTCGACACTTCGCTCTCCCCAGCGGTACCTCTGCCTATCAAACTAGGCGACGCTAACTTGGACGGGTTTCCTGATCTACTATTCATAATCGGTCATACGCCAAAGCTCGTGTTTTCAGTCCCGTGCGGGAAGGGTGTGACCGGTTGTGCCAAGGACGGTAGTGGAAGACGTGGTTGGCATGTCGAGAAGAAGGGAGTGGAAGTGTTAGATTCGATCCAGGATGCGCGAAGTGTATCTTTTGTGGATATGGATGAAGACGTAAGGTCCCTATTTTTGCCTGCGCGAGCCGGTTTACTTATATCACTTCCAAAGGGTACGTTGGACGTTATGGTGCAACGATCTGGTCCGGAGAAAATACTGTTCGTGCAGAACAACTTTTACTACGATGCATTCTTCCTCAAGGCCATCGGTACGTTCTTTGCATGACAATTTCTTACGAAGCTACTACGTCCCTTAGTGCTGAATGGTGCTTGCAATAATGGATGGTGTTATGGTCCCAACGGAACCCAATATCATGTATGCACATCGTTCAACAGTCTAAAGACTTCGCTTGACCTTTCCTCTAGCCATTCGGTGTCAGCTACTCCGGAGCGTCATACAAGTACACCATCCTCGACACCTCTGGCCGTCGCTCCGCAACGCAAAGTAGGGGTTTCCTTGTCCCTCTGATCTTAACTGACCTCCCTTCTCACAGTCGGACAACTACCCCAAACGGCTTACCATGCCCTCCAGTCGCCTTACTCCTTCTTTGGGTTAGGCCGGACGAACAACTACATCGAGAACCTCTTTGTCGGGAGCACCATGCATGTTGATGAGCATTACATCAACATTGAGGGTGTCATACCGAACTCGAAGGTGGTCATACTGCCTGGGCAGGATGGTGCGGCGTGGAAGAGGCAGCTGTTTTTGAGGCCGGGCAAGTGGGTTCCGTGGGTGACGGTTACGGTTGTGGTGGGGACCATCTTGTTGGCGATCATTGTTCTGGTGTTGCATTTGAATGAAAAGGTGTGTTTTTATATCATTGATTGCAGTGTCTCTGATTGTAATCTTGGTATACAGAGAGAGGACGAGCTAGAGAGGCGGAGAGCGTCGCACCATATCAATTTCGATGCGCTGTAGGCTAGGACATTATAATTGTACAGTACATATACATCTTATTTTTTCCTCTATGGACTCCTGGGTCTAGGTGATGGCGACTAAACATCTTGGCCTGAATATTTTAATCCTTGGCTTTGGTTGCAGAGGTACGAGACAGTGCCACGGAGGAGAAACGATGGTTGGAATTTATTTACAGACGACACTTATCTTTTGTCCCTTGCTTCCTAACGGGTGCGTCTTCGACAGTTATGGAACTCCGACTATTCCGGAATCTTGCTTACCGCCTGTGACTTGACATGTGGCGAAAACGACCGAGATGTCAGCCTCGAGCTCAGACCCAGGCTTGGAGAGCACATACTTTGTCGGGGCCTGCTTGCAGCTGTATCCTCATCCGCCACCAGATTGTCCTGACGATGATAGGGGCTTCCACGGAAAAGATGCATTGGTCATGAACTGGATTACAGATTGCCTGAATGCCTCCATAGCTCGCCGAGTTTTTTTTTCCATTCCTTCTGTGCCCGAATATTTTTATGGTCCTCGATAAGCGGCTCCTTACCAATACTGATCGTATTGTATTGCCCATGTCTGGACAGCACACATCCAGGGTTCATTGCCCGACACCAGGTACCCGTCAACCGTGGTCGCGAAAATATATGATCCCGTTTGTTTTGACTCTGGTGAGGCAGAGTGCTTCGATCCTTTCGCCCTCTTTGACTTGAATGTCTCGTGGGAGACAGAGACCATACCGACGTCTGGAGCATCTTTACGGCACGAAGGCTCCACGTTTCTATGGGCATTTTGTAGCTCCTCTACCTGCTCAGCATGATAGAACTATCAGCATTGTACTGATGGAGCACATCCATGGCAGGGACATACGGGATCTTGTTCCTCGGGAAAAGGAAGAAACGCTGTGCAGCATGCACAAGAACGCCCTCATCGACGCAGCCCTCCGGCTTTATTTTGATATCTATGCGTTGGGGGTGGAACAGTTAGACATGCAGCCTAGGAACGTGATATTGCGATGTCCTAGGAGCGCCATTTTTCTCGACGAAAGGATGCCCATTGCTCTCTGAGGCAGTGAGGATATGGTGGATTTTGAGGTGGAGCCGGAAAGCGAGTGCAGTGATCCTGTGACCTAAATGCTCTATGTCGAGGAGGTAAAGCCATTGTATCTCAGGGCCTAGTTGATGAATTTGATGCCTTGATTGTGTATCATTATCTCTCCCTGTTTCATATATCACTGGTATCTTTAATCTTAGCTACTATGGGTGAACTGAACTGGGATATGCAAATCAAGTTTCTCGACACATTTCCTTTAGTTTCAGGCCTTGTATAAATTCATATATGTAGAAATGATGTATGTGAAGAAGTTACAGCAGTCAGAAATGAGAAATTGCAAGAGCTTATCACATGGAAAATGAAATAGTAGTGAAAGTAGGTGACTGTATGAGGCTGCAGATCCCTATAACAAGAGGCTTCTTAATCCATGGCTAAATTTTCTAGATATGGGATAATGTCCCAAACTATGAACACAGGGGAATATGCCCAATCCGCAAAGACCCAGAAACTATTAAACATATACTAGTAGACTCAACACCTGAGCAACAGCAAATTTGGGATATGACAGAGGAACTATAGCTACAAAAACATGACCACTGGCCTACACCCTCACTGGGCATGGTTCTAAGTAGTGGATGCAGAACCTTTAAAAATGTGGGACATAAAGGAACAGAATGGGCTTTCCACATCCTTGTTCCAGAAGCAGCCTTTCTTATATGGAAACTATGATGTGAATGATGGATTGTAAGAGGGGATAACCCTGAGCTAACAAAGATGAAGTTGCAGGTAGATAGTATAACATGATGAATAAGTGCTTCCAACATGACTGACTATCAACAGATTTGGCCCAAAAGTGATGAAAGAACAAGTCAACCTTGATACCTGGAATGGGTTAATCTTCCAACAAAATGGAGAGAAATTGCCGGATGACTGGATCCAGACAGCCGGGGTTTTAATGGGTACCAGCTCTCACCGTAATGATCGGAATAGACAAATGAGACTGAACCCCACACTGTCCCTATAAGGTCATGTTTTCTGAACATTTCCCCAGGTGGTCCTTTTCTCATAATGCGGGGTGCAACTCCCTGCTCTCCTCTGCCAATCCTCGAGGGCAATTTAACCTTGTTAATAGGCTCTCGCTGTAGCACCACAAAAATAAAAATAAATAAATTTTCTAGATATACGAATCAATGCGCTATGCTACAGAAAACGGTTTGTCCGATTTTTGCATATCTCGGCTACCCATAGCACGGCACTTTCATGATTGTCTTGGAAGACTGAAGAGAAAAAAAGCAGAGCGCAACGATGCCGAAGCCGCGCTGAATCCTGATTTGACGATGGTCTAGACGCGTCGACGCGTTACATGTCATCACGTGTACGTGACGAGGGCGACAAATTTAGCGCAATTTGAATTTTGATTTCAACCTTTACCGCCATGGCGCCCAAGACGTCGCAGTCATCCCAGTCGAAATCATTGCTGCGAAAGTCGACCAAGCCCGCCACAAGAGTAAATACCCTGAAACTTGAAGCTGTGCCATCATCTGCAAAGCGAATCGACCCTTTAACGGCGGTTGGTTCAACTTTCGTTCATCCGGATCTCTTCATTGGGCTCACAGTGGTCAAATCAAAGTTCTCCAGTCTTCCTCTGTCGCAGCCGACTATGTCATCATCTAAAGGAAAGGAGAAAGAGAAACCTGCTACGCGTGATAGCGCCCATGATAGTCAAGCACAGGATGAAGGTACGTCCCTGAGACTTCAGTATTTGATGACATCTCATGTTCCAATTGCAAAAAGATAGCCAGTTATGGGTGGACCTGTATGAACCCACTACAGAAGTATATAGTCTGCATGCTTTATTCTGCGTCAACTTACCGTATACCCAAGGCCGAACTTGCCGTCCATGTGAAAAAAGTTGAAGATGTACGCCGTTGGCTTGTAGAAGCCTTCGAAGGTGGCCCTTCTGGAAAGCTCAGGAAATACCGAGTGCGCCAACCCCATCATTCTTACTTCTCGTTTCGTTCAAAAGCTTCCAGCGTATCCTCGCTCTGACTGGCCCGGCTGGAACTGCAAAAACCACGACAATGCGTATTCTGGCGCGCGAGATGGACTTTGAGATTCTGGAGTGGAGAAACGCTATCGGAGGAAACTCCGCGCACATAACAGGTATGTCCGGGGGGGACGGGGCGAGTGCTTTGAGCTTTAATCCTGACTATATTTCAAGATATAACATCAAGTCAGCCATATGTAGAGATTGATCCCGACCATGAAGTCCTTTTCTCTAAATTTGAGACATTCCTTGCGCGCGCGTCGACCTGTAACAACCTCTTCAGTGATGCTGCACCACTAGCGTCTTCATCTCAAACAACGACACCATCTTCCACGAGACCTACTCAACCTAGTACCAACAACAACAAACGGCGCATTATTTTGCTAGAGGACCTCCCTAATCTCCTCCACAATGACACTAAAGCCCGATTTCACGTAGCGCTTCAGTCTCTTGTCGTTGATCCTAGTCCAAATCCTGTGCCCATTGTCATTATAGTCAGTGACACCGGGATGCGTGGAGAGGCAAGCGATGAACGCTTTTCTGCTGGGTCTACATATCTAGAGCAAGACGGTGTTATCGACATACGAACTGTCCTTCCGAAGGATATGCTAAACGGTCCATATGTTACTCAAATACGGTAGAGCCTCTGAGCACTTTACCTTCCGTTCAATAGATTGCTGAAGCTCTTGTGCAGATTCAATCCGATCGCCCCGACGTTCCTGCGGAAGGCTTTACAGGTTCTGCTTGACCGTCACTTCTCGACGGCTAGAGGAGGAAAGTCTGTGCGACCGTCAAAGCACATAGTAGATATTATCGTTGACAGCGCCAACGGTGACATCCGAAGTGCAGTGAATGCTCTCCAATTTTCTAGCATAGGTGAGAAGGGACGCAAGAAGGGCAAATCAAGGGAGGCAATGGTGATAATGGAATCTGTGACGAGACGGGAGCAGAGCTTGGCTTTGTTCCATCTCATTGGCAAGGTTCTCTACAATAAACGTATGTCTACTGGTTTTCTGAACCAGGGACTTTTCTCTGACGCTTGAAACAGGCAAGGGCGACCCTCCTGCGTCTTCGGCGAGCAAGAAAGATATAGAAAGAGAGAAGGCTCTTGATGAGCTCTTGAATGATCCTCCCGATCTACGCTCCTTCCTTACAGAGCATCAACGACGGACGAGTCGTGTAGATGTCGATGTATGTCTTCGTTTCTTGTCTTAGAATCCACTCACTTTCCCAATCAGACCCTATACTCGGACTCTCCCATCGACTCTTCGCTATATTCACTATACTTGCACCAAAATTACACCCAGTTTTGTAACGACGTGGATGAATGCGACGGTATTTCCGATAACCTTAGCTGGGTCGACTCTAGTGGCGGCGAAGCTGTCAGTCGGCTCAATATCTCTTCCTGCCATGCTTTCTTACTGACTTTGCAATAGTGGTACCAAGCCAACCCACACCGATTCCACCTGCTGACACTAGGGACATTGCACTCGCTACCTACACCTGTCGAACGTCGATCACAGAAGATTTTCAAGCCTGAGTTCTTCGACTACCTGAACAAGGAGAAGGACGCATGGGAAGGCGTGAGAGATGTTCGTCGGTGGCTTATCGAGAAGGTTGCTGCTGTGGTCGGTGATGCCCGTATACACACTCATACTACACGGACTAAATAGTTTCACAGGAAGACGCCGGCTGGCGTGCTGGAGGGTGGAGCAGGACAGATGTTCCCACAGAGCTGGGAGGTGTGCTGAGGGCTCGGGATGCTTCGCACTATGTCACGGTGGTCAAAGCGCCCCCAGGCCATCGGTCGTTCAGCAACATGATGTTCGTAAGAACGACGGGAGGTGCCGCGGAGCAGCTGGGGGAAGCGGAGGCGGATGGCCGAGAGGTCGATGATGACGTATTTCTGAACGGGGAAGAGGAGAAAGCCTCGCATAGAGGAGGGTGGTTGGAGAGTGACGACATTGAGGATTTCTGATTGAATTTTAATGATAGGGACGCCGTCTCTGCTGTTCGTACAGTATGCCGATTTCCCCCCACCCCCAGTTCTCGTGGAACCATACATGCGCCACTGACACTGTTCTGGGGACTCCTAGTATGTCGCAATGGACCGTTTTGGTTTTAGGGTCATATCGAAATCATCACCAGGAACAAGTCCCACGAACGAGAGAGCAAGAAGTGCCCAAAGTTGGACATGGGAGACTATCCAAAGGACAGTGGGGACAACCATCTCTGATCGGAACAGAACTTTGAGACTTCGGTCATGGATGTGGGGTGTTCTTTCCCCCCCCCCCCCCCCCTGAAGATTAATTTCGAAGGACCGGCTCTCGGGTTCACGAACGAGTGTGGCTGTAAGTCACCGATGCACTGTCTGAGGCGTTGGGGTAGCGATCACCGGGCAAGATCTACTTCAAACATCAGTTAAAGGAACCCACAAAGTGCTTGTGCCTTGTTGCGAGAAAAGGCGGCGTCGAGGAGATCAAGATGCGCCTGTTTCAACATCCTGCTTTTGCCCAAATCAAAACCTCACTAGGACCCCCCCGTTCCAGAGGCAACCATCTAAGACACAAGTGACCATTTAAGAGTTTCCAGGAAGTCGAGTATGTCCATGATACCTCTAAAACACTGAGAAAGGGGATACACTGAAAATGCAATTCGAAAGCAAAATAATGATATCAGCGTGGTATAATTATACATCGAACAAGTCCACTTTAACACCTAGGTCAACAGGTCCTTCCTGATGCTGCTCATCCGACGTCGTTCGTGACATCGCTTACACTTCCTCTCGACGGCAAACTGCCCAGACTGCGATAATGCGGTGCGGACAGGGTATGCTTCGACCAGAAGGAATCATAAGTCAGCACAGGCCCCGGCTGTTGACCCTTGCCATAAATATCTGGCGCCGACAATAATTTTGCTGGCTGCCTTTTGGGCGTAAGTGTAGGCGAAGGCCATGGTTTCTGGGCAACACAACACCATCAGCACTTTGGTACCATGGGGGGGGTAAAAAGTAATTGACGGGAAAACTGACTGTTTGTGTCTTGCCCGTAGGCACTGGGGACAGAGAGGGGGATTGCGTCCTAGGCCTGGACAAGGCGCTATCAGGAAGAAATGGTGACGGTTGTAGCGGCGCGACAGCTGGGGGTGGTGGTGTAAACGAGGAGTTTGCTGATACGTGCACAGTGGGGTCTGGGGTCGTCTCGACCTCGATATCTGTCGGGACGTCGAGATCGATTAGCGTCGAAGCCCGGGAGATGTTGGATTTGAATGACAAGGAAGATTGGCGGGGAGAAGGGGTATCGCTGAGCACCAAGGTCGATTCGGAGAGAAGCTGGTTCGTGGGCGCTGTTGGTCTGGGCCCGCGGGTGTGCGAGTGATGGAAGTACAGGTTTTCGACTTCGTTGAGGGTTTGCTTTGTCTGGAATATGGTAAGTTTGGAGACTCGGTGAGAGGGAAGCCCGGTCGCACCCAGCCATGCTCGACCTTTAGCTTCGCATACTGTAACCTCATCTGGAGCTGTCTCGAGAGCTTTCGGCATCGACTTTAGCTGCCTGCAGGTCAATAAAATGATTCCAACGTACATGAGTCGCCTTGGCTCTCTCCATCGTCTGCTTCCGTTTCTTTTCCTCATTTGCAAGTGAAACCGCAGCGGCCGATGCAGTGGCTACCATACGCTCAAGCTTCCGTAAATCTGCCAGTGAAATCGGTTAAAAGAGAGTCTGACAATGAAAGAGTGAACAAATCTCACGGTATCAAGGCAAGGGCGAGACAAAAAGAAATCAAACACCGTGCAGATTTTCAGTTGATCCAGAAAAAAAGGCGAGCGACCTTCTTCCACTTCAGGCCTGGTGGCGTCGGACCGACATGCCGGAAACACGTGTTGTACGATCCCGTGGTATTGATTAAGGTGCACGTGACTAACTGTCGGGTCGGGCCGACGGCTCCCGCAGCCGCAGCCGGCAGCCTCGGAGTCTCAGTTTACTCAGCTGCAGATTGTCCTGTAGCGTATCTATCATGCCTCTTGCGCCCCCCATTAACTTTCCAAAATGGCTGGAAAAGAATGGTCATTTGCTCCAGCCACCCGTCAACAACTTTTGCATTTATAGGGGTGGGGATTTTGTTATCATGACTGTGGGTGGCCCCAATGAGAGGAAAGATTACCATGTTAATGAAACTGAGGTACGACGCATGTGAGAAATGAAACATTTGCCTTATTCATTTGCATAGGAGTGGTTCTATCAGCATAAAGGAGGCATGCTCCTGCGGGTAGTAGACGAAGGCAAATTCAGAGATATCAGAATCGAAGAGGGGGAGATGTTCCTTCTTCCAGGTGCGTCCTTCAGGCCCGCGGATTGAATCCCGCTCCCTCATTCACCACCGCAGCCAACGTTCCTCATAATCCTGTTCGATTCGCCGACACAATAGGGCTCGTAATAGAATGCGAACGACCTGCTGACTCGCTCGGTAGACTTGTAGCTTAAATCCGCACTTCCTTCCTCTCTGATGGGATCCGCACAGATCGCCTGCGCTGGTATTGTGAAAAAGGCCAGCACGAAGAGCCAACCATCATTTACGAGGAATCGTTCCACGTTACGGACTTGGGGACTCAGCTGAAGCCTGTGATCGAGAAATGGATGGGCAGTGAAGATATAAGGCGGTGCAAGTCTTGCGGCATCATTGCTGATGCGAAGTAGGAAGTAATATCATACAGGAAGATCGGCTGGATAAATGTACAAGGTCCGCGAGAATAGCATGCCGTTCGAATCAGGCTCAACTGACACAAGGTGCAGTTGGATATTGAACGTGAACGTTGAGCGCTCCAGCGCCCAGCAATGAATGACTTTGAATGACTCGTCGTTTCAAAATTAAATTGCTCTTCATTGCGCCATACTGCGTCATCTGTTTATTCTCAGCTCCATCACCTTGAGGTCGATCGCGTCGATCTTATCCGACTCCAAAGGCATCAACCCGTGGCAGATGGAATGGTGAGAAACCAATGAAAACGTTCGTTCACTGCACGTAGTCCTACATCTGGCCTGAGCGGACTGTGTGGGTGCGAGCTGTCTATCACATATGCCTAAACTGTGAAGAGAGAGGGTTCTTGAGCGAAGAGATGCCATGAACAGCACCTGATACATACCATTCGGCACACTTAGACTCCCGAAGGCCCCTAATCCATAGAGCTATAAATGCTGTGGCATACACGTTCATCAGTATAGAGGACCACCCTCACACAACAAAGCCCACCTTCTTCTCCACCTGCTACTATGTCTTACAACAACGATAACGACAACTCCTACGGGTCCGGAAACAACAACTCTTATGGGTCGTCAAACAACGACTCGTTCGGTTCCAGGAACAACAACCGATCCAACGACGACTCCTACGGGTCTGGTAACACAGACACGTACGGCAGTCGCAACAACTCTTCTTCCAATGACACCTACGGGTCTACCAAGTCAGACTCGTACGGTTCTTCCACTGCCACCGGCGGCAACGACTCAGGCTATGGAGGAGGATCGCGGAACGACGACTCGTATGGGTCTAGCAACCGCTCCTCCAATAACGACAGCTACGGGTCAGGCAATCGTGGTTCCAGCGGCGGCGACAGTTATGGGTCTGGACGTGGGGGGAGTGGGGGGTATGGAGGCAGCGACAACTACGGGTCGAACAACGATCGTTCGTCCTCCGCCAATACCTACGGGGGGAACGACTCGTACGGATCTGGTAACAACGATTCGTACGGATCCAAGACGTCCGGCAACGACTCGTATGGTTCTGGGAACAACACCAGCTCGTACGGATCAAGCAACAAGGGCGACTCGTACGGGTCGGGTAACCAGGATAGCTCATATGGGTCCGGTAACAAGGACAGTTCGTACGGCTCCGGTAATACATACGGTTCCGGCAACAACGACAACGACAACTCGCACGGTTCATCCGGGAACAATCAGAGCGGTGGGGGTGGCTGGGCAGGCAAGGGCGTGTCGTATGCCGCGCAGAAGGCCGGGTACAACCTTGTAGGTCCCCGTTTTCCCAGCCCTGACTGGGGGGTACTCATCATCATCATCTACTACTATGCAGGATTCAGACACGGCGGACAAAATCGGTGAGGGTCTCCGCGAGGGCTTCTCCAAGTTCAGTGGTGGAAAATTCTAAAAAAAAAAAACACCACGGGAAATGCGTAAGTCGTGTTCACCCCCACTTACACGTGTTGCAGTGATTGACTCGCCCGTCAAGCAGATGAGACACGGAAACGTAAGTCTGAGGAACTGGAATTTGAATACCATGTAACAAAATATTAGCGTAAATTGTTTAACTCTGGAAACATGTGTGCTAGTTGTTCGGGATTTGACCTCGCGTCCCTGCAGTGGTGACCATGCCAATAAGTTTGTTGGACATATGAAAGAGAGAGCGGGGATCATACCTAGCTGGCTGCTATGATTTCCGTGCATCGAATTCATGAAACACGGTAGGGTTTTGATAGAAAGGATGAATGTTCAAGTCCAAATATGGGCGTAACAGAGAGTCCACTATGAGACGTGACACGGCGTGACACATGAAGCCATGTCCTCCGATTCACCAGACCGGCCATTACCGTCATGGGCGAACCCAGAGGGCCCTTCAGAATCTGCAACCGAGGCCCTCAAGGCTCTGCAGACGTATAAGAAAAAAGATGGAGAGAAAGGTGCGTCTGTCGTAGCTCGTCGCAGATGAACGCCGTTTTACACAAGGAGGAAAATTACAGTGATTGTACGCTTCAAGGCCGTCGGAAATGCGCCCATCATGAAGCAGAACTTCTTCAAAATCACGTCGTCGAATAGGTTCCAGGCTGTTATACAGTTTCTAAGGAAGGAACTTGCGTGGAAGGCGGGAGAGCCGTTGGTGCGTGGACGATGAGCTGGATCCACTGGGCAAAGCTGAACTCTGGTACTGCAGCATACGTATATCAACCTGGCGTTCTCCCCAGCACCAGACGATACTGTCTCCAATCTGTTCAAGGTGTGTGTGACCTGCTTCGCCTTCGTCGGGGCTCCAATCCGCTAAACGAGGGACATTCAGTCGTTTGCTACTGACGGACACCTGATTGTTAACTATAGGTCAGTATCCGTTCATTTTGGCTGGAATCGCACTCACATCTTGTAGCACTACAGCAGCATGGGGCTGACCCAAGCGCGCTTCGATTATCTAATTCTATCTGTATATCGTGGTCCCTGTAATCAAAGTTCATATCCCGCCAAACGTCCCCCCCCCCTCTCGATCTTGGGTCCCATTTTTAGTGCTAGCAGATTCAGCTCCTCTGTATCTCCCAAATTCATGATATGAAGGCTCTAGATCGATAGGTACGCAACCATACGTCTTGTAGCCTATCATCACTAACATGCGGCCCAGAAATCTTACAATGATCTGTATTTCTCTTCTCTATCAGATCATGCAGAATACACGTTTCTCTGTCCAATAGCAATGAACCGTAATGACGCCATACCCTTGCGATGGCCAGCATGTAAATCTTGTCGAACCTCGAGGGGTTTTCATTTCCGTTCACATCCAACATTGAAGCTTGCGAATCCGTCCGTGATCCGCTGAACTGATCCGGTTTTTTTTCAATGTTCCTCTACTGCGGCACTTGGCTATTTCTTTCTTAGATCTGTAGGTGGGACAGCGCTAACTATGCGAAGACAAGCCAATGACCTGCACAAGGCGAGGAAACTCGTCGTGAATTCATTTCCGCGTTATATCTAGCGTTCTCCGCAGCTGGGGGTTTTAGGGGCTTCATTTTGTTACTAGCGTGCTCGGTCAATACGCAAGTAAGCGGTGGCGCACTGAAGGTTAAACGTCGAGGCGGTGAATGCCCCAGGTGCCTTGTCGGTAATAGAAGGATGGTTATCTATTTGTCTTGGGGTCGGCGCATGTACTACATTTTGAAGTGGTGCCCTATACCTTGTTGATAGCCGCACCCTTGTAATTGTAATGGAAATGCAAAAAAATGGGGTGCATACACGTACAATAAAGAGGACCATGTCCCTGTCCTCGTATTGCATGGAGAATGAGTCCCCTTCCTGGTACTGAATACAGATCTGTACGATCCCTTCATTCATTCAGCATCTAAAGGTTTGCACGGATCCCAAGTTACGATGATCACGTTCTCGATCGTCTCGCTCCAAACGATCGAAAGATCATCGCTCTCCCCGATGTAAAGATAAGATAACCGCTGCATTGAATAGACTACAGGGCCTAAGGCTGGCACGCTGTTATTGCATTCTGGGGTGCAAAGACTCCCTGTAACACTACCAAGGCTCTCTATTCAGGTGTGCGAGAAAAAAACAGTACCTCATGACTGGCGGGTCCAATATCTACGCTGCTGCCTGCCTGCCAGTGAGCCCCCACTCATCCACCGTGCCGCGAAGAGAAACACAGTTCCCATGCCATTAATATTTACATTTCCCGAACCCCGCCAACCTGGTGGATCGGGGAGGGAACACAACACGTGTGACGCACCCTCATTTACAAGGCACCTGAGCCAATCTCCTAACGAGTCACCCCGCAGCATGCGCTGTACACGTTTTTCCCAATTGAAAGGGACGACCCATTTGCGCGAGAACCACCAGTGGAAGGAAGAACTGTCATGCCCCGACTTGGCACGGTGATCATGAACATTGTAAGGTACATGTAATGAGTGCCCTCTCGAGATAAGTTTCAATAGGCTCCAGGTGGGTATTACGTGTATGTTATCGCGGAGGCACTTACATATCCGGAGCTACGCATCCTTTCGAACGGTATGATTATCACTGGTGGGGAGTCAAATATGTCCGTCCCGTCGGAAGTATCCGAACAGCTTCAACTTTTTTCTTTTTTTTCCTTTTTTCTTCAACCAGCGCCTTGGGAGGGGGAATGCATAATTAAGCAGCGGGATCGTTCAGTGCGCGGATACATCCGAGGGTGAGGCGCCGCCGACCGGGAGTAATGAGTCGATGTGTAGACGTCAATAGAGAGGATGGGTCGCGTAACGATATCTATCCCTGGGGGGGGGGGAGAAGGTAATCCGTGATGTCATGGCAGAACCGACGACGAGGCCAATGGGAAAATGTCATCAAGTACCAATATACTGAATTCGAATGAGCAAAAAGACATGTGTCTCATCGTGTACCTGCAGGAGATAGATTGTCTGCACGGAACTCGGGACCGGACAGTGGCCAGGTCACTTATGGGACTTATTTCACCCTGCGTCACCACGGTACCCGGTACATATGTGCAAGACTTTCGTGAACGGGGATGTAGCTACGCCGCCCGTTCGGACACATTGGCACGCGAGCTATTCAGTCGTCGCTGAGCACACGCATTTCGGCTACCAAGTGAATGATGAACGAGTATTATATCTTTCCTTATCTTACTCCTGCAGGATCGAAGAGGGCGAGGAGAAACATGACATGTACACATACGAGCCAATGATGATGGCCATGTGAATATCCGGATTTGTTTTTTTTTTTTTTTTTCCAAGGGGGGGGGATATCTGGTACCCGAAACACGAAACTGGGTAAACATGCATCGACTTGGTGCACGATAGAACCGGTAAGATACAGAGATAATGTACAGACAGACCTTCTTGTCCAAGTCACTGACGGAGAGATCTAGGGCCGATTACATTCAATAAATCCTCTTCAATACAATGACGTAAGATCACGCACGTAAATCGTGAATACGAACATTCGAATATTCATCCAAATTACAGTCCAAATGCTCACGTTCACGTTCACGTCAAAATAACCAACAGACAGGGAATTCCGAAAAAGCACGCAGTACCCATATACAATTGCAGGACCCGAAGGTATCTATACTATAATATCCACAAATTATAGAGTAAGGTAGAAATGCACAAAAAGCCCAAAATAAATGATAAGATGAAAACGATGAAATGAAAATGCATGATGGTCTATGTGATGTGATGCGATGCAAACGAAAGCCGGACGAAAGCAAAATGCAGCATATAGCCGAAGACTAGCAAACAGCCAAGAGAGGGGGGGGGGTGTCCTACAAAGTCCCTGTGAACGTTCTAAATGAACATCAAAAGGCCCAGGGGAAGAAGAATGGTGGTTGAACGACGCGTTCATTTTGATTTTTGCTGTTATCGAACGCCCGATATCAGGACCCGAGCTGAATCACGCGTTGAGGAAAAAACGCACCGGTTTGCGCATCATGAGAGGCGAGGAATCGCAATGTGACGATGGGGTAGTCTGACAGAAAGGGTCAGCCACTCGGTCGGAGGACCGTTAGATAAATAATCTATTACTCACAGGTCGCATGTACGGAGTCATAGCAGGATTCTGCGATGGATGTGCTGCGGCGGTCTTTGACGACAAGGCCTTTTGTAGCTGGAGAACAACCGGCTCAGCGCTACTCGAAGATAATAATACAAATAAACATACTTTCGCCTCACTAGCAGGCTGGTTGTACATGTTCGGATGTAGCGAGACGCTCTTCATGCTGGTCGCTTGTGGTAGTGTATGCAGAGACGAAGACAGGCTGGGGAAAGCCAGGAGACCTGACGGAACACCCTTGGACGCGTCGCGAGAGGACATAATAACGGAGAATACGACGACGGAGAAAGCAAAGGCGAAGAGGAATAGAAAACGGGGGGGCCAGGCGCGGGCACTTGGGCTGGAGAAAAGAAAATGAGCGGCAAAACCTTGCGCTCTTATATATCTATTTTAAATTATCTCATATGCTGCAGCCGGCACGTAGGCCGGAGCCGGACATCACACCTTATTTTAATATTATATTTATTTTCATCGAGTTCATCGAGTCACGCTCCCTTTCTCCGGTAGTGTGCCTTCTAGGAAGGCCATGTGTCGGCGACGCGAGATTCACAATGGACCATCCCAGATCTCATTCGTTCTCATGCCGTCCATGTTGACGAACCCGCTTCCTCCCGGCTATTCTCTTTTTCTTGACAAAACAGAAAAAAATATCAAAATCCAATTTCCCTTTTGTAATTTGTCAGACGCAAGGGCCACGCTGCAATCTTCTGGGGTTCCCTTGCGCAAAAACGCGGCAACCCAAAAGACAGTTAAAAACCAACCTTTTGCCAATAAGTCAAGTTTTTTTTGTTTCCCTGCATCAACGTTTCGTAGGGTCGTTGCTGCAGTTATGCTCTAAAGGCCACTTTGCCGGCCACATTTCTGGTTAATCTTTACTCACGCCCTTGGGAAAAAGGGCATACAAACAGGACTTTTCTCGGGGTTTTCATTATTAACCTGGTCCCTAAACCCTGTCTCTAATCCCGCGCCTCGTTCCCAACGTGCCCAATGCCTTTTTATCCCTCTCTTTCATACGCCAAACATGCTATCGCGCCCCATCGATGAAATACCCTTTTTCATTGATAATGGGTTTCCTTCGTGCCTCACACACCCACAAATGCACGCAAGTCCTCTCTCCGCACTCGGTCGCGCTACGCTCTACCGTACCGGACCCAGACCCATGCGATATCTCCCGACCCTCGACAATTGAAATCTGCCGGGCCGCCTGTCATCTGACCCGCTATGGACTTTGGCGCGAGCGCTGCGGTACTCTCACACACGTGTCGCCCTCACCCTGATAACTCTCCATCTGACGTACTATACGCTTATTACATCCCCTCCCCCTACTGATAACCCAGACTATATTATGTATCTCTGCCACGGGCTCATCTCAGAATGGGGTTTGCCACTGTGAATTCGCCTTCAGGGCTCAGGTCGCATGGAAGTGATCACCGTTATCTAAACTAAACAATCATCACATACAGCGTCTATCCTACGTGTATACGTCAAGCACCGCCGGACAGATGTATCTCAGCTTCCTCTCTCGTAGCAGGCAGGCTTACATCTCGCGGGCACTAAAAAAAAACATATCGTGACACCCCCCCCCTCCGCCCGCTCTATTACCCTTCTCTTCCCAACATATCCAGTCTTCTTCCTTCTTACCTTTCCTGTTTCATCTCTTCTGCACTTCCTGTAAACGAACTTCCCCGTCACTTCTAGCCCCGAGGCCGAAAATAAACATGGGTCTCTTCCCTCGATCTATTCAACAGAGATCCGACCAGCGGGACTCTTTGTGTGCGATATTCAATTCACGGGTTGCATCCCTATGAATAGGAAGGCCCAGCCTGCAGGTCCTATAATCATAATATAAAAAACCCCTCCCGCCCCGCATTACGCAAGCTCTTATCCCTATTGCAGGCTAATAAGCATACTGCATGGTTGCTTTGCCTTCCCCCCCAACCCCCCGGGGTATTTTAGTACCTCCTCGGGAATCACCCTTTGATCATCAACGACTTGAACGTACCTGTTGGGATATGTAACGCTAAGACCACACCGGATAGCCGTTCCCCCCGGGTTTTCGTCACCAAGTAAAGCCTGCCGCCCGAGATCGTCAGTTCTATCAGCTCTTTACATTAAGAATACATTTGTTCCTCAAACGTCGTTCATTAATCGATAGCTTGCACACCATCGTAAGCGGGTAATTTCTGGCAAGCCTCAGGCCACTCCATAGTCCCCTCTACCAAATCCGTAACAGCCGCAATCACCTCGTCAATGGAACCAATCCTCTGATCCATGGTATCCCTCTCGCTGAATAACATGGCAAAGGCAGATAGATAGGTTAATCAGTGCCTGAAATCAAAGAAGGAGACGGGGAACTCACCGCAACGTTACAGTCCTATTTTGCACGGCTGTTTTGACATACCATTAGGGATGATTTTCCCAATCGGAAAAAAATGACGTAGCGAAGATACTCACAAGCAAAGTCAACAGTGATACCATAAGGTGTTCCCAGTTCGTCATTTCGTGCGTAACGACGTCCGATAGATACATTGGAATCGTCTACACGGGAGAATACCCCTGCTCTACGCAATTTGGCGGCTGTCATGGGAGCGACAGGGTCAGTGTCACCTCATCGTGAGCGGTCAGACGTACAGATTTCTGAAACTATGGGATCGAATTCCTCCCGGGAACTTAGGGGGACGATAAGGACCTTGGTCGGTGCTACCACAGCAGGAAGTGACAGAACCTGCATTCATTATCCAATGGTCGTCAGATGAACGTTCAACTCAATTAATGAATAATGATGCGCACCCCTCGCTCTTTATCCTGTTCTCTGCTCCAAAAATTATGCTCCAGCAATGTGTACAATATCCGCCCGAGACCAAAGGAAGGTTCAATGACGTTTGGAGTGTATTCACAAACTGATAAATGATCCAATCAGCCATTCAACGGAGAGTTCCGGTAATCGGTACTTACTGTTTTGCTTGAAGGTCTTTCTCTCGATGCTTAAAAACTCCGGAGACAGCTCAAACGTCTTCCCTTCCGAGGTTTCAATCTTGACGTTACTAAAGCAATAAACGTGAGAAAATATTCAATTGAACGGAACAGAGAAAAATAATTGTGTTACCCTATAGATAGATCTTCCTTCAACTTGAGGAGCTCCGGTTCGTCAAGGGATTCGATGTGTTTCGTCAGGACGCCGGCATCCTGCTTGAACGACTTTCCAACCAGTTTCTTGTTCAGGTCTCCAACCAGCTTCTCCGTAACGATCGGCTCTTTGAGGTACTGCCGTACAACGAGCGGATGTCCAGTTTTCTTTGAGTGCACCGTTAAATCATATGCAGCGCGATCGGCACATCCCACACACTCTGTCCAGCCAGTCGAGTTCTCGATCTCCGCATCCCAGCAGTCAGTGGCGTAGTGAGCCATCTCATTGGCCATATGCTGTCTAAACCGCAGCCGCGAACGGTTGATACCAATCTTGACCAAGAATTGATAGATACGTGCTATGAAGTATCCCAGTGTCTCGTTAGCGATGATTCCCTTGTCCACGGCCTCGCCTACACTCATATCGACCACCTGAGTGCTACCGCTCGCCTGCACATGACGATCTAGGAGGACGAGAATAACATCGCGGACCTCTTTGAACCGAACATGACTTTTGTCTTCAGGGTCCACATAGTGCTCGATCTCGGCCATTGTGAATTCTCGGACACGAAGAAGACCAGCGCGTGGTGAAATTTCGTTACGGAAAGATCGACCTATCTGAGCAGAGGCGAAGGGGACACGGCCATTGTTGAATTCGAGGAGACGGGAGAAATTGAGGAAATGACCCTGGGCTGTCTCTGGTCGAAGGAAGCTGCAGAGACAGTGAGATGGAGAAAGAACATTGAAGGGGAGGGGGCCTAGACATACCCGGGATGCTGTCCGGTCGGACCGATACTGCTCGCGAACATCAAGTTGAATTGCTGAGGCTCGCCAACCTCGTTGTCCGTGTCAGGATTCCGTATGTTATATTTTTTACACAATGCACCCAGTTCGGGACCGGAATAGTTGTCTAGCTGCCTCCAGATTTGTTAGTTAATCCACTTTCCGGACCGATATGACAATAACAAACTGACCTGAGCTAAAATCACTTCGTATTCCTTCGCAACGGCAGGATCCAAGGCAACCTTGGGCGGCGTCTTGTCCTTTTTCTTCTTCTTTGCAGCCGCAGCATCTGCGGGTTGCTGTTGCTGTTGCTGTGCTCCCAGTCTAACTTCACTGTCGTCTGCAAGTCGCGCTGACAGAACATTTTTCACCAAGTGATCCGCTCGAAGCACATCGCCCGTTTTCGTGTCCTTTACCATCCAGTCTGCAAATCGCGCAACATGGCCAGAGGTTTCGAAGACGGGAGCGGGAGTCATAACGGTGGTATCCAGTTCGAGCATTGATTCTTCCACGATGAAGTGTTTCCGCCATTCAGATATTATGTTGGCTTGCAGGGCCGAGCCAGGCGGGCCATAGTCGTACAATCCAGCAACGCCTGCAGGGGAATTTCAGAACTGCATACATCCAGTAGTATCGCATCCCACGCACCACCGTAGATCTCAAATGCAGGCGCGTAGAAAAATCTCCTGCTCAACAGAGCCTCCAACTGCGCCTTATCGAACGGATGGGCAACCTTGTTCACCGTCGACATATCGGAGTTGCTACGACTGACGTGATGAATGCGACGGGTGTACGATGGTAGAAAACGAATAGATGGAAGACGACAACCAAACCTCATAACAAAATTTACCGAGTCACTGGAAGATTGCCATTTTGGGATTACTACGATTTACCGACGGTTAGAGTCCAGTACAGAAGTAACGGTATAGGTATTCTATAATATATGCAAGTGAAGTGGACGATGTATGTATGCCGCGTGAGGATATGCAAAAAGGTAGCCAGTACGTTAGTTTTCGATAAAGTCCGGAGGGACCTCCACCATTTAGGCAGAGTCCATAATTTTTAAAAAAACTATGCCAAGAGGAAATTTCGTTAGATAAAGCTCGCAGCAGTCTGCATCTGCGCAGACCCTCTTCGTGTCCACTCCTCCGGTGATACCCGTTCGTCCTTATCATAATTCGTGGCAAACAGCAGATCGTTTTCCGGCGCAAAGGCCCAGCGGGCAGGATCTGGCGCCGCCGCAGAGGTAATGGCCCTGAGTTCATTACCTATAAGAGTAGAATTAGCCTCTTCGGATGCCCATGAAGTACTTGGTAGAACGGGTGCAGACGGATGATATTCGAAGTGAAATGATCCATGTTCTGTGGAGGGGCGGGTAAGTGATGGGTACGTTTCATCTCGACGAGTTACTAGTTACCAGGTCGTTCTTGTCATACCCGAAGGGATCTGATCGAATCAATACTTCAGCCCAACTCATCACAAGGTAGACAAAACACCACGCGTACTCTCTATTTCTTCCCCAGCCACGAGGAACCCGAAGAATATAAAGCTCTATAAAGTGAATATGAGGTCGAGGTCACAGCACATCACATGTTGATGTGATGGGGGCGAAAAGGACGCACCAGTATCGAACAGGCTGGAATAGTAATCCACCCCAAGGCCTGCCAGATTTGGAACGGCTAGAGTGGTGGCGGCGTTAGGTCAAGCTCCTACACAAAGCGACGTGACCTCACCAAACACAAATTATACAGGACTGTTACCACCCAGAGGTGAATGGAGTAACTGGATTAAATTCAGTTAAAGCGACATGGGGAAAATATCATCATGGGACACAATGTACTGACGAGAAAGGAATGGGTGTCGTGAGAATACGTTCGAGACCGGTGAGACTGTCAACAAGCTGATTGAGCGCTGCCAGCAGTGCGTCTGTCGCATGCATATGTCAACCAAAATCCCCCAGAAATAAACGTACAAAGATCTACTTGTCGTAGGTACATCCATCGTTTTCCGTTTTTGGAGCGCCGATATATATGAGCTCTATACGTCTGTCAGTTGCTGATGTTCAGCTGGCATGGTCATCGGCGATGCTTACGAGATACAGGGATATTTCTAGCGGCAGATTGTGCGAGACGCCTATGCCCCTCATCTTGGCCCTTATCCTAGCTGCCTTCTTGCCTTTAACTTCTTTACCCCGCTTGGTAAGAAGGTGAATGAATAACGAGAACGGGAACAGATCAAACAAGTGGTATTTCGGAGGCATGCTAGCAGGTAGTAGGTATGCTTCGTCGGTCTTGGTTAAGATCATCTTGTCCTTGTGCGGCTCCGCATGATGTCCCTTAGCTTCTGGGCTCCTCCAAGGCTCCAAGAACATTGGCTTCCTGGAGATCGGGCTTGTCGCTGGTAGGGGTAGACCTGCTTGTGCCGACGCGGAGGATACCGAAGTTCTGTGATGCAGGAGGTTGCCACCGGAGGGACGATCTAAAGATTGGCGATTGCCGTTGGCTGTCGGTCGTACGGGAGAATCCGTCGGAGAGAGCGAATGTCCATCGTCTGTTTGCGCCTGGTCCGGATGTGAGGGAATGCCTGGAGGGAGCGCATAGGCAGGAAGGAATTTGACAAGATAGTACAGATCCCTGCAGTTCAAAAAAATACTTAGACGCGAGAAAACGCGACTGAAATGGGCGTACTTGTAGTAGATGCCGTCTTCCCCACGCAAATAATGTTTGATGGCTACAGCATATGCTTCAAGTAAATTGATGACGGTCTTTTTCTCTACCATTGTTCGTGCCCTAAGCTCCTCTGCAGAAGCAGATTCCGTCGCAGGCGGATCTATTGTCAAAGTATTAAAGAAAGCCCCGACATAAGAAATGGTCGATAGGCACCTGGTATATGGAACCACACTGTTCGAGCAAACGTCCGGCTCGCTAGAATGATTTGTGACCATAGCCGGCGGCCCTCGTTGTACCTTTCGAACGACGACGTCGTACGGTAAGAAATGACGAAACCGAGCACGGTACCAACTCTATGGAACGGACGTGAGCTATAGATGTCGGATCAAGCAGTGTATTATAATAAACCAACACAGTGAGGAGCGTCGCAGCGAAGTAAAGTTTATGGCCCTGGTGATTGAGGATGGTGATAAGCGTTCCCCATGCAGAGAAGAATATCAGAATGTGCCAGCATCGGAATAGTGCAGTGGCGAGCACAGCGCTCACGAAAGTCCCTCGAGGTGATTGTCTGGGTGCAAAACTGGATGAAACCTTCGTTAACGCCGTACTTGATTATTTAAGGCCCACTCACGGATCGGGGACACTGAATCCCTTGTGGGTAATCGTGTCCACTCGCTGGAAAAGATAGATGTCAGAGTCTTCGAGACCCATCGTGTTCTGCAAAAGAGTGAATAATTCAAGCGCACATGAACAGGATCAAGATGAACTGCAGCTGCCATCCCGCTCGCTGACTACAAAATGAAATTGCTACGATCAATGACGGAAAGGAGATGGTTACAACCGGTCGCAGCGTTGATAACGGATCCGTGCGTTTCGCAGAGTGAACACAAAGGTGAGAGGTGAGCGAAAGACACTGAGCCCGTCATTGAGCTGGATGCCCTTCAAAGAGGCGGAGTTCGTCACGATGGCTTCCATGGCAAGGAATCGTCCAACAAAGGCTATGCATCCTTATTTGGGCAGTGTACGTACAAGGGTCATCCTTTGCTTCTTTTCCGAGGCACGGGAAGCACAAAGGCTGCGCGCTGCGGGGTCAGTCTAATAAGTTTCAGACATAGTATGCTCAGCAGGATATCCTAGCGACTACATCAGTTACCCTGCCCTGAGAGAGGGAGCAAGAAACTAGACACAACTCCATAAATCTTTCATCGTTTGAAACCCCGCGAGGAGAACTAATCGTAATAGGAACTATAGGTTCCTTGACAGACCTGTCATGGAGTCGAAGAGCGCCATTTGGTGAATGTGACTCCATTGCAGTAAACCAGAACAGTAGTAGTATAGAATTTGCAGCGGACACTCAACCTAAAATAGACCTGTTGAAAACCTTAACAGATAGATGGGTACCGCATTCTTGTAGGCTGCGTGCCAGGCCGAGTATCACCGTGGAGAACACACCAGTGATGACAGATTCGCCACAGTAGTCACCATTGTGAAGCGGACGAGCGACATCTCTCGACAAGTCTCCTAATATGAGTGATAATAATCCTTATTGTCAAGGAGGTAATAAGCAGCGGCATATCAGGAGACATCGAGGCGAACCTAGTTATGCAAGAGAGTCCATATCGCACAACCGTTACTTCTGAATCCAAAGAAATTCGCGCTTCTTCAACCCAAAGGTAGAAATGCTCGTAAGCTCTATTCCTGTGATTACAGTGAGTGGCATGGAGAGCATGACAAAGATGGAAAATAAGGAAGTCATTCCTTGGCATCAGTTTGTAAGGAAACATAGACCTTGATGAACAAGGCAATGGCAGACGCAAATTTTTACCCGACAACTGCAAATGTTGCCTTGGACATCAGTTTCTTGAGAAGGAACTCAAGTTCTGCGTTATCTGCAAGTTTAGGAGGGGGAGTAATGAATATGCTGATTTCGAGGACTTCACACAGAAAGTAGACAATGATGCTGTGGAGACGGACACAAGAAAGATGACCGTCAGATCCCTAGTGCCCTGAAGAACCGGAAAACAGAGAAAGGGACTGGAGTGAGAGCCGGTGCGGGTAAATCCTGAGAGGCTGATCTGGACCAGAAGAAGCCCTCCAGACAATATCCCATCGATTGCGGCACAAATAGAACCCCACTGAATATGGTACAGCAGCAGGACGAGCTTAACATTTCCTACAAAACATCTAGAGGTAGGCAATCCTTGTTTTTTAGCCAATCTACCAGCAAGGTCAACCACGGCAGTTAACGCCAGTCAAGGACACGCACCTATGGTTACGTCCTCAAGATGGTCATCAAAATCGCCAAACTTTTGATGCAAGCATCTTTCCTGGACCAGCCTGAGTGCTCTTGCAGGCAAGTCCGCTGAAGCTAGCTGAAAGGGAGAGCCGGGCGTGAAATCCGGAGGCGTCGTGGTGTAACATCGCCAAGATGATCCTTGCGAGACGTACGGCTGTAAAGGAATCAGTCAGGACCAAGTCCGTAATACAAGCTAAATGACACCCACGACGAGGCCAGCATCGTCTGTACCCAACCTGTCGCCGTCGATCTAGGTGCCATCACTGAAAAAGGGACGTCAGACACGAGATGAATACATACCACGAAGGCAATAGCCGCGCTGAATCCTTCCTTCACTTTTGAAGCAATCTTTTCACCGACTGGGGCCAAAGCGGTATCGTCTATCCGTTCGGATGCTTGGTAGTACCCAACCAGCTTCATATGCATGGACTCTGCAGTCCTTCCCGCCTTTTGACTCAGAGTTAGACAGATACAAAGATAGAGAGACCGGTAAACGTACCAAATCCAGGCCAATCTCCATCATAGGACTTAGACTTGTCCAGTGGTGCAGAAGAGGGATGATATCGACGATTGTTACGATCCCTGCTTCCCCCTCGCCAACCAGGACGCCATTAATGGGTCTATGCGGGTGCTTGGCGGCATGAAAGAATATCTTGAAGTAGGCTCGCGATGAAATAACGTAGGAAGTCATGGTAAGTTCAGAATTTGAAAATGCCATTCTCAAAGAAGGACATAATTCCCACAATCACGAAATCACGGTCACGTGGCTAACAGCACCGAAAGACTGGCAGGAAGTCAAGACCGTCATGGGGTTTAGACCCATTTTCAACGTGCGGTATGAGGGGAGGATGTATTTTCCTTTGAATTTACAAGCAGCCCTTACTTGGAGCATCAGCGGCTTGCACTGATGTCATTCTTTCCTGCAAACAGTTTTGTTGCATATCTCATCGTTTCAGAGTGCCGGGATTTAAGCTTGAGCCAGGCATCATAGATGATATTACTCAGGGGCCACGCTGAGGCTCGAACTTTCTTTACTGAAAGCCTTAAAACCATAGACCGAAAACCCGGTACTATAGAATCAGCAAGTATCTATCTCTGCTATCCATTTCTACGAGCAATATATGTCTCAGCATTGTTCTTTAGCTATATTTACGATGCCTCTCCATGGCAATGGTTGTATGCAACGATCTGTTAGCCTAATTATATCTTGAGAAATTGCGACAGTAAAGATAGCTGAGCACCGACAGGCCGATAACTAATACAAGTGATAAGCCCAGCCTCAGCCTCGTATGGCGCGTGATATAAACGCTCAATGTTTAGGCTTGTAAATTCACTGAGCCTGAACCTGCTCAAGCCCGGCCCAGCCCGGCCAAGTCTCACGACACTCAATTTACACTCGAAAATGTTATCAGAGTCAGACTTTGTACTACTCGAACGTACTCCCACATATTCTCTGCGTTATGTGATTATCTTAAACAACGTTTTGGGGTACGGAAAGTGTCCCATCCATCCACTCGATATGTCCGATTCGGAATTTCGGACCGAAGGCTGATCGAAAGGTAAGTACCCCGCGGCGATCTTATTTTATCAACGGCCACTAAACGGACTCCATCAAATAAGAATACCATATGGACCACACAGCGTCTCGATGCTTCGAATGCAACGTTATCAGCCCATTAAAAAGGTAAAGATAAGAATGGTACTGCACTTAATTCCTAACTTCTTCGCCGGGACTTGTTGCACAAAATGTCTGATGCAGCCCAAGTGTTGCCGCAAGGAGCTGGTTATGGAGGCGAGTACCACTTCCGACAAGCATCAAAACAACCGTTTCTGACAAGCGTTCTTCTTCTTAGTTGTTGTCGGTTAGTGTTATCTCGGTCTCCTTCGAGGTGCAGTAATGACAAGACGTGGAAACAGGCATAGGCCTATTTTTCAGCGCATTCATGGTCGGGTTGACTGCAATTCAAGCCCGATACACCGCTTTTTCTCCGAAGAATTCGGAAGAGTTCAGTAGTGCTTCACGAAGCGTAAAGCCAGGGTTGATAGCGTCGGGAATAGTTTCTGCTGTACGTGCGACTGTTGCTACTTCAGTGTAGATTCCGAAGATGACTGTCGTGTGAACCGGTTTTATTAGTGGACGTGGGCGGCCACCTTGGTACGTTTCCACGATCTTTGTAGGGTTGGTTTTGACTCTGATGTTCTCTTTAGCTTCAAAGTTCGGCGGTGGCGTATAAATACGGTACAAAATTGTTGACCCTGTTCGCTGCCAAACATTGACTTCTACATAGGTATCAGTGGTCCGTATTGGTATGCCTGTCAGTAACATCAACGTTCCATAATCTAGCAGTAAGTAATCGTTTGCTAACTGACAATATGTTGCACAGCCGGTGCCACCATTCAAGTTCTTCTCTTTGCAATGGCAAGTAATTTCGGTGTTTTTCGGGCCTCATCCATAATCCGCCGTTTCATTTCCACACAGTTGGCTGCCAAACTGAAGCTCAACGCGCCGTACGCCCACACATGGCTCGAAATTGTGGGTGCTCGATGGGGAAAGACGGCTCATCTTGTCTTTATGTTCTTCGGGTATCCTCCCTTGATTCTCTCACCGACTTGTATATTCACTTATGTGGTCCGTAGGTTAGCTACGAATGTCATCGTGAGCTCCATGCTCATTCTCGGCGGAAGCGCTACGGTCACTGACTTGACTGGCATGAGCACACTCGCTGTAAGCGGTTACGACTTTTAGACGTAAAAATCCATCCATTCACAACGTCATCAGGCTTGCTTCTTGATACCCCTTGGTGTGGCAATCTATGTCGTTGTCGGAGGAATGCGATCAACGCTTTTATGTGATTAGTACGCATCTCGTTAGATACCCGACACACGCATCTAATTATCATTTAGTACGCATACCACCGTGCTTTTTGCCATAATCCTGGTATGGCAGCCTTCTTTGCTAGATTCACATCGTTTGTTTCCGTGGCTGAATCATTTTCCAGACATTCGTCTTCACGGTCTACGCAACAAGTGACAAAATCGGAAGCCCGGCGAAGATGCACGAGCTTCTCACCTCAGCAGCCGCGTCTAATCCGGTCTCAGGGAACGCTCATGGATCCTACGTGACTTTGAGGTCCAAGAACGGGCTCATTTTTGGTGTGATCAACATTATAGGTAATTTTGCGACGGTGTTTCAAGATCAGGCGTATTGGCAACGCGCCATTGCCAGCAGACCTGCAAGTACTGTGAAAGCTTACTTATTAGGAGGACTGGCTTGGTCAGTGCTTTTTATGGATCTAAGAGCATTTTTGTGGATTCATTGCCATAGGTTTGCGATTCCTTTCACATTGGCTACCACCCTAGGTCTCTCAGCGGTCGCTTTGACTGGCGACCCAGATATGACAGTCCTAACAGCGGCAGACGTTTCCGCCGGTTTACCCGCTGCAGCTGCAGCTTCAGCTTTACTTGGAAAGTCAGGCGCTGCGGCTCTACTGATCCTTCTTTTCCTTGCTGTTACGTCGGCAACGTCAGCCGAACTTATAGCGGTTTCGTCTCTCTTAACGTATGATGTGTACAAGGTCTGTTTCTGACATTTAGCGGCTTGCGGCATTCATTCCTCACATCTAGAATAGAGATATATCGACCCCAAAGCGACGGAGCCGCAGATTCTAAGGATGGGTCATTTAATGGTAGCTGCATATGCAGTCACCATGGGATTGGCCGGGCTCATCTTCTATTACATCGGTGTCTCTATGGGATGGCTTTATGTGTGTTTTTCCCTATCTACTAGTTATCGGTATTAATACGTAGCTAGACATTCATGGGGGTCATCCTTGGTTCGGGTGTAGTGCCTATCGCTCTTTGCATCACATGGAAGAAGGCCAATAAGTGGGGCTGCATAGGTGGTGCGATCGCTGGATTTGCCGCTGGTATTATTGCATGGCTTGTAACGACTACATGTCTCAACGATGGTGTTATAAATGTCACAGTAGGTCCCTCTTCCGTATTCTATGGCGCCTCGTCTAACGTTCAAGCAATATTAGACCAGTGGAGGTGTGTGAATCGTCCAATTCATTCCGACATCAACTCACTTTAATTCAATAGGCGATTATGAGATGCTTGCCGGAAATTTGGCATCTATTGGGGTCGGAGGAATTATAGCGACTGTATCGTCTCTGATTGTAGGGTTCAGTCACTTTTCACAGATTCGCATCGTCCAATCTAACCAAATAGTGGCCTGAAAACTTTGACTTCGATATCACGCGTTCGCTTAATCTGCCTGAAAGCATCTCAGGTACAAAAGACAAAGTGACTTGCGATGATCTGGATCGCAAGGAGAAGTCCCCAGATGTATCCTCCTCAACGCATGAAGCCTGTGTCGAAGACGAAGACCTTGACCCGGTTGCACTGAAGAAGGCATTTAATTTCGCAACCTGGTCATCAGTGGCGTTGGTGAGGCCCCCTTTGCTCGTCCTCGTGCCCGAAACTCACACAATCAATGAAGCTTTTGATATTGATCATAATAGTACCGCTACCGCTTTTCTTCGCTTCGACGATTTATGGAACTGGGGGGTTGACAGCGTGGATTGTTATCGGGATCATTTGGACTTTTCTCTCTGCCTTTGCTGTGGTTCTTTATCCGTTGTGGGAGAGCCGGGAGGCTTTGGGAATGATTTTTAGAGGCGTTATCAAGGTACTTGATCTTTTGCCGTTGGGGTTTGAGGTAAGGCTTACCTGTTTTGAAGGATATCTTCTCGAGAGGCGGTGGAAAATACGTCCCTCCGACTTCTGTCCCTGCTTAATTTTTAGTTCATGAAGACGAGTAGGATTCTACTATTTCAAGGATATACTGCAGATGATAGATTTAATATCTAGCTGCTTTACTATTTACCGAGTACCTGAAAATAAAGAAGGAGACAGTGAAGCAGGTCCCATTTTAGTCAAGACACCAGTGGGAGGAGTCCGACAGCCAGTGGAGTGAAAGTAGTTGCCAGTGACAGTACAGTTCGTTTGACTTCTATTTCAATGCGAGTGAAGGTACACCTAACGAAGATGGTTGGAACTAGGTAGAGGGAAATAATGCTGCAGTCTGGCAGTGGCCCGGTGGGCAGAGACAAGTATGGTGAGGATGATGACATGTAGCCTTGGGATACAATATCTCCTAAGGGCAAAAGTCAGTGATCTGCCCCACGATTAATAGAGCAAAGACCACTCATCCCAGCTTTATCTTCATCACTAAATCACTTTCCTCCAATACTCTAGATACCTAGGAGCGCTGTGCATGGATCGACCAGTCCCCATGGACATCAACCCAAACCTCTAGACTTTTGACTGGGCTATCGCTGAGGTCAAAGATTGTTTGCCCTCGGAGTAACAGTTCGGAAGATTTGAGATCACTCGAACCGGCAACTGCTACTGGACATTTTGTGTCAGCCACTGATTTGGCGTCGTCTCCCATGTCTGCCATATTACCTGCAGAAATAATCGACCTCGTATACATGAGACGTGGAAGCTCCCTCTTACTGATAAAGACCGCCTTGGATTCATGGAAACATCCCTACGCATATTCTCGCAGTGGTTGTTTACCTTCTTGCGAGAATCGTTGACGGATGCCTACTTTGTTTCACCAAGATACTCCTACTACCTCACCAATCCCTATCGATTCCCTCAGGAGCTACCTCATATCTTGACAATCAATTCAACACAATTTTCTCTCCAAGATTACTTAGTCCGTTACTGTTGTTCGATAACCATTGAATCCATCTTAACAGAAGTGCTCCGGGTCGACTTCATTGTCAAAATCTCCCACTCTGCCCCAATATTTCCGTGCTATGCCAAAATTCTATTCAAAAATATCCTTTCTGGCTAGATATCGAGATTCAGAGCCTTTTCGCTAAGGCCCACAAGGACGACCACTTGAGGCTGATATTCACCTATGATACGACCGATGTTAACTACTCGCCTCGTGGCCGATATAGATACGCCTCCGAGCATTATTTCTACAACCCAGATTCATAAGGAAAGCGTCCATGTCCCTGTGGTCTATTTACTGGAGTATGGAGGCTCGAGATCAAGAGAGCAAATCCCTGTGCTGTTTACATAACCGCGGAGGCCTGTCCTGACCTCGAGGTCTTGGAGACGGATGTTGACAAAAACCTAATACGAGAGGCTTCGATGCTGCTAATGCTCGTCCCCCCAGCATCGTGTCCGGAAGAGGTATATTTTCTCACGCATAACTTGCATGATATCGACGGAGGAGATGCTTTGGCCCAACAGAAAGCCCAAGAACCCTTCTGGAGCAGAGGCCTCTTCGTCAACACGGACCATCAGGCAGAGAAAACCCATCCGGTCTTCTGATAATGTTCCATCTCATATGGACGCTCGAGGAGATATCTCGTCTGCTGGCGGGGATGTTCATGCGAATAAGATCAGCCTTGCCCACCCAATACGCATGTTTCTCAAGATTTTTTGTTTGGTGATTATCTTTCAGGCCGCTATTCTCAGTACTGGAGAACTGATAGAGAAATTCAACAGGCTGTTTGAATTCTTAGTCGATGGGTACTTGCTAGAGTACTCTATAATCCACTCAAGCTGTTACCAGTGGCATTGAGGACTTGGAATCGAATGGTATTATTTAGACTGATCACTATACGCAAGGGAATTGCGCATTCGCTGGTATATCATTCATGGAACCAAGGAACTCGGTGCACAGGATAGTCTTCCAAAAGAACACATAAGCTACAGATCGACAGAGTCGGCGACGGTAAGTTCCTGCGCTGGATAAAGATGGTCAGTACAAATGAGAGATACAGAATGGCGAGACATTCCCGGAACGGATGGTACTTCACGAAATGAATGCGAATGTGATATTCAAATACGAAAGATTATAAATATTATAGTCGACGAAGAAAGCGTGGTTGATAGATGGTTTTAGACTTGAGGGCTACGAGTCACCCGGAAGCACTAATGTCTTCATCCACAATCGGCGTAACTTGAGAAAGATCACTGGTTGAACAGAGAAGGTCGAGCATCGATCGACTTGCTATTCGATCTCGTCGTCTTAGAGTCGCAGTCTCACCAGTTCGAGACCCGAAGCATTTCTGTAGACTGTTAGAATTCACGACAAAAAAAAGGCCAGCAATCAACACACCTCAAAGAGCTCAAAATCTTTGCTGAACAGCGTGTCGGTCACGCTACCCTTGATGATATCGAAAAGGTTCCCTTCTGCCCCAATATTGACGTCAAACCCTAAATAAACGGAGACACATCCTCCGCCACTGGTGCTGGTATTCGTAGACACACCAGTGTCAGTGGCAGAAACAGAGCGGGCTGCAGCTGATCTTGCGGCGTATACAGCTTCAGCAGTGGGGGTCGCCTGGATTCGCCTCTTGCGATTGAGTGTATCAGAAACAGCGGTAGTTTCAGTGGAGAGGGTTGAGATGGAAGTAACAGTTGAACTATCGACAGAAGAAGTCGGAACGATTAGGGCGGAAGAGGTTGTTGGATCTAAAGAGGTTGTCATGTCCGGCGGTGACGAGCTCGGTGTGTCAACAGAAGAGAGTTGGCTGTCAGAGTCTATAGCAGAGCTGCTCTCCGCTGCTGCGATCCCAACCGCAGCACCAGTTGAAGTCAATTCTGATGTAGTCAACATATCCGAAGAAACATCTGTGCTCGTCGACCCATCTCCGATTGTGGCGTTGGCTTCTGCCGCTCCATCGATCTCGAGATCCAGGGTCGCACTAGCATCCAACTCCAGAAACACGGTGGCTGTAACCTCATCGGCGAAAGCGGATACGCCCAAGTTGAGGCGCGGTATCAGATGTGCTTCGATCATGCCCGTAGCATTGACGGCGGTGCCGACCGAAAGCTTCAACGCTACGTAAACGAGGCGTCAGTAAAGAAACAAGTTGGATAGAAAGAGCGGGAAAGCATACGTGTATCCCCAGCATTAAAGGATCCACTACTCGTCGTATTACCCCCATCGGGTGGATAAATGAATTGAGCCTGAGAGATGTTATACACAACACCGACGCTAAGGTCGAGATTAGCATCCAACTCTGCCTTGGCCTCAGCATCGATTTCGAAAGAGGGTCCAACAGAAAAGATGCTGCAGCCGAATCACTGTCAGCTTAAGACGCCGATCAAAGTAGAGCGCCTACCCAGGGAAATCGATACCTGATATAGGAATCTGGAGAAGAACAATTCGTCCAGAGTCCAGTGTGCCCTGCGGAAGGTGACTGAGGACAAGAACAAGATAGATTCTCCAAGCAAGGACTCACAGTAACATCGGCAAGAATATCGATAGCACTATCAAGAGTAGCATCAAGATCTGCAGACAAGGGTTAACCATGATAGGTTGATATAGCAAACCAAGAACGCACTAGCTATGATTTCGAAATCATCAATTTCGGGGGGAATAATAGTCCCGTTGACAGATACACCTAAAGTAGCAAGTGCATGTGCTTTCGCTGTAACATTGATATCTAGACTGGCATTTATAGACTGGCATGACACGCTCTCATTGAGGAGATTGAAAGTTTGATCGACATCAACGGAAATATCAAAAGACGGGTCGACACTGACGGGAATACCCAAAAGATCCTCGAGGACTAGACACAATATCAGTAAGAACCAGACGGTCAGAAAAACAAAGTACAGCTAAGTATGTTCCCAGACGTGTCTCGGGACGATAAACGGCTGCGCCGTAAAGACCCAGAGACGGAGGAGAGATCGATATCGGCACCGGGGATGTTAGTGCCTACGATAGTGAAATTGACGGTCCCAAGTCTAGTTGAGCGAAATCCAGTTGTGATGAGTAACGACGTGAACGCGAAGCTACTTACTTCGAAGAGTTAATAGCAGCGAAATTTGTGTCCAATGCCAAGGCCTTGACGGGAGGAGTAGTCCCATCGCGACGAACCACACGAGCAGCCACATCAGAAGGAAGGGACTGGTCCTCAGGATCCCATGCTCTAGCGACACGCGCGAACGCATTTTCACCACACTAGAATCATCAGTTCGTTCCCAAGAGAAGAACATGAGATACCTACACTCTCCGGTAAGCGGACGATCTTATCCACGGCACCATTACTCTGATAGAGATGGTCGCAACCGGTGGAATCGGTGTTGTTATCCAAGCAAATAAGTCGAATTTCCTGTTCGAGCCCGTCTGCTGAGCAATCAAGGATTTCCCAACCGGCCGCAGGTGTGATGTCTGAAAGTGCGTCGGCTGAACCCCACTACTTAGATAATTAGAATGAAAGCTCGCTGCGAACAGCAGAGGTACACACGATTTTCAATGATCCTGATGCGGGTACATCCGTCGGAAGAGAATATTCGCATTCTCCGTAGAAACAAGGTTTGCTCCAATCGTTGGTAGCGTGTACTGGGACGAAAATTAAGGATGTGAGGATAAAGAATGAATACAGCGCCATTAAGAGGGCGAGTCAAACGAGCGGCGGACAAAGAGGCAGAAGGAGAGAAGGACGAAGAAAAACGTCCACCATGGCAAGGCTTAAGTACTCTCCCACATACCTACTTAATGTGCCCGGGAATCAGATCGTCATATGTCGCATCCATCTTGATGGCAAGATATTAATGAGAAGATATGGAGAGTCGTCAGTTTTCAAGAAGAGCCAGGATATATCAGGACGAAATTAGTCCGCATTGAGGAGCCCTCGACAAGTGCATGTGAAGGCTTGATAGATGTTTTCCAGGCCTGCATCTCGTTGTTTCCAAGGGAGAAATGCTGCAACAAGGATAATAGAAATTGCATGTTATTTTGCAGGAGGGTTGCTCGATACATCTTGATAATGGAACGTGAAATAAAAGACGGCTATATCTTCGGCCCGTCCCACGAGAATACGTTCCACATGGCTGCGCTCCGACATATTGTATTCATCAGACTCGGAACCTAAGATGGTGCTGCTTAGCAAGAAAAGAAATGGAGAGCAGCAGAACGTACTGATCCCGGCGTTACACTATTCACCCTCACGCTAACCCGCTGGATCGACGCTGTCTTGAATCACGGAGATGAAAGATATTTTAATGACATTCTCAGCAGATGGAGTGGCACCGAAGAAGGGGAAGAACACAGCTGAATGAAATAGTGCTTGTAAACTCAGAGTCAAAATAAAGCAACTGCGAGGCAATGTCGACATACTCTTCAGTACAGGGTCACATCCAGCCAGCTGCGGCTATCTGACGTGGGCTGCCACATCTCCTTTGGCAGATCATTCGGATTTCCCAGCCAGGTCCTCCACATCTCCTGCGTTGTTGACGAGGACACTGTCGTGCTCTGCCTGCTTCGAGATTGTGTCGACCAAATGGATTTCTTGTCGGCGTGCTCTTACGAAACACTAATTATCGTTCTCTTCTGGTAGCCTAGCGAGGGTCCCCAGCTACTGGGAAGGCTGTCATCTTGGTCGAACAAAGCTTGAGAAACTATGCCGAAGAAAGGCGCACAAATATGTCGTTGGCCGACATGGACGGATTCGGTCAACGCGGCCCGCATTATCCACGTGAAGCTATTTGATTTTTTTGATTGTTTTTTGTCTTCGAACTATCTGAGTGGCAACACAAGAATCTGCAGAAATTTCGTACCATTTGGGCCTACAAAGTACAGTAACAATCATCTTCAAAGGAATCAGTAGCATTGGTGAGTGTACTTCGTCTATTTTATCCACTCCTTACGACGGTATTGGTCGCAGCGTCGGCATGGCCCAGGCATATCATCGACAAATTTCAGCCGAGACATTTCCTTCCGTTACTCTTAACAACCTCCCGAACGAACTCCTGCTGCTCATTTTCCAAGGGCTCGATCCTTTTAGCCTTATTGGTGTTTCTTGCTTGTGTAGACGGATCAACGCCGTAGCCCTAACATATCTCCTCTTCCCCAAAACGGACTACAGCGATGCCCTTGCCAAACTTCGCGCCAACACTCTCAGTTTTGGCCTCTCCAATGGTCTGTCGTTCAACAGCATTGCCGGTGTCCGGCTCTCGTTCTCCATGAAGCACCCCATAGAGTTTTTCTCTTGCCACTTCTCTACCAAGGGTTGCATTAGAGAAATGGAGCAGGTCGCAAGGCTCTTCGAAACGGGGAAGATGATGGAGTGTGTCGATTTCCGGTTCCCCCGAGGGTCATTTTTCTTCCCAGACCTAAAGACATCTACGACTGGATGTGAATTAAATAACGCGGCAGTCGACCTCCTTTTCCGGAATCTACATCGTACCAAGTGTCGTTCGTTTGGTACGTATGATGTCCTACCGGTCGAATACGACGATGGAGCCAGGTTTAGCGGTCCAGTCCTCCGCACACTTAAATACATTACCATCTCCCGTACTCCATTCCTGCTCACCGACTTTTTCCGCGAGTGGACTATCAGTACGATGAATACGTCTCCTCTCAGAGACGTCACACTGGAAGACGTCGACATCCAATCGTTGCTGCCCGTACTTTCCTTGCCCTCCCTCCAGAAACTCGACATACGGTGCCTCGATCTCCCATTGAGTGACATCACCCGCTTCCTCGCACGGCACCCCACGATAGAAAGCCTGATGCTCCGAATTTCGTTTGACGCCGAAGCATCTCTCGCTCCCAATTCGCTCCCCCAGCTAAAAGACTTTAGTTCAACGGCCGAGTGTCTGTCCCAGCTGCTCTCTTCCCCCGGATCCATGCCTCGTCTTCAAAGCGTGACCTGCTACATCTCAACGTCCTTCCTGCCTCCATTACCCTTACCTACAGATGCCATACAGACGCTCTTCCGAAGAATAGCCCTCCATAGCACCATCACCATCCTCGACGTGCCCTTATCGGATTTGAATGTGTCGGAAGAATGGATGAGCGTGAACCCGAGATTTGAGCACCTCCTTACGACGGTCAACAGCCTGTATGTCACTCTGTCGATGAGTGCGAAGGACGACAGTGGGGTGAGGCATCGGATTATAAAGTCGATTGCGCTGTTTCCAAAGTTGGAGACTCTGACGTTGTTTGGATGGGCCCAGTGTGAGGAGTTTGCCAGTAGTATAAAGGAAGCCTACCCCCGTCTCCGGAGGATCTTTTCAGGTCTTACAGATATTTCACGATCCCTCGCTTAGGGATGCATGGGTTCAGATGTAAATTTCAGAACAGAGTGGAAGATGCTGAAAATTCCATGAGCTATCTATTAGCACGTGTCACTGAAAGACTTAAGAAGAGTACAACAAAAACGCCAGTGGAAAATATTCTTGACTCATTGCGACTCGTCGCCACAAGCGCGTTATGTACGATGGATGCCTTGGTGAACCACACAGCGATGAACCTGGACAAAGTAGTTGTTATTCGTTGCCCATAATCATTTAATCGGACAAAACTTACGCTGCACCGATGGCAATCGCGATGAAAAGCCCAATTGCAGCACCAAGGAAGATCTAAGTCGATTGTCAGTCACTGATTTCCTAGATATCGACGACATACCTGGACTCGCAACTTGCGGATGAGTCTACGGCGCTTAACCGCGCTATCCGAATCATTTCCCGAGGTGTTCTCCTCAGAATTCGCCTCTTCCTATACGATAGGTCGCCGCTCGTCGTTAACTATTTGTTCAGCGATACCTAAAAGTACAGATATGATGATGGCGGCCTCGAGGAGGATGAAGAAGAAGAAGACGGGTACGGAAAAAAAAGGTTCTTGATCATGGCTGTCGCGAGAAAGCGGAATTACCCCCGGGAAGAATGCCTGCGTGCATGTTTATTGGGAAAAAAAAAATAGCGCAAGGGGGGTCCCAAAAAAAAATCCGTCGAAGCCGTTCGTTGCCTAAGAGTGGATTTATCGTTATTTTGATTTTAAATCAGACTGTAAAGTAAGGAAAGCCAGGTAAGAGGAAAAGTAAGCGTAAAACTCCGTCGACACACAGCGCGGAGTGAGACGAAACGAGAAGACAGTACATTCAGTCAGGCATCAGGTTGGGCGCACGCGTACGTGTCGCCCTCCATTTTGTAGTCTCCCCTAGGTAGGCTCTCAAATCAAGACAATCGAGATTTGAAATAGATTCATTTTGGAGGAGGGTATTACAGACAAATATGATGGAGTATCGTGCTTCTCAGCAGACTTGGACGCCTATTAAGATAGTACATCATGAGATAGTCCACCAAGGTCAACAGAGTCAGAGACCTGCGCTATTTAGTACAAACGATAGCTACGGGATGATGAGGCGCATCCGGAATGGACGGTATGGAGCCAGACAAGTTGTTTCTGTCGTCGTCGAAATCGCCGATATGCGAAGGCGTCGAATCGAGTCCATAGCTAATGTCCCATTACTAGAGGATGAGGACTCCTTTTCGTCGCTCGGCGGTGAATGCGGATGCAATAGCAGAAGCAGCAGTCAATGCCTCGCTACAGACGATGTTGAACAAACCAGGATTGTCAGCTGACGCAGGAGAACTCAACTAAAAAACGCAACCATGATGCGGCCATGGTTGCTGGTCGTGACCGGACGGTAAACGAGCAGCAAAAAAAAAGGCTTTGTCAACTGATAAATCTCCTGCCATCATCTGCAACCATCATCAAGCAACCATACGAATAAATTCCAAACTCAGTATCTCTCGAACTCGTCACGCAACTCGAAGCAGCGTAGAGTTCCACTATATCATATACCACTCATAGGAATAATCTATTAATAACCCACCTACTTCCAGGTAGAGGCACCAGCGCGCGGTCGCCTTTGACGAGTCGGACTCGGACTCGGACGCGGACGATGTGATTTCACCACCACACTCGAGCTAGAAACACAACGAAGCTGAAGAAAGCCACGCCACTCAGAGTCATGTAATCTATTGGGATCGGGAACCGTGGCATCAAGAACTAGGTAAGAGATCGCTGTAGAATTTGGAGAATGAAGCGAGTAAAGCAAGAGATCGTACAATCTGTACTTCTGTAGTATCGGAGGGCATAATTCCACAGTCCACAAAAAATATTCCGTACTCAAAGTCAAAGGACCGACAAATTGTATGGCAGATAGTTCGAGTGGCCATGCGTGCAGGAGATTGGTCAAGGCTTGAAGTAAATCTGGACATCCACCATGAGACAGGCTCAAAGGTGGATAAGGTATTAGCAGCAGTAGAGGAATGAAGGGATGAAGAACTCGTTATTAGTGGTACGACTACAGAACTTATATACCTCTACAGGTATTCTAGTAAGTTCTACTACTGTTCCATAATTGTAGCTAAGTGGGTAATGTAGAATCGTCGAGCATCAGCGCGACTTTTGCATGTACAGGTAAGGCTCGTTCACCGGTTCAATATTGGTGCGTTGGCTTGTTCGGCTAACATAAGGTAAACTCCTCCTGCGCCCATTTAGTGAGAGCTTTCACGATAGGGGCAGTCCGTTGTACTTCTCATTCTAGCCTAATGGCTACGGTGACTTGACAAGTGCACTAGAAGTACATACATTCCTCTATCTGTCATTACACCCTTCGGTCTGGCGCGAAAGAGTCTGCTTTTAAATCAAAATAAACATAAATCAACTCGCAGGCAAAGAACGGCGTCTTCGCCTCACCTTCTCTTCCGAATCGAACCTACGATCTTCCGAATCAAAAGTAGGCAACTCTTCATAGGCACCTAGGGCCTTTTTCTTCCAAGCTCGCCTACGCCAAACTGACGTCCCGAGACTGAGAACAGCTGCAGCTACAAGACTAGTTGCATAGAAATCAGAACTTCTTCCCCCAAAATATAAATAAAAGCAGACATACCCAGCTAAAGCACCTATACGTAAACGTCTCCTTGCCTCCTTGGTCGGATACGGGCCCAAGGGCCACCCACTCAAGTCTGTGGTGGAATTATGCCCAGCAGCATTGCCTCTTGACGGCCTGCCCAGCGCCTGACAGTGATCATGCATGACCTGCGGTATGACCATTCCACGTTCCTGTGCGACCAAAGGTGCTTCAATAAGCTGAATGGCTAGCCCAGCCTCGAGGTGCCACTCAATATGGCAGTGCATAATCCACGCGCCTGGATTATCAGCGACGATCCGCAGAGTTATGGAAGCACCTGCAGGAACATCGACAGTATCACGGCGCATGGGGTTGAGTTGACCTTGAGCAATAGGTGGGTTCAGAATGGGATCCGAAGAGGTGTAGTCTTCTGCGCGTCCGACAATCATTGGAACGTGTCCATGCATATGGCTAGGGAAAGACTATTCTTAGTTGGTACTGTACGTTTTCTTCACATGAAACTTACAAAGGATGTGTATTACCGTCGCTGTTCTTTATGATGAGGTCTATGACCTCCATATGTTCCAGCAAAAAACTGAGCGGACCATAAGCACTCTCAGATGATGCGTTGGATCCTAGGCTGAGCTCGCTAAATAATGCTGGGACGAGAGGTGGGTTGTATGTTATCTGGTTGAACATGCCGCGATTTGTTCCGTCAGTCATGGCATCAAAGCCTACTTCAAGTTCAATGCTCCTGGCAGCGTCTGGAGCGGCGACTGGCTTCAAAGGGACGAGTACGATATCGTTGATACTCGTGTACGCGTCGATAGTCCCCAAATCGACTAGAGGTGACAAAGGGGAGTAGCTGATGGAGCCCGTGACGTCTGTGATAGTATCAATATACCTGATATCAAGTATGCATGAGAGGAAAGCGTACTGGGTTTCAGTCTATCGGGTATCTCGTCGAACATCACCGTATCCATGTTGGCATGAACGGCCCAATTCGAGTCGGTATCATTTCGAGCAGTAATCAGCACCGAATACCGCTGTCCAGAACTAACACTGATAATATCGATGGGAGACTCCTCAATATCAATACCATCCACTTCTATCAACCGCATGTCATGCCCGTCTATCCAAAACATGAACATGGCAAAAGCCGATGTGTTGAGTATCCGGAGGCGATATGTCTTGCCGGGTTTGAATGGTAGGGCTGCGTCTTTATTGAAGGCAACTGAACCAGACGCATCCCGAATATAGGACGATTTTTGGGCAAAATAAATTAACGCTGAATCTATGCGGCAAGTTAGATAATATTCAGTGGAGAGTAATTCGCGTACCCGGTACAGGTTCGACGCCATCGGGATTTCGACTTGTGAGGAACTGTTTCATAAGAACAGAGTGTTCTTTATGATACCAGTCGCTCAGAATGACGGTGTACTCTTCATCATAAGCATAGACATGTTGATGTGGTTGGATCACTGCCGGGGCGCGTAAACCGTCAACATATTGACCCTAGGATACTATGGTTAGAGCGTAGCCATGCATCTAAGGCAGTACGTGCATTTGCGTGGCCATGTACCCAAAATGTGCCAGATTGTCCAGAAGCATTGATAGGCACTACATAGTCGAATTGTCCACCAGGCGGGATACCACTACAATATCTTAATCAATACAGAAAGAGAAAAAAACGAGGCATGCTGGGCCTTGCCGCCTACACCAAGAGACTCTGCGCAAAAATGGCGCAATGTGCGCATATATGCCTCAATGGCGCATTCCCAATGCCTGAACGACATCACTCACCATTCCGAAAGCCCATAAGCCCCATCCATCCACGGCATTGAGTTGAAGAGCATCCCATGATGGTGAAGAGTCGTAGCTCGGTCCAGAGAGTTAGTGGCATGCAAAATGAGCGAGTCAGTCGGCTCGACGTCTATCGGCGGCGGCCTAGAAACTCTCAGAGAAAGCTGTGAGTGATTGAGACGTATACATACGGCCAAGTTCCATTCACTCCAACCACACGACGAGGATAACGCCCGTCGGGATTGGCTCCATGGACATAGGTAACATTCCACCATACTTCATGGACACCAGCGAGCACCGGGTTCGCCAGAAAAGCAGCAATAAAACCAAGAAAACAATGCATCCAAGGTCCACATAGACCGTCGGGATGAAAAGGGTTGTGGTGGTTAGAGTCCAAGATCTCTGTTCCTGGTCAGGGTCTGCACTTTCCTTCTGGCTATCACTATCTCCAGCCTTGCTCCTGCACCCGGAGAATTATGTTGGGCTTGGACGTGCATGCAGACGTTCTAGGGCGTGTCTGGTGGTAGAGAGATGATGGAGGAAGCTGCGCAACATGTGGTGCTCCCACGGACCTTTTTAGAGCACAGATCACTCAGTGAACTCGGGACGCGCATATATGCTGCTATGTTACTCGTCTACACATATCAGCATCTGGTACGTGCTCAGCGTTCTCGCCGGCAGCGGGGACGGACCGAAACAGGCTAGCAACGTTCCTTCTGTTCCAGTGATCCTGGTCAGATGCGTGAATTATCCGACGAGACGCGAACGCTTTCAACATATCTCTCTCTATCGATAGCAACAAAAGATGAAACGCCAGTCATCATTGAGACGTAACTTCAAGCAGCCCACCTAACCCAGAGGGGCTTGCCAAGACTTGAACCGAGTTTTTTTCTTGGCATCTGTCCCCTCTTTGTGTTATTATTATTTGTCCATCAAACACGCATAAAACCATATAAAACCATTCCGTCCGGGAGTAATTCAGCAAGGTCGCTTGCTTTACCACAACCATGACCAAGAACCTCTTTTCCGTACCCATCTTCTTCATCGTCTTCCGGGAAACCCTCGAGGCCGCCATCATCATATCGGTGCTTTTAGGTATCGCCGAACAAATAGTTCACGATGACCAGCGACCTATCGTTCAGGAAGAGGCGAATTCTGAGGAGAACACCTCGGGAAATGATTCGGATAGCGCGGTTAAGCGTCGTAGACTCATCCGCAAGTTGCGAGTCCAGGTATGTCGTCGATATCTAGGAAATCAGTGACTGACAATCGACTTAGATCTTCCTTGGTGCTGCAATTGGGCTTTTCATCGCGGTTGCCATCGGTGCAGCGTACGTTTTTGTCCGATTAAATGATTATGGGCAATGAATAACAACTACTTTGTCCAGGTTCATCGCTGTGTGGTTCACCAAGGCATCTAATCTATGGAGCAAAGCTGAGAAGCTATGGGAAGGTGCGCGCTTATGCTGTTACTACCCGCTCTCAGGTACTGATATGCATCTCCAGGCATCTTTGAACTCATCGCGTCCCTGATGATATTCGTGATGGGGTTAACGATGCTCAAGATGGATAGAGGTAAACCGAATGTCAACGAACCTGTCATGTTCCTCATATTTCCCACTCAGCGAAAGCCAAGTGGCGGATCAAGCTCCAAAAAGCATTTGACGGTTCCAGTATGTCCATTTGACTTTGTATGGAACACATTCTGATCCACGGATCCACAGGAGAGCAAGGAAGTGGCACGACGGGAAAATGGGTGCTTTTCATTTTGCCTCTGATCACGGTTTTGCGCGAAGGTCGGTCATAACTGACGTGCCAAATGACTGGAGCTCACAGTAGATCAGGTATGGAAGCTGTAATCTTTGTCGGAGGAGTCTCCCTTGGTCAACCGGCGACGTCCATCCCCATCGCTGCCATCGTTGGGCTGGTCTGCGGCTTCATTTGTGGGTTCCTCATCTACCAATTCGCAAGTCGAACGAGTACGTCTCATTTCCCTGTCCACACTTTCTGTTCATCGAAAGCTCCCTTCCAGCTCTGACCACCTTCCTCATCGTGATGACCAACTTTGTCCTCCTGATCGGTGCAGGCCTTTTCTCACGTGCAGTTGGTTCGTTCGAAGAGAACGCGTACAATCACCTCCTTGGGAAAGATGTGGATGATGCCGGAGGTAGCGGGCCTGGCTCGTATCGTGTGCAAGGCAACGTGTGGCATCTCGACTGCTGTAATCCGAATGATTACACGAACGGCCAAGGGTGGATGGTCTTCAATGCTATCTTAGGGTGGTCCAACAATGGTTCTTGTATGTGTCTAGCTTCTTTCCGTGCGGATCGTCACCTAACGTTTGGACAGTGGGGACGATCCTCTCGTATGTGTTTTATTGGATTGCGGTGATAGCCTCGCTGGTGTACATGAAGTGGAAAGAGGTATGTCGTTCTTAGTCTCGTTGTGACTCGGGCTCGGGCTCATGGGTTGTGGGAATAGGGACGGGTGAAGGTTTTGGGAATCGAGTCTGCTGCTGGATTGCGTCGGCGTATTAGACGAGAGAAGAAGCAAGAGGAGTCGATATCAAATGAACAGAAGGATGAGGCTGTCGTAGAGGAGTATGCTTTGCCAAAGGAATGAAAGTGGTGGGAGAATAAAAATTAAACATATAAGTATAACATGCCCATATGCCTTAGGAAACGAGACCCACGGATTCGCGTTTCCAAGTCTGACCATATAAGAATAAGTAGATAATTCAGGAGTCACAGGAGACTAAGCTCTGAGGGACGTAGTAGTTTTCTACAAGGGAACCCGGCTAGTGCAGATCGACAGAGTCAACGATGATAAGGTTCCTGCGCTGAGTGATGATTGTCGGTACAATGATAGATATGAGATGATGAGACACACCCTGAATGGATGGTATTTAACCGAAAAGTCGGTGGTGTCAAGATCGCCAGCAAACTGTGATGCAGCCATGCTTACCGACTATGAGTAAAAAGTAATTGGCTTTGTCAACTGATACATTTCCTGGTCCTGGCGGAAACCTCTCCAGATTCCGTAGCAGCATCAGGATGGACCACTAGCTAGTTACTGATTCTCACAAGCTCATCCGTAAGATGATGACCTGTCAGGATATGCGCCCCAGATGAAAAGTTCCAAGTTAGTTATCCTGAGGCTCGGCGCGCAACTCGAAGCGGGCGTAGAGCACTTGGGGAGAAAAAGGTCTATTTATTGTCCGTCTACTCGAACTTGCTTGAAGGTTGGGGGAGGGGAGGGGAGCTGGCGCGCGCGCGCGTGCTTGCCTTTTGACGAATCGATTTTGGCACTCGAGGTGGAAAACAGAATGATGGAGTTGGCTGTGGTCCGTTGTAAGCTGAAGAAGGAAGGCTGCGTCATGTGAAGCAAGCAGTAGGATCAGCTGAGTCGGCATCAAGCCTGGGTAGCATATCATATCATTGTAGAAGCGTGGAGAGCGAAGTAGCTGAACGTCACGACGGTCCTTACTGCTTACCCTTCCATGGCAGAGTCGTGATCGCATGAAAGTCGTCCTTCGGCATGAACGGTCCGAAAGTTGACTTGCGACACTGATGCTTCTGAGGAATTTTTGACCTCCATGGCAAAGAATGAAAAATACAGAAAGCAACAGAATGGTGCAAAGATTGACAACATTACTGGGGATTCTAAAGGGGTAACACAAATTGAGGCCGCACAAATTGCGTCAAACCCTATGAATCGTGACGGCCTACAAGTTAGCTTGACTTCCATTTCTCATGGGGATCGTTTAGATTTACCTCAAGCTTAGAGGTTGCCGGCATTCGACCAGAGAGACTATAGGACTTATTTTGAAGAAGAGAGCCGCTCTTGGCCTGGGAAGTAAGGTATATCTGTTTATCATTCAGCAAGAATGTATAATTACAATGCAGCTAATCGTCCTAGACCGATTGCAGAGATACCAGTCTTTCCGTCCCTCTTCCAACGTACACCTCAGTCTGATCTGTGAACGTACTATTGATAATGAGTTTCTTGACCTCTTTCGCTCCCGCAGGGATTTGACGGAGTGTGTCAAGGACGGTCATGACACATGGACTCACGCTCCATACGTCCCAGCGGTCATTGTAGCCATAATCTCGGGGGACCAAGGTCAGCTTGACAAGACGGAGATTTCGCAGACGCCCAAGCAGCCGGAGGGGAAGCTAGTTACATAGAGCACATGAGAGAAGATGGTGCAATAGTAAATAAGACGAATCCTTACCTCGTTTATTCCAGTATAGAGCGCGATAGGGCCAATTTCACGAAGGTATGGGAATCGATGGATCATCACTACACGGTTTTCGAAGTTCAGCACTGATGGGGAGAGGGTAGTTCGTTCTCTCACTTTCAAGCAATGGGCTGAGTAGCAAGCCACAAAGGTGGACGCGATGCGCATTCGGATAATGCTCGATGACTTTCTTCAGGAAGTCTTCCCGCGACGATTCATAGAAGAAATTGCACACGATATTTAACACGTTTGGGAAGCTCGGGAAGACGACATGTCCGCCGTTCGGGATAGCAAGTGTCGTAACCGAAGGTACGACAACGTTTTCGAAGGCTCCTCGAAGAGCGTCAGTGGATCCCTTGAATTCGAGTCCAAAGATCTGTACAGTGGTCAGGCGAGGAAGCAGGGGCAGACATTGGGCAATCCGAGGATATAAATCTTGCGAATATTCCGTCAGTGTGAATGAGACAGATCTACCTTTTCTCTTAGTGTCAAGAATCACATAAATGTGATGAAGGACGCACTGGACATGATCAGCGAGCGCCGGATCCCTGATCGTGACAGTTTCTAGCTGTCTGATAATGTCGCCGGTAACCTTCTTCTGCCACTCAGGGAGATCAGGGCGTACTTCGACTTTCGGGTCGGTACACTGGAATGCCTCAAGTTTCTCCCAGAGCAATGGCAAAAATATTTGTCTGTAAGTCTTGCACGTCTGGGACAAGGAAACGAGCGCTGCAGATCTTTCAGTCAGCTCCTTACCGCCGACGATCAGACAGTAGAACATAGAGGCCTTCAAAGGCGGCGACGGGAAGTGAGAGATGATTTCGAGCAGGAGTTCGGTGGGAAGGCGGGCTAATCCAGTGGCATTGGCGGGGAAATTGATGAGCATGGTGTCAACGTCTCGGTGGTCGCATGGGCTAGTTTCGGTGAGATGCTGCTCTGTGAGAAGATTTGGTCGTATCCCAGATGTTGCCAAACTGTTTGAGCGGTGGTGGTGGGTGGAGGTCTGATAGCATTGGTCGCGTCCCTTATGGGCAAGTTTTAAAGCAACGATCACATGATCACAACTTCTTGTTCCGCTTTCAGAATCTGCTGCGAAATTTCGTTTCTGATGCATTTAATATCAGCTATTACATAATTGTCATCAGTTGAGATTTTGAATATACGACTTGCAAATAGCGTACTATTATTGACGGTGGAGGGTTTTCGAATCCCACTGTCGCAGCCTGCCAGTGAACATTTCAGAAAAAGATGGTGGGTGTAGAGACGAGCCTTGGAAGCTCTGTCGACCACCGGGGTGTCTTAAAAGACTGGGGGAACGTTTAGTATCAACCTTGAGCCATGAATAAAGGGAATCAACGAGCCATAGAGAAACTCCTTTAATGAGCCAATCTATTGCATCGAGGCTACCGGCTCTAGGCCCTAATGGAGCACGATTCTTCGATGCCCTTGGACTCAGACGAAACAAAAGGTCTGTCCTCGTAGACGAGAGTTCACAATGCTAGCTGTGGTAAAATATTGATGACCCGAAGCTTAGGCATAATAAGTTAGAATGACTTACAAGGGAGTTCGTTCCATGAAAGGTCACTCCACGGATGGCTCCAAAACTTCTCAAATAGTTTCAAGCTACAAGCGAGGAAGAAGAGGAGGGAATGGCGCGAGATGACTTGCCCTAAAGAGAAATCTCGTGACCGGATGGACATAACGCAGCCGGATACACAACCAAATATACCTCTACCTTCTTCCGCCATGTACCTGGCTACCTTTCCTTCTTCACGTTCATGTCATACACTCCTGATGATTGGAAAAATGGTACGACCTCTCTCATTCGTCCTTTTTCTCCCCTAATAGTCAATGTATGTCAGGTATAAAACTCGCCCATGAGAACGGAATTGACGCCTTTGCGCTGAATATCGGTAACGGCTCTTGGCAACCAGCTAAAGTAGCCCAAGCCTTCGGTGCTTGTAGCGACATGGCGAAACCTTTCAAGCTATTCTTCTCCTTTGATATGTCCTCCTTTCCTTGCAATTCCACTCAAGATGCCAGCATAATACGTCAATACCTCTCCGAGTACCATGGTCGCGGCTCCTACTTTCTCTCCTGATGATGCTTCAAAGTGGGACTCCGGCTGGCCAAAGGACGGCAACGATACCAACTTCGAATCTGACAGCAACTAGGGAAGACGTATATGGCGGCATGTTCTCCTTGGTTTTTCACTGTAGGTGACCATTTGAATGGCTGATTATCTTTGTCTAATGCTTCTTCCAGCATTATGGGCGTGACACGTACAACAAGAACTGGATCTTCAACCTCGATGATTGGTTATTTGCTGCACGCTGGGAACAACTTGTTAAGAACAAAGCTGAAGTAAACCTGGTGCAACTACTGTCTTGGAACGACTATGGAGAATCGCATTATCTTGGACCTATCTTTGTCGGAGACATGGACTGCTGGTTTCGATCATCAAGGTGATTCTTCAGTGGCTAACTCGGTAACTATGGTATTGATAAACCTTTAAGCCTGGCTGAAACTCGGGTCTTGGTATGCCAACGCTTTCAAAACCGGATCTTATTCAGACTTCGATAACGACGGCATCTACCTGTGGAGTCGTCTTTACCCTGCAGCGGCAGATATTCGGGGGGACAGCGTGGGGAAACCTGCTCTATGGCAACTTGTAATCTTTCGAAACTGACAAGTAAATGATTATGGAATGAACAATCTCTCTAGACAGGATGTTCTCTAGGCAGTCGTATTTCTGAAGCAGTCTGCCATGGTTTCACTGATCTGCGGTCCCTCTAATCTCTCTTGGCACATCTCTAGCGGGACATGGAAGATCAGTCTGCCGCTTCGCGAGACTTGTCAAGTCGAAGTCGCGGTGTCGAGGGACGGATATGGTATCGCGGATTTCAGACCAGATGGCTTCTTTTTCAATATGACTCCCTCTTCGTATAACTTCAACGCGTTTGTCGGTTATTATGATTGGATCTAGTTGATGACGAGTATCGACGAAATTGTACCTCTATATGTGTGTCTTTATCGGGCCTTATACGAGTGCTTGGTTTTCCCTTTTCTCATTTTGAGCTCAAGGTGGTCCATGGGTCGAAGGCTGGTTGCTTCCTTCGAAACCACCATTGCTATATGACGTCGTCCTGTTAATCGTTTACGTTCCGTTCTATCATTCAAGCTCTTCTGTTTGCAATAGCAAGTAATTCCGTTGGTTACAGGAGGCGACGTAATGCGCACGACTTCCCAGTCTGCACATAATCGGTACTGGAGTCTGGCCATGTTCGATATCGCATTATGTATTTCTTGTATAATGGATAACGCGTCGGATAGTCTCTAGTGATACGTACATGTCTATTTGGTGGAAATCTATACTCAAGTCGCTATCTCCGATCAACGCCGTCCCGTCGTATTCACACTTTGTGGTAATGACTTCCGGTATGATGTCGTGTACTTCTGTCTTTCATGAGCTGATATGTCTATTTTTAAGTAGGTTTTCCTGTTCTTTTGTATTGTTATGGCGCTATTCGATATTTTGTTTGGCCGAAAGGGCAAGAGTTATTTAAGTGTTGAAGGGGTCTGGGGACTTTAGGCTCTTCGCCTCACATCGGAACCGACCGACACCATGCATCCATATCAATGACTGACACGATGAACTGATATATTTTACGAGTGGTGAGTCAATCTGACAGTTTCCGTCATGTTGTTTCGCTCTTTCTACTTACTAGCGTCTCTCACTTTTGTTTTATCCCAGGGTAATCCTAACCCAACCGTCGGTGGGGATCCCGACAATGGTTGGCAAACATTACCGCAAGTCATCGATGCTACTGCATATCCTAATTGGAACGTGGGGGGCGGAAGCTTAGTAGGTTACATGCCTTTGTAGCCCCGTAAATGTTAACTGATCAGAGGATCGTAGCCCGTATATCAAACCAGCGCCGTTGATAATGGAAACATAACTAGGGCAGTGATAGTTTTACCTGGACGAGTGAGTTTTCTTTCCTGATTGTGTCACTTGTTAGTGCTGATCTCTTAGAACCGGGATTGTTGGTTCTGTAGGCTAATTTCGTTACTCCTAAGCACTGGAATGATTATCCCTTATCCCTGTAAATAAGATTGGAACGTCATGAACAACGCTCTGTCGAACGCAACAAAGTCTGGGGCCGTTGTTGGACGCGATAACATATCCATCATGGGACCGTGCTTTTTCACGCAATCCGATATGAACGCAGGCGCGGCCCAAAGTGGCCAGATGATTTGGGGCACGACGACATGGGTTAGTGGGCATGAGAGTGTCTCTCAGCCATATCTCAGTAGTTTTGCGGTCCTTGACGGCTTGGTGGATTACTACATGAACACTCGTGTATACCCGAATCTGAAAGTAAGTAACAGAGCATCCCCAGATTCTGTGATGCTGATAGTTGTCCTAGACCGTCGTCGTCGCGGGTCATTCTGCAGGCGCGCAAATGACCCAGCGCTATGCTGCTTTACGGAGATCGACCGAGAACGATGATCGACTTCATTTCTGGATCGGTGAGTTTCCTTTTTTCTCTGCACATGAATTGGCTTGTTCAGGCAGAATAGCCAATCCCGGGTCGTTATGCTGGTTAACAGAGGATCGGCCGCTCCCCAATGCGACGTGTGACGGTGTGGACGACTACAAGTATGGGCTGTCAGGTCGCTTCCCTGCGTACTCTTCCGGGGATGTCAACAGACATGGTGTGGTATCGAGATATAACAACAGGAGCGTACACTACGCCTGGGGTTTGGTAAGAGTATCTCTTCCATAATGATTCGAATTTCCGCTCACTTTGCCTTTAGAAGGATAACGGTCCCGGAGACACGCGATGTGAAGCATTGGTCAGAAACTTTTTCTTGTACTTATGCAGCACCATACTGAGCGAATCTCCGGTCTCAGACGCAAGGGAGCACCCATTTAGAGAGGGGCAGAAATTTTGTTGCAATGCTGGAGGGCTTGGAGGGTTCCATACCGTCAAGTGCAACCGTCGATTGGGTCGAGGGTGTGTCACACTCGAATGAGGACATGATGAATAGCGAAGCTGGGATTAACAAGGCAAGAATATCCTCTCGTTTCCTTTTTTAATTTTGAATCTAATGCAGATCTGTAGTTGTTCCTGTACGACAATGCTCCAATTGCGAACGAGCCTCTTCCTCAGCTCAGGGCGAGCGATGCAGCCAGGGGCATGATACCATGGATGTTCTATCTCATTCCCGCGATATCCTCCGTTCTTCTGCTTAGATCCTAGAAAGTTGAATACCGAAACTATTAATAGGTGCATGTCTTGGCCTGGCACCCACAAGGGCAAAACAGTTCTGTTCCTTCATTATCTCTCAACGTTTTAAACATCATGTCCGCTCGTTCTAAGACCAACAGTGCCCTAAAAGCTCGGAAATCGAAACTAGAAGTATCCTACGAACAGTCTTTGCCTATTGACAACAGAAACCATTCACTTTTTGGGACCGTTCGCTTTTCTTGGGAGACAAGGCCAACGAAGTCACCGATGATCCAGAGTCCGACCACAACAGATGCGGGGGGGAGGGGGCAGGCCTGGAGAGATTCACACACCCCGCCCTCGTCCCGGGAGCCATGGCACCCTATATTGACTTTAATATAGATTCACCACCAGCAATTGTCTTAATGGACGCCCAAACGCCCGAGGAAAATTCCCATCATGCAACAAAGAGGGGCTTCGTACGCAAGGGTGTTAAGGAGAGCAAGAATGATATGTATTTTTCTCGTGAGTTGGTAGCAGCTTACATTGACCAAGAGGTGCGTCTGGTTTGTGCTTATGCGCATGTAGTTCACCACTCTTCAGAAAACCAAGTCTGTCAACTACCCCTCCGATCAGTTTCTGATTGTACAATCCGACATCATGATCGCTTTCCTCCACGAGTTGACGCACGCTACCACGAAATCACTTTTTCAGGGGGGCCTGTTACTCCGGACATGATGCATGAATGGTCAACAGGGTGAAGTGGGAGAGGCATTAGAGCGGGCCATATTCGGTGGCGTCTTATGTGTGCAGTGGCTGCGCTGTTGACCATGACTGGTCCTGCCGATGGAAAGTATATACGTCTGTGTTTTACGCATGAGATAAAACCCTTCAATTTGACCTGAAGTCAACTTCACCTGCCGGTAATCAGTAGACTCGTGCCAAGGATAGGATTGTTGTTGACAACGATTACTGTAAACACTAGTCATCCGCTATCTCATAATGCATCATCACACGATGATCTCATTTGATAACAATTAAGGCGAAGAGGCCGAAGAAGTACTAGGTCGTGTCACAAGCGGGGGTGATGAAGACGCAGAACAAATTCCTATGCGGCTCGGACGACGTACATAAAAGCTTACTCATACATGATTAGAGTAAAACTATCTGTTCATTCACATCAGGCGGGCATGAGAACGGCGTCACAAATTCACCTGCGCCTGTTCTCGACATCGGAGTGAAAAGACGACGTCCAAGTAACAAGGAGTTACTGATATTAAAGCTTTGAGGTCGCCTTTGTACGAAGCGGCGCAAATGTAGGCGAACGCCTTGCCTTCATAGCAGACACGTTCTCGATAATATCCTATATGTGAAAAAGGCACTCAACCTCGGTAAAAAAAAAGGTACATGAAAATGATATCCACCCTTGTTTGTAGAGCTCCCCCGTTCCAAACTGCCGTATAGTCAAGATTCGCAGCAATGCTGTTATCCAATGCGTGACTGATGATATGCTTCGTGCCGGCCACAGCGACGGGGCTCTTTGAAGCAATCACCTTGGCCAGCTCTAGAGCCGCACCTACAACATCATCCCTGCCGCCTTCGATAACCGAAGACAGGAGACCCATCTTTTCGGCCACAGAAGCCGAGAAAGTCTGTGAGGTATAGGAGAACTCTCTGACGAGGGATATGTTGCCTGTGATCTTTGGCAGATAGCCAAGGGTACCTATGTCAGCCGCCAGTCCCACATCCGCTTCCTACAAAACATAAATTTCAGGCGTCTAGGAAAGAATTTGGCTGATCTGGTAACGTACCTTGACACAGAATGTAGCATTCGAAGCTGCGTAGCGAATATCGCAGGCACAGACGATATCGACACCCAGACCTAGGACAGCGCCGTGTATTGCGGCAATTACTGGAAACGGGCAGCGGGCTGGAGCGCCAATAGCGTATTGGAACGTCTTGATATGCTTCAAATGCTTGATGGCCAGCCTAGCACTATCTTCGTCTTGAGAAGATACCAAGCTTGCCAAATCAGACACTTGAGTAGACAATCATTACCATTAGCCAATTAAGTACGCGACGTAAAGAACACTCACAGTCGATTCCCGCTGTAAAAATCTTTGGCAAGGCCGATGACAGGACGACGGCGCGAACATCCTCTTCGGCCAATTTTTCGAACACTTCCCCGTATTGCGTCCAGAAGCTGTCACAAAATGAGGACATTGAATATAGGCCAGATTGTGTTTTCCTCACTCGACATTAAAGGCGTTCACAGATTTTCTAAAATCAAGATCATAATGACGGCGGCATGTCAGAGCCAAGAGGCGGTCCCTACCTGGATAGCTCGACGTGAAAGACATGGGGAGACGGCTCAGAAACGCGAATAAACTTTGTAGAAAATTGTGAAGCCATTAGTTGGAATGAACCCGAGGTCAGCGGAAAACATGATGACGGTTGACATTAGGAACTCCGGCATTCAAGATAGCCGGATGCCGCCCAAGAATGACGGAGAATAGGGAAATACAAACCTGCTGATTTCGCTGATTTCATGGGGTTTTGGCATGAAAAATCCGATTACACACCTAAGCATTGTATGAGACTCAAACTTGCCCAGGCCCGAGCAGATGCCGCCTGCACGCGGTAATGGTTAACAGCAAACTCCGATTGTAATGCCGGTACATTTGCCGAACTCACGGCAAAATCCGATTTTACTTTACATCCATTTTATCCCATATTATTTTATCGACATCAAACATCGAAATCAATGAGAAATCAGCTTTGAATTCCCCTAATAAGTTGTGACACTTTTACATAGCTAACCACGAAGTCCGAACGGACACCAGCGAACCCCTCCTTCAACACCGCACGTCCCCCATTTCTCACCCCCCCGAGCCCAAAATCGGTCATCCACAGCATGACACCCCTCCCCTGGCATGGAAATAGATCACCAGCACTTAGCACATTTAGTTACCCTTCTTCGTCACAAGTCCGTCTCTCTTTAGATACGTACCATACAACAAAGCAGATCCCACATAGTCACTAGGTTGCACACAAAGACCCTGAAGGGTCTCAGGTACTTTAAAATACATTCATTCATTCTTGTGATTATTTCCTCTTTCAACCTATCGTACAAAGAAAGCAAACTGGGATCAGACTCTCTCAAAAATATACAGATACGCCAGTTTCTTCAAGTCCTTCACACTTTCATCATCGGCTTTGACAACCTTCTCATCATTGAACAGCACCCATTGGTCCCCGACCTTGATATGTGCCACGTAATGACCGGAATGCACTGAAGGTCCCTTGTGAGAGATGAAAGCCTTCAGCTTGTAAATCACTGGGACCGTCTTCGACCCGCCAATCACCGGCTCTGAGGGCGTAGCGGTCACCGGCGTACTATCTTCGCCAGTGTCGTCGAGATGGTTAAATAGCCATTCTACCGCTCGTTCGACGTTGCCTTCCTATAAGAATGCACTACCTCAGAAACCATCCACCAAATGGAAAATAGAACATACGGTTTCCCGAAGAGATTTCCTCGCTTGGGCTGGAGTGAAACCCATATCCGAGAGCACGCTAACCTGCTCGGGAGACGGCTCAAAATCGGAGGCAGAAGATGAGGCTGGCTGGATAGGCTCATCGATATCTGCAGCAATATTAGCATCCAAGACCTTGCGCCAATGGTATACGTACCTGGGTCCTCCATGTGGCCAAACAACCATTCCATAGCAGCTTCAAGGTCGCTGTTTCCAGTAGCAAGCAACGCCTTCTGACAACGAATAACCGGGAAACCCATCGTTTCCAGTTGCGCCATCGCAGCCTCGTTGAAGTGTGGTAGTGCTGCGGGTGCTGTATTGGTGTTCAAATAAATAGGGAGAAAAATTGATAGGACACGAGAATATTACAAGTTTCATTCTCCGGTAATGCGATTTCATCAGCTTGCAATCCATGCCCCAACTGATTGTCCGTGAAATGGAGCTCATCTCCAACAGGTAGTAGAACGGGTATGTCAAGTTTCGCCGGAACCCAGTCCACCAGTTGGAACTTTTTGGCTTGAACAACGAGAACATCAGGGAAAGAGGCAAATTTGCTTTGTCTGTATAGACAGACCATCAGCAAGTTGGGCATTTCTGAAACAGAGTAAATACGTACCTGAGAGCATGGACAGATTTTTGACAAGACGGGCAAGTGTATTTAAGAGCATCGATACCAAGTAGCAACTCCAAGCATTTCCACAGCTGGACCTCCTCATAGAGCGTCTTTCCATCGGCGTCCTTGCCCTTCTCCACGGTAGGAACAGATACACTAACAACATCCATATTATCTACTCTGTATCTCACCTTTTTGCAGTCGTTGCACTGCAGTCTTTGCTCCATACCGTAAGCAAACACCGACGTCGCATCTATAAAGGATTGATCATCATCATCATTTTCCTTCGCCAGACAAATTGAACAAACCAGCTTCAGCACCATCCTTATGTTTGTGCCCGTCTCGTCGTAGAGCAGTAATCAGGTACGTAAAGAACTCCTCCGAATCTTGCTGCCTCATAGTCGAGAACTCTTCATGTCCTTTTCCAATGAGCGCTTTGAACCCGGTTGGTTTGATACCGGCTTGAAATACAGGTGCCATCGCATCTACCCCGGGAGAGGCCACATAATTTGCCGGACGAGAGTATCGTCCACTCAGTAGGCCATCTGCAACCTTGTGCATCTGACATTCAAGGCAATCGGCGGGCAGAGGTTGTGTACACGCTGCAGCATGATTCTGGGCAAGCGAGCCGTAACGCTGTTGAAATGAAGGAAGAGAGAAGATGGTTTGAAGGACTGAAGCCATATAACAACTAACAAGCGTCGTGAGAAATACACCTTAATTTCGCATTTAATGGCCATACCTGTTTCCGAGGTTCATTAGACCAGTCAGTCCAGGCCCGCAGACTGGCTCGAAAGCTTTTCCGTCGTCGTCGGTAAGAGAAAAGTCATATTTTAGATTGTGCTCGATTTGGAGCTCCGTTATGCTCTTCTCGGTTTTTGTCTGTGTCTGAACATTAATTCCGAAAGTCGAAAGATGAGTGGCTAGTTCCGGGTCGAGCTTCGAATCATTGCATTGGTAGCAGTAGACATCGGCACCGCCTTCGGGAGTAATTGTTCCAAGTTTGACGCTGACTGGGTGATGGGTAGCTTCGTAATGGGCCAAACCATGTCCGTTACCGCCCACACCGCCGAGCTGATGACGACCACAGCCAAGCGAGCCACATGTCAAACATAGCCATAGATTCTCTTTTAAATCGCAAGACGAGCAGTGAGCGAGGCCGGAAGCGGGTATGGGACCGGTAGCAAGCTGTTCCAGGGTAAGAGTGTGCTCGCAGGTGAGAATCTCTTCTTCCCAGGCTTCGACTTCGGACTGCCGAGCAGATGACATGGTTTGCATTACCCCTTGTACTAATGCTTGAATCTACAAAACATTGAGACGCATTGAGGATTTGATATAAACGCTACGTACCTGAGGGATCTCCGTCGCTTCACGAATCTCTGCACCGTCACTACTGTCGCATTGCCAGCACTTCACGATCGTCTGATAATCGTACTTGTCTTCTTCACGTTCCTCTGAAATGGAGAGCTTTGTCATTTTAGCCGGTGGCTCCTCATCCTCATTCTAAAAGTTTGTAAACAAAACAGCTTTAAAAAACTGGACCGCGACGCACGCGTTTCGCGGATGGTTTCAAATTGCGTTTCACGTTGAGAGTGAAAGGGTGGCCAAGCTTCGAGACATGCAGAAGAGCGTGACGCCGTTCAGGATCGAGACAGCCGCCGTTAAAGCATGTCAAGCAAACTTCAATTCCTTGAGAATCGTCCTGAGATCGCGTTAGATCAACCGCCACTCAATGCTGTTGTGCAGCTGTACCTGGGAGTCAAAACACTGCGTACACTCTTCTCGGTGAACAAACTGGGATAGTCGCGGCGGTTGAAGGCGCGCCAGTTGATCTAGGTGAGAACAGGAAGACATGAAAGAAACGTCGATGAAAGTACGAAGGAAAGTGATGGAGAAGTTTGCGACATTCACATTTCTCGGGCACGTGATAGGATGACGCGCCCTTTCTTTCAACCTCTAACCTCTTTCGGACTCAAGTTCAGAAAAGAGACATACGATAACGTTAGCACTATTACAAACTTATGGATGATTCCCAATTTCACGTCGAGAAATAATAGGTATATTGGATAACTGGTATCCGCCTAAATTAAGTTAAGACACATAATATAATGCTTGCCCTGCATCCACAGCGTCCCCGGGTCGAACTGCAATAGCTGTGACAGTCTTCCCAATCTCTTCCTCCCCAAAGTTAATTGCAACCTCGGTCTTCATCGCTTCAAGAATCACCACGGTTTCTAGGCTGGATCTGATCTGGTGCCCAACCTTAACCTCAACCTTCCACACATTCGCAGACAACGGACTGGCAACTGGAATACCCAAGTCATCTGACAAGCTGGGTTTTCCTCCAGAAGACTGATCCGCTTCTTTGGCAGCCAACCACTCCTGAAACAGCTCTTCCTCCCTGTGCGTAGCAAAATATCAGCAAGATCCAATTGATACAAACGACTAGTCATACCTTACGGCTTCCGCTGCACTCGCCTCCTTCTGTATCTTAATAATAGCATCCAATTCAGCTTGATGGGCTTTGTTCTGCTCAACGTACTCCGACAAAGAAAACAACACTTTTCTGACTTCCGGCTTGAACCTGCCCGCTTTGAACGCCCGAGAGAGCTGGACATTATGAATATAAAGCCCCTTCATAGACGAAAGTAGCAGACCTTAAGATATTCTTCCTCTGAAACCCGATACCATTCAATTTGGTCGAATCGCTTCATCATGAAATGAGAGTCGTTCCACGTGTCTGCAGATGCAATCAGCTGAACGAAACCGGACAGGCCACAAAATTGTTGACGTACTCCAAGTACTCAGCGTCCGACCAAGAAGCTGATAACCGCCTGCTGATTCCAGGGGATATATAGACCCGACAACTCCAGCCAAACCGACGGCACCTTCAGGTGTATACAGTCTGTATCGCAGAATGTTAGCATTGGTTAAAAAGGCACTCGAGGAATCAACCTAGTGGGATTATACTTTTGCCCCAAGAGGCGCTTTCGAGGATCCATCTTGATACCGAAATTCTTTTCAGCTGCCGTTGCATACAGAAAACTTGTAATGTGCGTACCGGAGAGATAAAGGGCAAACCCACAACTGACCATCAACAGATAATAAGACCATAAGGGTCGAGGCACATTTAACAGCACTCACAGAATCCAGTCCCGAAAACTAACCATGGAGACGCCAGCATTGAATCAGCGACCTCTGACTTCGACGTCATCCCGCTGCAACGTGCAATGTATTCCTATAACTGACAGTCAGCAACGTTAAAACCCTATCACAGGCGAACGTACAACGTTGCTTGGTAGATACACCGCCTGTGATCGGACTGTTTTCATGTACCGGTCTACAGCATCTTGGCACCACGAGTCATCGGGAACCTTGAAGACATTTAGTGCCGCATTAGATGAACAGGTCTTTCGCGTCACACACCAGAGGCATCCGGTATACGTCTACCTCAAGGGGGTGCATGCGCATCGCGTCCGGAAGATCGGCATCAATCTCGACCATCATCTTCAGCAATGCCTCCATATCAGTAACCCGCTCATCAAAGTGTATCATCAAGCTTCGAATAAGCAAAAGGGTTGTCAAGATCCCTGGGACCTGACGCTTGTTAAGCTCGCGTAAAAATGACTCCAATCTCCCACAGATAACGACATCGAGACGCATAGGACCAACTTCCAGGAAGAGGAAAGAGTCTCCGACCTGGCGTATCTTAGATTCCGGACGAAGCGCCGAGGCAGGTATATGTGCGCGTAAGGACGATTCAGGTATTTGGCCAGTGGCAATCCACTCCAGTATGCCCGAAGGTGTAGTAGTCGCCGTCTCGGACTTGATGCTCGCCTCTATGGCAGCAAGCCAGACATCATTACGTTCATGTAAACAAGGTGCGTCGCTCCGGCTGATCCCCTTGAACATGATGGTATCGCCTGGTCGTATCTGACCTAGTTTCCAAAGGGAAGCACTAGGTACTACATGGCGGTTCATTGTCATCGACGATACGATATGGAAAGAAAGACAGCCTCACCGTTGAGGACGTTAGCAAAACCGCCAGCATCAGGAGCATCAACGCCGAATAGAACGGGGGTATCACCGTTCACATTGAGTGCCCCAATAGAATCTATTCAGCATCAACATTGAACCTTTGTGGGAAAGGTGGTAATTTATACTTACACCCTACGAAAGGAAGATCAACTTCAATGTTTTCAAAAGAATGTCATGACAAACCTTGGTCAACCACATTAGAAGGATGAGAGCCGCCTTCTCCACCATCCTCTCTCGCCCACTTGATTCGAGGGCCTTCCAATCTAAGCCCACTGCGTCCACTTGAAGGGCTTACCTTCCACTTCGCCGACGTGAGCATTTCCTGCCCTTCTTGGGTCAGATACTCGTGATCCCATTGCGCCGCCGGCAGGACCTCGATGTCCCATTCATTGGGGTAGCAAGGAATGAGATGCTCAGGAACGGAAGGTGCATTATTATTGACAGAGTCACACTGCGGACTGAGGGAGAGAATGTCTCCTTTGACGAGCTGCCGGCCTTGATATCCTCCAACTCCGACCAACATCAGCGTGCTCTTGGAACCCATGAAACTAGCAGAACCAGGTAGACCACCGAGAACGGCGATATATGCGCGCAGTCCATGCGTAGACTATGATACGCCGCGAGTGATAAGCAAAGGACACAAGATAATACAAATAAGACATACAATTCCAATCTTAAGGACGCTTCCAGCCTTTATTGATAGCCGCATCCACATTCTTACTGGAGCGCCATCCAGGGTTACTGGACTTGTTGCTCCGGTAACCGCAACTGCAGCTGCTCTATGAAACTTGAGGGTAGGACCACTAAAATCATAGTTAGGGGGCAACGACAGTCGAAACGCGGAGTCACTCACATCATGGTCGCCTCGAGCAACTCTGTCTCTGGCGTGTTTCCAACCAACATGTTGGCTACTCTCGCGGCAAGGATGTCCGCTGCACCACCTAGGGGGATACCGTTACCAACCGTCCGTCGTCCGGGGAGATCCTGTATTGTCGTCAAGATACCTCCTTCCAGGACCTCTATTGCGCGAGGGACGAAGGCCATCGTCGACAAGTAGGTCGTCGTTACCTTCAAAGAAGTATAAGAGCGACGCCAATATGGACATGAGGATAAAAGTGACCTGACCAAGCTGGAACGGTGCGCTCCGCACAATTTCAGCAAGATATTCAAGGTTATTCGGAGGGCCAAGGATCGATGTTTCTGCGAGGACTTGCCCCATACGCTTCAGAGCTTCTGAACGATCAGCACCGGCAACGATGAGTTTGGCGATCATTGGATCGTAATTAGGTGTAACATGTACGCCCGTAGCCACCCAAGTGTCGATGCGAAGCCAATGACGAGGCTCAGGCCATTGAACAAGATGAAGGGTCCCCGGAGAAGGCTGGAATTGTCCATACATAGGGTTTTCGCAGTATACACGAGCTTCGATCGCATGCCCTGTGGGGCCTGAATGCACTGGTATCTCGTGGGCGTTCAACGACAAGCCAGCTCTCTGCTTGAGACCGAGCTTGATCATGAGTTCGACGAGATCCAGCCCCGGATTGATCATTTCGGTGACAGCGTGTTCAACCTGAATTCTAGCGTTGAGTTCGAGGAAATAGAAATCGCCGGTCTCATCATCGACAATAAATTCAACGGTACCGACTGAACGGTAATTGATGCTCGAACAGAGACGAACAGCGGCTTCGCACATCGCTTTTCTGACGTCAGCACGTCCGTCGCTCAAGAATGGACTAGGACCTTCTTCGATAACTTTCTACAGATAATCAGGTTGTTGACTGTACAAACATGATGGTACCCTACTAACCTGATGCCGTCGCTGCACACTGCATTCCCTCTCGGAAAAATGGGTAACGAAGCCCTCCCCGTTACCGAAAATTCTCGAAACGGGATGAGAAAGCAAATTAAGTTTGAACACGATGACTCATCGTACTGTATCTCAATATGCCGAGCTTGTCTGACGTATTTCTCCAAAAATACAGCAGAGTTCTTGAACAGAGCCTACGACGCGAAGGGAGGGAGTGAGTAAGGTTTACTGAATTGGACCTACAGCCACATACACCACCTTTGGCCTGTGTAGCAACGAAATGCCTCTCAAGGTCGCTAGAGTCTTCACATATCTGCATGCCCATACCTCCACCTCCACCAGTCGCTTTGAGCATAATGGGATAGCCTATCCGCTGTGCTGAGGTCAGCGCTTGTTCAAGCGTGTCGACAATACCATCGCTTCCGGGGACAATGGGAACACCTGCTTCAATAGCGACTTGTCGAGCTTCATGCTTCAGGCCCATCTTGGTCATTTGCTCAGGGGTGGGCCCTAGGAAAGTGATGCCTTCGTTCTGACACAATTCTGCAAAGTCCTAAGGGTAGAAGTCAGCGAAAGAGTTCCACTGGGGCATGATAACATGACGTAAAGCAGGACACCGAGGCGTGTTAAGCACAAGATATGGCAAGACCTGCTGTACTCACAGGATTTTCAGAAAGGAAACCATATCCAGGAGCAAGAAGTGTTGCGCCCGACTTCCTAGCGATCGCTAGAATTTCATCCATCTCGAGATATCCTCTAGGGTTAGACCCTTCGCCATCAGGTCCATGCCCGACGACGTAAGCCTCGTCTGCAAGGGCAACATGTGGTGCCGACGCGTCCGCATGGGTGTAAATGGCTACAGTCGGTATAGACAACTTCTTCGCGCTGTTGATGATCCGTACGGCAATTTCTCCACGATTCGCGACGAGAAGTTTGCATTCCATGATGTAGAGCGAAAACAATCAGTGAGAAACGTCCAATGGGAAGCGACGCAGAGAAATCCCCCGGTAACACGTTGCTGACTTGCCGAATGGTCTTAGCCCGGGGGGAAATGAACTAAGGGCTGGCTTTACAATCATTTGCTGATAAGCTGGCTTATCACGAGGCATGAAGGAAGTATACAAAGAGTTTAGGGAGGGATTAACAGGGGCATCTTTCGGCGCCGTCCAGCCATCAAAGTGATAGCGGAGTGTAGGCGGTGCGAAAAACTGCGGCAGTTCCTGATTTGGACATCACCGCTTTGAATTTGAACCGACAACTACGGGAACAAGCACTCCGCCTTATGTGCCTGTCTCCTCCACCCGTATCTTTATGAAATAGTGCTACCTGATCGATCATTGGGGCGCCTAGGAAATACCCAAAATCATGTGAAATTCAGCGGCCAACCTAGAGTTTCGGTACTATTGGCCTGCTTTCAATGTTTCCATGGAGTTCAGGCGCATATCTATGACGCAGTAAGCCGCATTATATTTTTATGACTTTTAAATTTCATTAAGCTATGTTTCTCTTAGGATTAGATGCAATAAAAAATAGATTGAAAACTTGAATTGGGTCGACTGCATTGGAAAAAGATGCACCTTCTTCCTCTTGGGCCAGACAACAACCCTGAAAGTCTATTTTATTTTATTTCAAAGATAGACGCACAATTAGGCCATGAAAGTCCCCGATTGACTGCTCAAATCTCCGTGTCTAAAGTTGCTGTTCAATTTGATGATGATAAAGGATAAGAGGTGTATCTGCAAGGATTCTAAAGGGAAACAGCTAAAGGTGCCGATTTTTGACCCTGAAATTGTAGAACGCGCTCAAATTCCGCTTTATTCTTCAAGCGTGCCGGTGATAAGTGCCGATAATATTGTTGGCCATCTCGCGCTTTTTTTAAAACTTACAATGTCACTGATAACGAATGCTGACTTTTGAATACGGATACAGATAACGAAGAAGTACTTCTTACGGGGGACGGCCTCCGAATTGATGCCAAGTTCGCCCGCCCTCAGCTTGCGCTTCCGATCTTCTCTGTCCGCCTCTCTTGATCACGTCTTCCCTTGAGCAATGCAGATTCAACCTATATTCTCAGCCGGCTTCGGCTATGGAATCGTGAGCGATTTTTTTCCATTCAACGCGTTCATCTATTCATGGCTGTGAGAAAAAAGGTCATCGGGTTAGGCGCAGCGTTTGCCATCATCATGAGTATTGTTGCGTGGGGTCTGAGCAGATATGCCGGCGAAACGCAAGATTCAGAGATGCAAATGACTGCCAAAAAGTCCGTACGCACAGGTCTTTTGGCGGCTTCCGTTGTCTCGTCCTGGACTATCGCTGGTCAGCTATTCTTTTTTTTCGTGCTAAGCAACTTTCTCACTTCTCGATAGCGACCCTTCTTACGTCAACTGCGTACGGATACTCTTATGGTGTCTCTGGTGGCTGGTGGTACGGTGCTGGCGCTTGCGTGCAGATCCTGTTGTTCACAGCTTGTGCAATCGAGCTTAAGCGTCGCGCTCCGGCTGCTCATGTAAGTTTCGAGCCCATTTTACAAATGCACACTAACGAGCATATAGACTTTTGCTGAAGTTGCCAAAATTCGCTTTGGACCAGCAGGGCACTTCACTCTTGCTTTCTATTCGTTCTTGTACCAGTTATTCGCCTCGGTCAACTTGCTCGTCGGCGCTGGCTCCATTTTCTCTACTTTGACGGGAATGAGGTGGGTTTCTATCCCAACACATCTTCCCGTCTATTCATTTACGTTACAAACCATTCCAGTGCCGATGCAGCTTGTATGCTTCTGCCTCTTGGTGTAATTATTTACTCTGCCCTCGGAGGTGCTGCTAATTCCCTCTCAGTCTGGCTCACTGATCGACTCGTATTACAGGAATCAAGTCTACGTTCCTGTCGGACTATGTTCACACTTTGATCATTTACATTATCTTGCTCATATCTGTTATCGTCGTCTATGGCACTTCGAGCTTGATTGGGTCTCCGGGCGATATGTACGAATTGCTTCGAAAAGCAGCGCTTGCCCATCCCATCGATGGCAACCAAGACGGAGAATATCTGACCATGAAGTCCCTGTCTGGTGGTCTTGTGGGTAAGTCTACGTTCTAGGTGCTCACGGTCAAGATAATTACTCTGAAATCTTAGGTGCGGTGTTCGTAGGAAGCGGCTTCTCGTAAGATTTCTGGGTTTCTATACCATCGTTGTATACTCATAATCTTTTTTTGCTCAGCGCCGCTGTTGACTCGCAGCTGTTCCAGAAGGTATTTACTCTACTTCTCTTATGACCCTCTTCAATTGGCTCACTGAATATATTTCAGGCTATTGCAGCAAACCCAGAGAGCACCATCGGCGGGTACCTTTTGGGAGGAACCGCCTGGTTTGCCATTCCCTTCTGTCTCGCCAGTACTTGGGGTCTCGCGGCTGCGGCTCTCGAAAGCCATTCCTCCTGGCCAACCTATCCTGACCGCTTGACGGCAGCTCAGGTATCGGAGGGATTGCCGATGCCATTGGCCGCCTTGACGGTTCTTGGTAAGGGTGGTGCTGGTGCTGTTATTGTAAGCATCATATTCTCGTTGCCGAATGATAAGTCTGACGGGTTCAAATGAAGGTTATGCTGTTCATGGCTGCAACAAGTGCTATGAGTTCTGAGACAATGGCCGTCACCGGGCTGGTTACCTATGATATCTACCGAACTTATATTAACCCCAAGGTGCGCCCTGCATAATTATTCGAATCTCCGTGATCTCAGATGATAATATCATTCCTAGGCCTCTGATAAACAATTGAAAGCCATTGCTCATCTTACCGTCATCCTTTTCGGTCTCTCTGTCGGCGCCATTGCCTGTGGTTTCCTCCATGCCGGGTTCTCTGTCAACTTCATCGTCACCGCAATCGGTATCGTTGTCGACAGGTTCGTTCAACAAAGCCTTGAGGCCCTCCAACAATGATCTTATTCACATATTCGCACAGTGCCGTCATTCCTATGGTATGTACGCTAACTTGGGCACGAATGAACACCCTTGCGTGTGTTGGTGCTCCTGTCCTTGGTTCATCAGTCGCGCTTGTAGCGTGGTTTGTGTCCACAAAGCATTACTCCGGCGTCATCACCATCGACACCCTCTCTACTCTCAAACCACTGGCCTTAGGAAATGGCATCTCCATCATCGCACCCCTCTTTTTCGTACCGTTGTTGTAAGCAATCCCTTGTCGCGCGTATTCCGTGTGCTTGACTATCTGCTTAGGACCTTCATCGGCGGTAACCAGAACTTTGATTGGAACCGTCTGAAGCACGAGATCACAGCTGTGAAAGCCCACGGCGAAGCTCATGAACATACGCACTCGTCTGACGACGAGGAAAAAGAAACTGACGACAAGGAGAAAGGCCAAACTAACACAACAATCATCATGACAAAGGAAGGTTCAGACGAACTCGTCGAAGTTGACTTGTCCGACGATGCCGAACGCGTCTTGAAAGCGGGACGGGCAAAGGCACTTTGGGCTGCAACAGCCATGACGCTCATTTTCTGCATTTTGGTTCCACTTCCCATGTATTTCACTGGATATGTCTTTTCGAAGGGTAAGAATACATTTTCATGCGGCAGGCTACGAACGACCTGACGTCGTCTCTCGTTCAGGATTTTTCACCTTCTGGGTTGTGACAATTTTCCTTTGGGCATTCTACGCTGCACTCACCATCGGCATTCTTCCTTTATGGGAAGGCCGCTTCGGCGTCGCCGCCTTCGTCAGAGGATTATGGAAGGATATACGGCAAATTTCTTCTCGCGCCTGAACAGAGAGTTGAAGGCGCTTTTTTTATTGGGTTAACGATATTTGGATGACGGGTTGAAAATGTTCTGATTGACATATTTTATCTCGATACTAGATGACTATGTAATGGATTATATGATACAAGTGTACTGCTCAGTCGTAAACTGAGTAATGGAAATGAGCCTCTACTTCTTTTTGGCATCCTCTAGCAATGGTTCATAGGCGAACTCGACATGATAGCCGTCTTGACGACGACGACGACGACGACGACACGAACCTGTCCGCTCTATAGCCTCCGTTCCGAGTGTTTTTTGTCATCCCGTATCTACTGTCTTCATTCAGAGTTGAAACCAGTCTATCTGTCTGGACTCCGAAGTGGGGACTGGTTCAAGTCTAATCGTTGTCTCCGACTCCATAGTTTCATTTCTGCGGATAGACTGAGAAAAGCAAATGGGCGAATCCAGTTTTCTATTTTCTATTCTTACGGCTCCATCATGACAACTTTTAATCAATATTTGAACATACAACGCATGCAACTTTGCGCGCTCACTTGATCATGTAATACAATATTAATTACAACTGCAAACACCTCTCTGCATTCGCGTTTACTCATTTTCATGCTCCAATGCCTCCAAATACGATAAGCTTCTCGTTCATATACTCATCAATACCACGAGGCCCACCCTCACGTCCAATCCCACTCTCCTTGATTCCACCAAACGGTATCGCCGCCTGAGTGATCATGCCCACATTAGTACCCACCATCCCTACTTCGAGCTTCTCCGCCACGCGCCAGACACGACCAACATCTCTCGAAAAGAGGTATCCAGCAAGGCCGACATCGACGTCGTTCGCCAATCGGAGGACCTCCTCCTCCGTTTCAAACTTGGTCAGAGATGCCAGCGGCCCAAAGGTCTCTTCGGTGTTGACCAGAGCATCGGTGGGAACGTCAGTGAGGATAGTGGGGTGGTAGAAGGACGATGTCTGATCTTCGGGATCTATAGGTTTACCTCCAAGAACAACTGAGGCACCTCGAGATACGGCGTCCTCAACGTGGGAGTGTACTTTCTCCAAGGCGCGACGGTGAATGAGAGGACCGTGAGTGCTGTAGACCATATAAACATGCGTGAAAACAAACAGCAAGCAGGCTTACACTCCATCAGCTACACCATTTCCGACCTTGAATGCTGATACCTGCGACGCCAGCTTGGACGCAAATTCGTCGTAGACAGATGAATGAACGTAAAGACGATTGGCGCAGACACAAGTCTGTCCGCCACCACGGAATTTGCAAGCTATAGCAGCAGTGACAGCTTCGTCGATGTTCGCATCATCGAACACAATGAAAGGAGCATTGCCTCCAGCTTCAATGGATATTCTACATAAAGGAATCAACCCAAGAATACAGGAGAACTTGGGAGTCACCCACTTTTTCAAAGTGCTCGCAGCCATGCTGTACAGCAATTTGGCAACATTGGTCGAACCAGTGAAGGTGACCTTTTTGACAATTTTACTCTCGCACATCTCCTTACCAACCGATGCCACATTCCTCTGAGTAGTCACAACGTTGACGACGCCTGGAGGGAAGCCGGCCCGGTTGCAAAGCTTAGCACGGGAGTGAATCATGAGAGTGGATCGACAAACTTCGAATCAGAGGCTTACTTCTGCCAACGCAAGGGCACTGAAAGGCGTCTCGGGAGCAGGTTTAATGACAGCCGTGCATCCAGCAGCCAAGGCGGCGCCAAGCTTACGAGTGATCATGGCTGACGGGAAGTTCCAGGGAGTAAGAATGGCCACGACACCAACCGGTTGCTTGACGATAACATTGCGGAGACCAGGAATGACTGAAGGGATATGGTCTCCGTAAGTGCGAACCGCTTCGGCCGCATACCAATCAATAAAAGATGCGCTGTATCTGTTCTCGCCCTATGAAATATAAAAATTGAGATTAGTATCATCGATCAATACCAAAAACACCCACAATCGCGTCAGGAAGAGCCTTTCCGTTCTCAACGGTGATCAATCGAGACAGATCATCGTGGTGTTCAATCATAAGGTTATGCAACTTGTTGAGAAGCTCTTGTTTGTGCTAAACATAAAATCAGATCACTTTTCGGATGCGAAGAACGTACACTCACTTTGGGCGTGGTCGCGCTCCATGAAGGGAAAGCTCTTGCAGCAGCATCGATGGCTTCCTTGGTCTCCACAAGACCCATATCTGGCACGATCGCCAGCTCCTCAAGCGTGGCCGGGTCTAGATGCGAAAACGATAATTTTCTCTCAGCAATACAAAGCAGCGGGGAACTCACTGGTCACCTGAAACGTTGACCCATCCTTCGCATCCACCCATTTCCCATCGATGAGTCCCCGAGTTTTAATGAGTGACGAATCTTTGAGGCCGAAGACAGAGGGATTGAAGTTGGACATTGTCTGGTGGAAAGGAGGATGTGGAGTGGAGAGGATGCGAAAAACGGTGTCCGTACTACGCAACATTTTGGGACACATCCGGTACATGCCATGCCGATTGGGCTGATCTTTGATACCCGAAATCGGCACGCGGAAGTACCTGGAAGTACGGGGAGGCACCTGGAGGCACTGAGATAAAAAAAGGGCCGACTTCAGATAACGCTCATGATTTCAAATTGCTCACATATTTACATCACCATCACGGGCAGGTTAAGTGGGGTCAGCGGATACTACGCTTCCTCGACGTAATCAACGCCATGAAGATATCAATCAATTGCGACATGGGCGAGGCGTTTGGACGTTGGAAGCTGGGGCCAGACGAGGAGCTCATGCCGCTTATTGACTATGGTGAGCCCGACAATATTCAATTATCAAGTTCCCATGCTTCTGTGTGTTTTCAGCGAACGTTGCATGTGGGTTTCATGCCGGTGACCCGTCAATCATGTTGAAGACCGTACGACTCGCTAAGAAGTATGGTGTCAAGGTCGGTGCACATCCAGGGCTCGACGATATCAAGGGTTTTGGCCGTCGTGAAATCGATGTCAAACCTGAAGAGCTCTACGCGCAGACTCTTTACCAGGTCGGAGCGTGTAAGGCGATCCTAGAGGCAGAGGGAATGTCTCTTCACCACGTCAAAGGTACGTTTGATAGCACGCCGCTTGGAACATCAGTTGTATGATTGCTCTGTTTCCAGTGCATGGGAAACTGTACTTCATGATGGTTTGTCAGAAGATGCATTCTGAAGACGACTTGTAACTTACTTGGTTACACAGACTAGATCAGAAGCCATCGCAGATGCAGTTGTTAGAGCTATCGCATCGTTCAAGGTCCCCATGTTTGGACTCTCCAGCACGTTGCATGAAACGAGCGCGAACAAATACGGCGTCCCTTTCCATCCGGTATGCCATATGCAAGACCAGTTAGTCAAATCTAATTCCGTCGACCTACAGGAAACGTATGTCGACATTGACTACAGTCCGGAGGGACAACTGCAACCGGTCGACTTTGACAATTTAGTGAGCGTCGAAATGATTAAGAAGAGGATCCGGAGCCTAGCGGAAACTGGGTGTGGTTAGTGTCCGGTTGACTTTACGCAGGGCGCCACAACATTGACGGACGTCTTGTGGCCTTTCCTAGGAATCGACACCGCTGGCGCACCTCTACCTTTCTTGTTCGCCAAGCAACCGAAAGGAGGACTGAAACACGTACCCGAGGAAGCATACACTATTTGCCTGCACGGAGACATGCCGAGCGCTTTAGAAAACATCAAAGGGTACGGTAGCGTGCGGATCGATGACAGTATGCTGATTGGTTGTTCTTCGCAGCGCACGCGAAGGCATCAATGCTGCTGGTGTGAATCTATGAATTATAATCATGGAGGATTGACAGCATGAAGAGTTTATTACTTACCACATACACTTAAGCTATCCGAGTAGTCCATCTGAATCTATCATGAGCCTGACATCTTGCTTCGAAAGGGATCCTGATCGCACAATGAAGCGTCTAAACAGGTTACAGTACCACGAGGTAAAGAAACGACCGACAGCACAACACGATAGCTCAGGCTTTCGCTGCCTTGACAGCACCATCGTCCGAATATTCAACATCCTCGGTGAATACAACGATTATTGCCTTCTAAGTATCCTATGATGCTTGATGAAGAATGACACCCGACATAAGTATAAAAGATAACCTCATATTTCCCGTTGAGACATACCCAAATTACCGTACCAAGTACTTGGATCTGTACTGTTATTGCACCTCCACGCGTCAAGGTACGCCAGGCCGCCACCAGCCATGCTGCACTACCCTCTCAACCATCATGTTGTAGTTATCATAGTTCTCGAGAGCATATGAGAAGACGAAGGACAGAAAGAGACCCAAGATGAAGAGTCCATTTTGAAATCGAATGCTCGGCATCATGCACGTGATACAGCACGCTAACTCTTATCGAATTTATCTTAGTCTATTCAAATTGCGACAACGGTCATCGTGCTCCATGCTTCTAAGCGCTGCAAGTACATTATAGATACACGTCATTATGCAAAGACAACAGGCCAAAGATGCGTATACGGTACATCGCCAGTCATCTGTACGCGTCATTTTGTTTCGTTTCGTCGAGACCTACAGCCAAAAAAACAAACCTCGAGATACCCAGTCCAGCATCCCAAAATAAAATTAAGAGCTCTCCTTGACAACCTCCCTGACTGAATCCGCGATGATCTCGAGACCCTTCTTCATATCCTCTTCGGTAATATTGAGGGGAGGGATGAGACGCAAGACCTCGAAGGCGCTCGTCGTCAAAATGAGAAGACCCTTCTTGACGCATCGTTTCATCACCTTCGCTGCGAGGCCAGCCGGGATATCAGAGGAGGCTTGCGAAACAAGGCCTGACTTGATCTCAGCAGGACCAGCAGGCGACTTGAACTCAAGACCAATCATGAGGCCACGACCACGGACGTCGAGGATATACTTGCCGACTTGAGGGTCAGTCGCCAGTGCGTTCAACGCGTCAAACGCCTGCTTGGAGCTGGAGAGAAAAACGGTAATCAGAATGGGAGATACGCCCCAAGTTTTTTCATAACCTACCGTGCGCGAACGTTGGGCAGAATGTCGCCGCCCTTCATGATCTTGGCGACTTGGACGGCGGCAGCACAGGAAATGGCATTACCAGCATACGTTCCACCCATCGATCCAGGAACGAGCTTATCGGTGAGCTCCTTCCGGCTGATAACACCACTAAGAGGGAACCCGTTCGCGAGACCCTTAGCAACGACTAGGATATCAGGCTTGACTCCACTCTGCTCAATAGCAAAGTAATCACCACTGCGTGAAAATCCACTCTGAACTTCGTCGATGATCAACATGATACCATATGTGTCACAGATCCTGCGAAGTCCCTGGAGGAACTCGACGGGTGTCGAAACGTAACCACCCTCGCCAAGAATGGGCTCAACGATGATAGCGGCGGTGTCGGCAGGAGCAGTCTGGCTGGTGAGAACGATGCCGAGCTGCTTGAGGCAGTACTCAGACAGTTCGGCGGGAGAAGTCTCCTTGGGAAGACCGAGTGGATGGAAGTATGGATAAGGCGTCTGGAAAACACCGGGCATGATGGGGTGGACTCCAGCGGAGTAAACAGTCTTGCTGCGCGTGACGGCCATAGCGCCGAATGTGCGACCGTGGTACGCACTCTGCATACAGATAATGTTCTGCCTGCCCGTCGCGATACGCGCAATCTTTAGAGCGGCCTCAATAGCCTCCGATCCCGAGTTCCAGAAGAAGAAGGAGTCGAGTGAAGGGTGGGGCATCATGGGAATGAGTTCTTCGATGAGTCTTACGTATGGAGTATGGAACGCTATGGAGCACTGGGTAGCGTATGAGTCATACCAGGGATTTTGATATCCCAAGCAAACGCACCTGTCCATGGACTACTGACATGCATTGGTCGGCAGCAGCTTTAGAGATTTGAGGGTGGCAGTGTCCTGAAAAAGCGTTAAACAGACTATCATTCTGTCGATAAATCACAACGTACCTAGGGAAGTCACACCGATACCACAGGTGAAGTCAAGCATCGTCCGGCCATCGTCGAAAGACATGTAAGATCCAGAGGCATTCTCGATAATAGCATCATCGATAACACGTCCCAAACCGTGGGTAGTGTGCTTCTGGCCTAGCGAGAGAAGAGCTGCGTTCGCGGAAGGCATGACTGTATATTTCTGTTGAACGTATCAGTTATCCAGTTATCATCCAAAATGAACAAGACACGCACCTTGACCGAAGGAAAGATGAACGGGTAAGGCCAAACGTGGATATGGCCCGTTTTATACTATTCACAACGGCGATCCGCAATAAAATTTACTGGGACATATAGTAACCGAGGTACGGCCTCTGTCTGACCTGTCAGCCGAGGCGAACCGTTCATCGATGAACCGCTTCATTGTATTTCCGGAACCTGATAAGAGGCAGCTGCAAGTCATCGATGGCATCCCCGACGAGCGCGCCATTGGGTGATCCGTTCTAAGGTTTCAATCGTGCCCTGCAACGCAGCATGATTCGATATATTCGTGCAGTAGCAACAGAGTCCATTTGAGGGAAACGGAAGGACATGACAGTGCATCTTGAAGTTGTATTTTGAAACAAAAGGGGCTTTGAAGGAAGCTGATTCGTCCTGCGAGAGAGATTTTCTTTTCCGCAAACGCCCGCAAGGCTCATTTCACGTGATTAGCGCGATCAGACACGATCGGGGATTCGAGGCCCGCCGCGTTGTTGACCATGAACCTGCAAACCGGAAGTCTTCTAGTCTGTTACATCTACCTTCAACACATAAGGCCTAAAGGGCTGGAATATGAAATCATTAAGCCTCTTATAATTCAATTTCAAGCATCTTGTCCGCTATGACGCCCGTCCACTTGAAGTTCACTGATGCTATCACGAATGGCGCCTCATGGGATACAATACGCAATAAAGAAAGTATTGAACAAGAATATCTGTTATAATTATCCTCGTATAGCAAAAGAAACGTTCTTCCTGTGGGCTGACTATCTATCTAAACAAGCAGAACTGAAATTATAACGCTTGTTCCACTAGCAAGATTTCTGTTGGTATATTTCACCCACGGTCAAGTTTGAAATTTCGCTGATGGCCACCGGGCTGTACAGCCAAGCGTGGTTTTTCCTTTCTCGGACCCGAATACCGGCAAGCTTGACAATGGATTTCACTGGGGCATTACTACCGAATTCAACTTGAAGAATTTCGTGTTCACATGTTGGTATCATGGCTCACAGGCTTTCAAATTGGGACTTTATTAGAATAAGGACCTTGACACCAATATCCAATTGAGCGACCAGGTTCCTTCTCACTTGTTTTACATAAAACCGATTCCACCGTTTCCACTAGTAAATGTGAGGAAAATATTTACGGCACGCCGAGACTTGATGAAGAGTGGAGAGCCTCCCCAACCCCGGTGATGCTCATGCTTCTCGCGCACCATGTTCCATGACTAATTGTTCGTGATGTCTAAGAGCTATCCCAGAACGATCACCTACGCACTTAACTAGGCTCCGCTACAAGTATTGATTAAATCCATCTGGAGATCAGCGTAATAGTTTGCCTGTGCGACTGCAGTAATCTAAATCGCAGGATATACACGGTACGTACGTTTTATGACGGAGGAACACGAAGGGTCAGCAGTGTGCCATTCTCGCCGATCTCACGCATATAAACCTCCAATTCCCCCTCTTCAGATACTTGGAAAACGACTTGTAATGTCGTCGTCCATTTACCAGCATCAGGCCCATTGCCCTTCGTTTTGATTCCTAACAGAGCCTCACCCTCCTTCGCGCCGAGGAAGGCGACTTTGTCCATCTGAGGATGCTTCTGCTCCTCATATTCATCTTCCTCTTCCTCCTCTTCATCATCGGAAAGCTCCAGTTTCTCGAGCTTCACCTTGTCTATGCGGACTTTTTCCTCAATCTCCCATACTTCAAACGCAAACTTCTTCGACTCGTCGGTAAGAGCAGCATCGAGAGTGGCAATTCGGCGAGCTGGCAGTGGCGTGTCCTTCGACAAAACAGTCATCCATGTTCCCCCTTTGCCTCCCTCGCCTTCGCCAGGGAAGTACAACCCAACAGAACGTGTCATCACGGGAGCCTCGGTGACAGAGCCTCTCTCAAAGGCTTGTCGAATCTCCGCATAGTCTTCGTCATGAGGCAGGGAAGCGATCAAGGCAGCCTGCACAGCACTACCCCTCGCTAGGATCGTTGTAGGATCACCGATACCACCACCAACTACAGTTCCAAGCGAAAACGGCGTGTCGACGAGATCATTGAAGCCGCAGGAAGTAATGAGGTGTTCGTTCAAACCGGGTAGACACGTCGTCCCACCTACATACACGATCTCGTTGATGTAGTAGGAATCTATATCGATGGACTTCAAGAGCTCCTCAATTGCAGCAGCTACTGCAGTGTACACCGACCGTACCACCATATCGAACCTGATTCGGTTGATGGAGCCGGTATAGTCAAGACCCTCCTTTAGTGACTCGACTGAACACGTCGCAGCGCCAGGGGATGCACTCAAGGTACGTTTTGTATGCTCGATAGCCAGACGCAGCTTGGCCTCAGCACGCTTATCGGCATTTTCGGTAGAAGGAACAACCTTAAGTGGTGTTTTCGTTTTTTTGGTAAAGTCTGCAGCGAAGAAAGACACGAGCTTGTCGTCTATCTGATCGCCACCAATGGCGGATGTGGTTGATGAACCAAGGAGGTGCGCGAGCCCTTCACGCATTGAGACAACGAAGAGAGAAAGGGAAGACGAGCCGAGATCGACTATGAGTTGGGTGCGATCCGGGTTAAGAGATGAGCTCCACTGTTCACTGGAAGTGGCAGCAGCCGCAGCTCCAGCTTCTTCTAAAAACTGCAAGACTTTGACTCCAGCATCAGACGCTGCCTTGTCTAGGGCATCAATCTGAACGTCGGTGAATGTTGGTGGCACCGTAACGGCCGCGCCTTGAACTTTTTTGCCCAGGAAGTCTTCTGCAGACTGGATGAGAGACTGAAGGAACATGGTGGTGACCTCAGAAACAGTAAGGATACGTTCGGTCGGGATGGGTTCGGAACGAGGGGTAGGGGCGACGGAGGTTGCAGGGGTATTGGAAGCTGTGGAAGGTAGAGGAGCTGGTGCAGCCTGCAATACCTCAACCTTGTACGCAGGTACATCAAGAATGTCAGGGTGCTGGATTACTGGCGCCGATGTCGTTGATATTTGGGAAGATGGTATCTCGGAAAATCTAATTATTGTATTCAATAACCATAAAAGAAAATGCGGCAAAGACGTACTTCTTGCCCAGGAGGTTACGAAAACCGATGATCGTGTTTTTTGAGTTCTTTACAAGTTGATGTTTGGCTTGGTTGCCAATGTACTGTTACAAAGTTTAGTACAAGATACAATGAATGAAGACAGCCACACACCACTTCTTCTCCTTGGAATGCAATTGTGCAAGCAATCTGGCGTTCCCCGTCTTCATTGGCAATACATTCCGCCAATCCTTCCTTCAAAACGTCACATGTTAGATGGAATTGACATAGAACAAAAAGGTAATGACCTTCGTGAATACGGCAATGGATGCATATGAGTTGCCGAAGTTGATTCCAACCACCGGGGGAATGGCAGTACCCTCAACGGATGGGTCGGCGCTCCCGTTTGCCAGCACTTCGGAAGCCATTACTATGTAATGTTAGCGCTGTTGTTGCCGTGGTCGCGGTAAGCAAAGAAAAAAAGTTGCCACGTGGGGATCCTGAGGTTAAGAATATTAGGAGAAAGTAATTATTACATAATTATTCAATCCCACTAGAATACTCCTTGCTCGTAACCCTGTTTATACTTTTTGATTTCCTCGAAAACCACTGCATTTGTACTGTACAACCATGCGTGAAGCTTTACTGAACAGAAATGCTAAAAACTGTTGGTCGGGAAAGTTGTCTAAGAAGATGACAAGTTCTGATCAAGGCCGTAAGAGACATCACGATGAACAAAGTCAAACGTTGGCGAGGTTGCACCTCGAGCGCTGGCATGAACAAACATATAACTATTGAAAGGAGTGCATAAATGGCTTTTTGTTTATTGGTACTTAGCATAGGCGTCTTTCCAAGCTTTATGCGCGTCCTCTTCGATGACGTCCTAGGATATCTGGGTGAACAGTCATGTCTAATTGACAGTAGCGAAGACGTTTACCCCGTGGCACATGATAATCCTGCTGAAGTCCCATTCTGAAACAGCTTTGATGTCTCGACGCATCGCACTAGAAGGATTATAATGAACATCCAAAATGAGCAGAAGAGGATAATCGCTAAAGTACTAACTCTTTATCCTTGCCCAACTTAAATAGGAGGGTTTTCAGAACCACTCCCGAAGGGTTTAACTTGCAGATTATGGGGACTTTCGAGGAAGACTTGGACTTTGAGTACTGCCCAAAGCGGTTAGAAGCCGGGAAGAAGGACAATGCCCTTATAAAACTCACTTGCTCCGTACCAGGTAGATTGAAAAGGAGATCAGCAACAATCAGGGACTTCGACGCGACGTGATAAAATGCGACATCCTGGTTTACGAAGCCGGGGAAGTAACTAGAAAATGGTAAGTATCCTATGATTTCTACGAAGAATGACTGGTAACGTACTGAGCCTTGATCTGTAAGGACATTATGATCAGAACGATAATATACGAGGTTAGTTGCGGGACATACCTCGCTCTCGAAGCCGTACTCGGTCTCTGGCGGATCAACACCATAAGCTAACAAGGCATTCAGCACAAAATAGGGTGCTGGTCTTATTCCTCACTCACCACCCGCGACGTCCAGACCCTCGTCCGTCTTCTTCTTTAAAAGCCGCTCCACGACGACTAACTTTGCATTCTCATAGGCCTTCTTGTACTCCGCTATATCACTTATTAATCCTGGTAACTTAAGACAATGCCTGAAGATAAGGCGTACCAAGAAACAAATGATGTTCCGCATCTCCGGCCATGATCCATCTAAAAGATTGTTGAGTCTCTTGCGGGCGCCCAAGTCGGATGCTCACTTCACAGGTCCCAGCTTGTCGATGGTCTCTTTTGTATCCTGTGTCAGCGGCGTTGATGCGAGGACCCATACGTCTCCACTGGTTAACTTAATTGCGGTTGAGCGCCCACCAAACGGAATAAATCGAGCACGTGTGAAAGGCCTGCTCAAACGTGAGACCTCCCGAAGATAAGCAGAGCTTGTCGTTTCTCACCTGGAAAAAATCCAGACATCAGCAGTTACCTAACAAGACAATGAGGTAGAAACTGAAAGAATGGCACAAACAGATACCTCTCGAATTACAAGGTCGTCCAGGTTCTTTGACATGGTAAAAGTGTGGGAAAGACATGGGACGTACGGGCTTGGACCTTTTTGTATTAGGGCGATCGTTTGGACATATTCGTGTGAAACAGCCAAGTCAAGCGAATATCACGAGACGGGATGTCATACGGCTTCGTATGGCGTCAATACGTAAGTGCAAGTGCGAGTGCAAGATGAAGGGAAAGAAGATCGTACGAGCTTCACAGATGGATGTCCTTCAAAAGAAAAAAAATAGATGTTGATATTTCGGACGAAAGAACGTCAGACATTCGTGGCGTCTAATGTCGCCATCCAACTTCATGGCCATTTTCCATCATCGGCTCGACGAATCCTCGAAAGATCCAGGGGCGCACCCCAAGGTCCTCAGGACCTTGTTCCCCCGGACTTTGATCCTGAAACCATCTCATGCCATACCCTTCTTCGATCCTCACTTCATAGACCAAAATACGGTGAGGCAGCCAATGAAGGTTCCTCCACGAGGCTTCATTCACGATTTTCCAGAACAGTGCCAACGCTCGTTCATTGATGATTGTCACAGGCCCAGAGGGCTGACCCCACCAGCCTTTACTTGTAAGTTCCTCCGCAGATTGGGATCGATGAAAGTGCTTCGACCACGCACGCGCTCCTGCAGTAAGACCAGCCTTGTTTGGCACAGTGAATGCTTCCAGACATACGTCTACGGAAGGGGGGATGGAGCCAACCGCAGATCCAATGGTATACGCTAATCCGAGGGAAAAATGAATAGCAAGTGGTGTAGATAGATCCGTTTTGCCAGCGGCGAGTTTTTCTCGCTCTGAAGCTGCGGAAGGAAGCTCTGACATTCCGGAACACTGCGGAGTCTTTGGTTCTGATGATGTAGGAAATGAATCTGTCTTAGATGGTTGCTCCAGATTCATGTTCGCGGATGAATACAATCCAGTAGCGGCAATTGCCGGTTCTACAAAGTTGTGAAGATGCCTGTATTTGCACTAGGCAGGACTAGCTTTGTGTGTGTGCGGAGCTGTGGGGAGAATATAACCGAGATACAGAAATTAGTATGTATGTAAAAGTCTTTGCAATGTGTGTTCGGCGGCTGCGCCGCCAGCTGGCATGAATCTAATCAAAGCTAGCCATAGCCTAGAGCATCACAACATAACATACTTCAGGTCAATTCTTGGAAATGGCAGTCAAAGTGTCCTATTTACTCAGAGCGTCAATAGGAATGTTAGAGGAATGGATACTGTATTTGAACGTGGAAGAATCGGGTTCAGCGACAGCGGCATCAAAGCTGGAGATGCCGTAGCATGCCAAATTCGGCTTTTAGTTGCAATGATCACTTGCGCCTTCGGGAAATGATCTCGCATGGTGGCAGTGTTCGGGCCGCAAGCCAGCGGCACACAGCACACACCTTTCCGTGTCCCTTCACTCATCTCGTTTCTCCAGAAAGTATGTTGCTTCAGGATATCAAAAGAGTGGAACGCTAACTTTATCTAGTGTTTCCAGACTCTGATGTTGACCAATATTCCTGCCATTGTCCTCATTGCGGTCTTACCCCTCGAGGAACACAAGCAGACCATGCTCCTTACATTCGGAATGCGCGAGTAGAGGAACTACTCTCCACCAATCGCCCGCTGTTGGCCGCCGAAGAAGTTACATATCGCGATTTACTGGCTCGGAGCTCGGAACGTTTGTCAATAATTGAAAATGAGATGCAGCGCCTTCGTGCGCAGTTGGCGCTGGTGGAGACGCAGAGGAAGGAGGCACTCGTCATGAACCAGGACTTAAAGTCCATCAACAGTCCCATTCGTCGACTACCGGACGACTCTTTGCGTGAAATATTTTTGGCCAGTTGTCGTTCATGGGCCGATGTCAATTCTCTCTTTTTTTCCATCAACATGCGAGGTCAACCTTGGATTCTGTCTCAGGTGTGCAGGCGCTGGAGGAGCGTTGCGCTGTCGTTCCAGAAGATTTGGGCTTGCTTCCGCATCGATATGGAGCACATACCTATTACGCGCATGGCCCAACAAAGAGCCTCGTTTGCTCTAGGGCAACAAATCCGCAGAGCAGGTCGTCATGAACTGACTCTTTCAACTTGTGATCCAGATGAGGGACGTTTGGGCACCAGCTATGATATGATACTGCCGCTACTCCTTTCCACTTGCTCGCAGTGGCGGACCTTCGAATTGAAATGTCACACTCGCGCAGTCATTCATTTTGCTCCCATTAGGGGCTACCTAGAATCCCTTGAAAAAATTCACCTTTCTATACGAACAAGCTCGCGCGGGGAACAAGACATCTCTACTTCCAATATATTCGAATTTGCGCCGAAGCTGCGTCGGATCTCCCTCGGCAGTGGGCGGAAGGACATCGTACGGTCCTTTATCATACCCTGGCCTCAGATTATAGAATACACAGACGGCGGTAGAAGGAAAGGCAGCCATCATCTGGAGGTGTTGCGGCGTGCGACCGCCATCACAGACGTTCGCATCAACTCAACCCTGCTTCCAGAGGCAGAGGGCGGGGTTCCCTACACTCTCGGGGGACGAACAATTCGAGTGCCCACCCTTCGTAATCTCCGTGCGCGTTTGAAACTCAATGACAGCCACTTTCAAGCAATGTTCGATAAGCTCGAGCTACCCGGGCTTCGCGTCCTTTCTACGGCCCTTCCCCCGAAAGCCGATCCTTTCATCTCCCTTATCGATCGTTCACAGTGTCATCTCACGACGCTATTAATCACTGCGAATACACCTGAAATCAGCGCAGAGCTGCTTCGGCTATGCAAAGTGACTCTTCATCTACGCGCACTCTGCATCACCTCTGACGGCGAGGAGAGCGGTCCTATCCCTATCTCTGATTTTTTGGTTGGGCTCGTCCATCCCCTTGATGGAGATTGCTTCTTACTTCCCGCACTGACGTGTCTGAATCTAATGCAACTAAACTGGAATCCAAGAGACTCGGTTGTGTTAGAACTGATAGATTCGCGCCTCGGAGGATGGGTCGAAGGGGATGAAGAGTCGAACAATGATAGTTCAATGATTCGAGAAGGCGTGGCACAGCTGAGGAAGGTAATGCTGCCGTATTCTTTTGAGATAGCGCACAAAGAGGAGTTGGAGAGGTTCCGGTCCTTGGGCCTGAAGATTATTACACGACGGTCGTGATGTCAGGTGCATAGGTGCTTAAGATTCCATGGATGGTCCGAGGACAGGAAGCAAGAAGTATTGAAATTGGGGCGGGCTGTAATGCGTCAGCGTAAGGCTGGCGGATACATCGTTAGTGCGGCGAGACAATCCGTCGCATAATTATGAGACTCTTCGTCGCTGCGCAGGAACTCTACTGTGCAGTGATATTTATATAGATCCACGAAATGATATATTGCGCCGATCCAGAGATTGCAGGTAAGTACTCTAATCCGACAGGACAATTTGAAGATACAGCAACTTCATCCAGCTACAGCTTGTGCAATGGAATCGGAGCAGCCAGAATCGTCCACAATGCGTCCGCCATCTTTTTCGGAGCCTCTTATAACACCTGTTTGCGATCAATAGCCTGTTCGCCACGAGAACGACCCCCAGGGGACTCACCCAATGTCCGGTCTCCGGAACTCGAGTTATAGAAGCAAAGGTCCTTCCTTGGTCGGCATCGATGATCGAGTCTTGGATTCCGTGCGACCTGGAGGGGCTGTGAGTGACGTTGTTAACGAGTGATGTCTTCACACACATAAGATCGTTCTTGGCACCGTAGACTAGATGCACCGGTACAACACTATAGAGTGTGTTCAAGTTCCGGAGCGCTGTGAACGAGGTTCCGCCATCTTTTGAGTACGCCGCATTTTCGTCCACCCACGTAGCGCTTAGGGTAACTCCATCGGTCTTGTCGGGATAGAAGGCTGTCGGTAGCGGACGTAGACCGTGGTTCTGGGCAACGATGAGTAAAGAGAGGAAAACCGGCAGCCCGATACTCACTACATAGATATCCAGGACCTCTAGATCCCAAACTTTCCAGGGAAAACGCTTGCCGAGCCAAGCTTTAGCGGCCTCACGGCTAGTCCAGATATCGTGGCGGTTGTCGACGGTAGCAAAGGCTTTGTACATTGCGGTATGATGGACCTCTGCGGACGGGTGGTGGATCGGCGTCTCAACGAGGACAAGTGAATCAAACATGATGTTGCTTGGGGGATTGAAAAAAGCCGGCGCCGTCACACTGTAAAGATTTAGACAACGAGCAAGTCTCAAGAGGTAAGTTTTTACTAAGCTACGGTGCCTGCGGAATAACCGATGAGGACGAATATGTCCTTTCGGCTGTACTCCAGATTGCTTTCTCCTAAGAGATCACGGCGAAGAGTCACCAGGGCGTCAGCGTAGTCGTAGATCGCTTAGCGGGGAAAGTTTAGTAACAAAGTGGGGATGCCAGTACCGGAGGTACTCACACAACACCCCAGGGCGTTCGACGAGAACTTTCTCATTGAGAATGGCAGCTTCGCCATGGTTCTGGCAATCCACTGTCCAAGCTTCGCGAATAGTGTTTTGCTTGTCGAGCTTGAACAGATGGCTGATAGTGGGCTCCACTGCTCTTTGTCTAGATCATATTTGTATTGTCAGATGGAGGGGTAGCCAAAGTGAACTACTCACGAAATCCTACTCTGTGCGCAAAAATGGGCACAGATCCTGACTGGATCCTCTCAGATGGCTTGGCTTTGGTGTAGCGCTTCAGAGTTGCCCAGAGTGGGACACCAGTCGTGTTCGTTTGAAGAGTAAAATTAGTTACAAAAAAGTCGCTGGAAGTCCTAGTCATATTCGAAGAGCAGCTAAGGTGATGAGGGTGTTTTTGGAGGCCTTTACGGGGAAATTCTTCTGAGAGTCACCGTCATAGTGACGAAACAAACTACTGATATTCTGATTAATGGGTACTGAGTGCCCATGATTAAGCGAGCGGAAGTCGATTGGAAGAAACGGTACCGTCGGTAATGCCGGTGATCCAGCCTTCTCTATCGGGTGGGTCAGCGTATGGATCAATACCGCCCAATACCTCCGAGGAAACTTGTTTAGCGCCAGGCAGCTTACCTGTTCAGAGTCACGATTCACGTATCAGTCTATCACCACTGAGCTTTTGGCTCATTTTCTTGGTCCACTCGACCCTATTCCTCAACAGTGCTCCAATCGGAGTCAATGGATGTATGAAGGCTCATATGTTGCATAAAGAATGAAACTAAGGGACCCAAGCCACTGATACCTAATGGCAAAGGATATTCGTAAGTAATCTCAGTCGGGCACAGTGAACGTAGAACAACTATATTGAAAAGTACTGTACCAATGGCAAAGGATATTCATAAGTAATCTGCACGGTAAGGAATGTAAGTAATTCTATAGTGGTCATGGTAATGTATATACATACCTTAGTTGGGCGCAGCGCACGTAGAATGACTGAGGTATGCGGGTAACTATGGCGAGTCTATATACTGATCGCAAGGACAGGAGTAGGATAAATATGGTAAGTAAGAACAGATGATCGGAGAAATGATAAGGAAATGGTATACAGAATGGATATATTTCAACATTCCCCCATATCCATGCTAGTCTAGTGCCACAATATTGAGATTGTTGGGGTACCTATGATGAGCATCATGAGGAAGGGCCTCTGTAAGCATATCAGGTCTGTGATATAGGATTCAATGAGTGGTCGGATTTGAATGATAAAGAAAGAGATGGAATGCACGGCAAGCCCCAAATATGACCAAGTAATTCGGACAATTTGTGAGAGCAGATCGTTACTCGATCCCCTATGACGAACGTGAGCGTTGAGCAGGGCCAAAATCTAACAAGGCATCATTACCTTTCCTAACGCCGTAAACATCTCTGAGGATAGCAGCGCATTTGACTGCCTTCTCCAATGTCTCCTGGAAGGTGTAACGCTCTTTCTCATATACAATATAAGTTTTGTCAGAGTGCTTCTTGGTCGAATGCAAAAAGAGGCGTCGTAGGGACGGCCAGAGATTCTTCCAGACCTTCAAGTCCCTCCCGTCAATGGTCTACATCGCATTTAGCCCGAAATAATACGGCCTGACGATGAGTACTCACGCAGTTTCAGTTTCGAGCAAGCTCCCTGGTCCTGAGAGTATTCTATCGGCTAGTATTTCCTCGAATTAGCATGCCGATGTCGTGGTGATTGGGAAAACTCACCTTCCTCAACAGAGCAGTGGGGGGTCCATGTTTCACTGCCAGTGTCCATCATGATGAATGAAAAACAGCCATCTTGCCCATGTCATTGAAAGATATATCTGCCAACCAGTAATGGAGATCAGGTGTGACTACCGAAGTGAACCCAATTGAGGCCGCGTCTTGATATGGCCCGGCAAAGTGCTTCAGCCGTTTACATACCTGAGATTCTATTACCTGGCGTGTTCGTTTTTCCCACCGTACATTCCGAGAGCATTCCTCATCGGCTCCTTGGGCATGTGCTATAGCTGACTGGACATCCCCGGATCCTCACCACATCTGGAGCGCTCTGCTGACAGAGCAAGAAATGGTACGGTTAAGCCCCGAGGATGGAGTCATGAGAGATGATGGATTTTTTGCTGTCGCATAGCTAGTCGAGGTTGGTGATGTATAAATCCTGAGAAACGATAGGGCATATACAGCTTTCCACGTTTGATTAATCCGGAGGCAAGTAAACATGAAGTTTATTTTATCAGAGTACCAGACCTCGGGTATGATTATCTGTACAAGCTCCAGAGGAAGCGCAGTCATGGCGGTGGAACAAGACTTGAATGGGTCTCACGTCGTACTAGCCCGGATTTCAACGCCGCTCTAGTCCACCTAGGATAACAATGTGCTATATGGCATCCAAAAGTAGCAGACAACGTCAATGAGCATTTGTGTATTGTTACTAGAACGATCACAAGATATAATTCGTTAGTAAACATTCGGTAATTTTCCTTTAACAAGGTCAGAGAAGAACAAACTGAAGATGTAATGTAGGTAAGTATTCGTACGTCATGATTGGTTTGAACAGCTAAAACAGCAAGAATGCGACGGTTGATAACATCCGCCCGACCGATTGAGATTGAAACGATGTAAAGCGAAAGTAGCACAATCAACTACTGTTGCTTGCATTCCTCGGGATTGACATTTCCGGCCCCAGCACCACCACGGCCTTTACCACCACGGCGCTTGGCCGCGTTGGTAGGCGCATCCGCGTCAGAATCCGAGTCCTATGAAACACAGGCAGGTCAGTTTTCGCATGCGGGAACGACATTGATAATATTTCATACGTCATCATCGAAATGGTCATCTTCGTCATCATCCTCCTCGTCCTCGAAATCATCATCATCTCCCTCCATGAGGTCGTACTCGAGGGCCTTGCCGGTGAAGTAATCGATGGCGCGGGGAATAATCTACGGCACATCAATCGATGGATGCGGGTGCAGTTATTGAACCGAGACAGACCTTCTCCTTAAGATCCTCGCCGATCTGGTAGTCCATTTCAACCTTTTCTTCAAGCTCTTCTAGTTCTTCTTCCTCTATATCGCCGTTTGCGATAGCATCCTCGCTGGGCGGCGTCGGTGGGGAAAAGAAGTTGAAAAACGACTCTGTAGGCCGTGCCTTGCGAACGACGCGAGTCCGATTTGTGTCTGTAAAAGAGACGAAAGCGTGAGGAAAAATGAACTTGAATAATACATAGATACACACTCTTATTGCGCTGCTTCTTTATCTCGAACTCCTTCGTGAGATCCTTATCTTCTTTCCACTTGATCTCGGTGCCTACGGCGCGATCATAGGCAAAATCACCAAAGTAGCCGACCTCTGCCTGATAGTAATAGGTTTTCTCAAGCGTCTCGTTTTCAAAAAATTCATTCGGACTGAAGACAAAGGTGATCTTGAAACCAGGTTTGGCGTCAAGCTGAGAAAGATTGTCGAGGTAGGAAAGACGGATATCGATCAAATGCTTCAAGGCGCCTGCATCGCGTTCAGTAATGAGATCCTGAAGGCCGAGATGGTTTTGAAGAGCGGTCAGCCAGAATTCAGGGATGGCACACGGGGCAGGAGCGTCCTTCGGAAGAGGGGTGTACTCTTCGTCATCCTTAGCAGATTGCTTCTCTCCAGCTTCTATTTCCTCCTCTGTGGGGGCTGCATTGCCCTTGATAATAGAGATTCTACGGTCGTACAGAGGCTTAGAAAGCTCAAGGTACTAGCGATAAAAAGTGAGCACTAGCCTGTCTGAGAAAGAGAAAGCAGCAATACCTTTTTTTCAAGCTCAAGGCACTCGCGCTTGTACTTGTTCTGCAGTTCATTCTGCTTGATCTGTACACCTTTCAAGGCCTCGACGCTGCGCTTGACCTCGACAGGGAGCTTCTCAATGTAACCCGAGCTCCGGCCGACGAGGTCAGCGAGCCTGCCTTGAACCATCCCAAGCATCGCGTTCTGCAACGGGTTGCCATCGACTTCATCCTCTTCATCATCCTCCTTATCCTCGGTAATATCTGGCACGGTTGGCCGCGATAATCCTGCCGATAATGGGGCGTGCTGCAAAGGGGTGTTTTGCGGCGTTGGCGCGGTGATGTTGGAGCCAGGACTGATGGGCAAACTCGACGACATTTTCCAGACACACAGGAGGTGAACAGCGGTGAATCGGTGAAAATCAAAAGGGAAATGAAAGAGAAAATTGAGGGGAAGGAAAAGACGAAAACCCGCTGCCGGAATTGGTAAACATTTCCCCGTGTCGGAGTGTTAAAACTAGTCACGTGGCATCAACAACCGGAAATAGCCGATTTCCCCTGGTGCATGACCATCACGACGATGAAGGCAAACGAAAGGACCGTCCTGATAGGGAGAAAGGTCGTTCTTGTTCCTTATGAAGAAGGCCACGTTGCTGTTAGTACACGACTAATACTATTGGTGTCCTGGACTAACTCGTTATTCAGAAATATCATGCATGGATGGAGAACGACGAACTGCGATCTCTCACGGCAAGTGAAAGACTTACGCTGGAAGAAGAGTTTGACATGCAGCGTAATTGTAATTTGTCTGATTATATGCGTAAGGCTTACCTTTTCTCCAGGAAAGTGGCGGGCAGACGACGATAAACTGACGTTCATCATTCTGGCGAGAGACGAGAGAGGTACCCTCCCGGCCAGTCTGGTGGATAGGTCCGACCTAATAATGACTGGGAACACCCCCAGACCCCCTTCTTGATGATCAGAAAGATGTGATGCCCTCGGATCCTCGGATTCTGTCTCTTGCCATGGCTGGAGATGTCAACATCTTCTTGAATGGAGCGCCTGAGGACGAGGATGAATTCGCGGCTGAAGTGGAGATCATGATTGCTGGTGATTGCATTCCGTAGCTGTTATGGTTTACTCGCTAATACTATATCCCACAGAGCCAGTTTATCGACGTAATGGACTTGCCTTAGAAGCACTCCAATTGATCCTTCAGTACGCGACGGCAAACAAATTCTTTCCAGATGGGTCTTCGGTACCGGCATCTTTCCCGAAGTCCTCGCCTCTACCAGTTCCACTGTCCTCTCTTGTTGCTCGAATCGGCGAGACCAATCTACCCAGTATACAACTGTTTGAAAAGTTAGGATTCAAAATCACGAAGCATATAGAAGTATTTAACGAAGTGGAAATGAAGCTTCGGTGAGGTTTATGCTCAACAGTTTAACTTATTTGTCCATTGACATTCTCAAGATGTCTCCCGTAAAACCTCTCTTCGACGCAGAAGTCGCGTATACCTCTAGATTGTTGTAATTCCTAGCTTTTCCCAGAGTTGATCCACTTCGATCTTGAAACGTTCGCCACAATATGCCGCAATTCGCTCCGTCTCAGTAGACGGGGCCCTCGACCCAAGATAGTTGTCCTAGTAACTGCTCATATTTCCAGGAACATAGGCACCAGGTAGGATGGAGCCATGCGGATCACGAGTGTGTATAAACAAAAATCTCTCCAATCCACGCCCCATTCTGTTCGGACCCCATAGACTAACAACGCGGTGCTCCGCAGTAGCACGTCTGATATGGCCGAGATTCAGCTTCAGAGGTTATCTCGTATCACTATCTAAGTATACTTGGCTCCTGAGCTTATAATAGCGTACTTACCTGTTTAACGGGAAGCACTTAGCAACCGTGACGACAGCGTACCCAAGCACATTTCACTTCGGCAAAATGGACTCGTATAACGCACAAATCACTCAACGATAATGCAAGCGCATCAGGCCGTCGGTACCAATGTGACGAAATTTACGGAGAATCTATGTCTTGGCTTCGTCACCTTGGCTCGGCCGTCTGTCGTGGGTGGAAACATGATGGAACGGTTGGCCTTTATAAACCCTAGTGCTGCCTACCTGGAGAGTCACACAAACCTGTTTCCTTCCCCATATTTCCTTTCCTTTCTCCCTCCTTCTTTTTACTGACAGTCGTTCTCATTACGCTCCCTCTTCTTCAACGCGTCGATTCAGAATGTCGTATCTGGGCTCCCTTCGATCCAACGCCGCGCTGGTCGTTGCCCTATCTCTCCTGACCAGTGTTCGTGCGCATGGATATGTGGAGACTTTCGTTTATGGTGGAATAAACTACACTGGGTACCTTCCGTACAGCGATCCGTACACTAACCCTGTCCCGGATCGCATTGAGCGCGTCATTCCTGGTAACGGTCCCATCGAGGATGTCACTAGCGATGACCTCCGTTGCAACACCGGTGGAACAGCACCTGCTGCTCTTTATGCTACAGTCGAAGATGGCGCCAGTGTCGAGATGCATTGGACCACCTGGCCCACCTCGCACGCGGTAAGCTAATATCATTTCACATCGATTACTGAGCACGGTTTAAAGACTGTTTATAGGGGCCTGTCATAACGTACTTGGCTCAAGTTCCCGACGGTAGCAACATTACTTCATGGGAACCTGGTACCGAGTGAGTTGGTCGTATGATATAGAAATTGGAGCGTTCATCTCAATTTGTTACATTTACAACGTAGTGCTGTGTGGTTCAAAGTAGATGAAGCTGGTTACGAGGACGGAAAGTGGGCCGCCACCGACATCATGGTCGACGAGCAGGATAGCGTTTGGTATTGGACCATCCCTTCCGGTCTGCAAGCCGGACAATACCTTGTCCGTCATGAAATGTTCGTGTTATCAGCTTTGAATCAAAACGTCTGCTGATCGTCCCATCTGCAGTATCGCCCTTCACCAGGCTGAAACCTACCCAGGCGCTCAATTCTATCCTGGTTGTAGCCAGATTGAAGTTACTGGATCTGGTTCCGACTTCCCCGACTCATCATACTTGGTGTCCTTCCCAGGAGCGTACGCTGGAACAGACCCTGGTATTACCTTCAACATGTACACTACTTTCGATAGGTCAGCCATGCGCGTCGAGTCTATAAAAGGTTTCTGACATATCCTTATAGCTACACTATCCCTGGACCTGCCCTTTGGACTCCTGGAGCAGGGGCTGCCTCATCTACAGCTGCTTCTGGGGCATCCTCAACCGCCGCCTTGGATGCTATCTCCACTGCTGTCTCCGGTACCACCTCCGCCGTTGAGACCACCTCGGGTTAGTGTTACCGGCTTAATCTAATATCCGTGTCGACTAACATCTCGAAGTGGGTTCGGCCAGCGTCTCTGTGGCTAGTTCGTCGACGTCTACCAGCGTTGCTGTTGTGACATCTACATCGGTATCCTCGTCGTCAACTGCTTCCGCAACCTCCGTCGTATCTTCGACAGTGACCCAGGTGACTGCCACCAGCACCACCAAAACATCTTCCGCCGCAGAGTCCTCCTCCACCGGAACCAATGATGCGAATGAATGCATGGACAGTAAGCACAGTCGTTATGACGAAGCTGTCACCGACCTGAACCATTTCCACAGCATACAACTCATGCATTGCGGCTTCTCAACCCGACCCTGACTGGGATAGCTGTGGCTCGGCTAAGGATTCCTGCCTTTCGAATGCAACATACCAACGCCGCAGGTCTTTCTCGAATGCTCGAGTTCCTAGCAAGCGTGAGTTCTGGTTTGTCTGTCGTAGTTGCTGTTTTTATAACCGTGTCTGCTACTAGGTGACAATTTGAAACGCCACCATTCTGCCTCGGAGCGTGCCCCGCGGGTCAAAACTCGCGCGCAGAAGTCGCGTACGTCCTCCACTCTTCCTGGGCCTGTTGTTTGATTAATTGATTTTCCACGCGCAGGTATGTAAAGAGGGAATTTACTCCCCGTTCATGACTGGATGATTGTGGATGGGATGACAAAGAAGAATTCCAACTTACTTTTAACTTTTTTTCTTTGACCACCCTCCTCCATGGCATCTTGATGATCTATTACGGGTGGAGAGTGGTCGGTCTTTCAGGCTTCGAGAGCTCCCTTCCCTATGCAGGTTTTGTGTCTGTAGTCTCTTCTTTGCTTACAATTTCTTGTTATCTCTATCTCTTTCTTTATTGGCAAGGCAAGCAGCAATAGATTCCTTTCATACTGTCTTCTGTCCGCACCGGAAACTTTAGTTTTCGCGAGTTTTATTCAAGCATGATGAAGATGATTGGACCTCGAGACCCTTCGCAGGCGGTACATGGAGAGCTAGACGAACCGTGGGCCTCCATTGATGGGTGGGAATGAATGATAGTGTACAAGACTGCATAATGTCTTACAGATTCCCGATCCTTGCCCAATCATGTGTGAGAGTAGCACCCACGAAACCAAGTTCCAGAAATCAAGATCTAGTTAGTACCCAAGGTGATCCTCTTTATTCGTCAGTGAAGTTCTCCGTTTCAGAAATATCTAACAGATCATTACTGACGAACGGTGGCGTCGTTTCCTCTGCCAATGCATGGAATACTATCATTAACGCTGGACTCGCTGTTTCATATCAAGGTCTTTCAGCGAACTTATAGTATTTGGAAACGGCTATTTCTCTGGTTGGAAATTACAAGTTTGGACTATATTTCGGCGCCCACGCTACAAAAAAGAAGATTCATTGGGGATCTCGTAGTAGCTCAGAGACTCCTTCAGAACGGGGGGTGAACTCGGCAGCTGAATGCAGGAGAAATGGCGAAAGGTAGCCAAAGTCATGGCAACAGTCGTCCACACAGTATCGACTGCGAGGTAAGATCCAGGGCACGATCGGCGGCCAAAACCAAAAGCCAGACTCGTAGAGTTCAGGAATTTTAGACTCCTTGTCCCGATTTAAGTGTCTCTCCGGATTGAATGTTTCGAGGACAGGAAACCAGCTTTCGTTTCGTGCCCTAGGGGAAAAGGAAAATACGCAGGTAAAAGATGGGAAACACGATGAGTACAGTAAACTAACCAAGTGTTCGCAACGACCGTAGTGCCAGCGGGAATATCGAAATCGCGGTAGACGTTCTAAGAAAGTGACGCGCGTTTGTAGCACCTAATAGATTATGCTGTTAGCTATAACGTAGACCTCACACAGCGTAGCGATAAGCAGAAACGCGGTGTTGTATTCACTGTACCTAATAGATTATGCTGTTAGCTATAACGTAGACTACAGAGTACCAATCAGTGACATAAATGAAGTAATATAAGTAGATACTCACCCTCACACAGCGTAGCGATAAGCAGAAACGCGGTGAGGGTGCTCGACAGACCGTATTCAATATATATAGTCCATCCCGACATAAAGGGGTATCGAGCTTGGCCGGCGGGATACGACGGAGCTCCTGCTTGCTAATCCAACAGACGTCAGGCACCAAAACGGCGCGATTCACTGTATCAAGAGACAGGGTTGAAAATGAGACATGCAAACAAGTTACAAGGGCATACCGGACGGAACTGATGGGTTCCAACGAAACATTTCTTGAACGAGAGCATAAACATATGGTAAAGATTCGCGATCTGATAGTCGCTGATGACTGCTGCCATTTCCTGTTGGGCTCGTCATTGAACGTCTGGATACAGGACCGGCAACAAGCAGAACGTTAGATTGTCTCCATCATGCATCACCAACGAGCCCCGGGGCTACCTGAAGACCCTCAGGCAGTCAATAAATGCTTGATCTTGCCAGCTCTACCGGGCCTATGTATCGTTCTCCGGACTTTCGAGATGTGTATGTCGGAGTCAAAATAGATCTTGGAATGAAACGCGTTCCCTTAGGATCACCCTGGCTTAAATTCCTTTGCGGTTGACGCGTCTGTGGCGTGGGAATGCAGCTTTTTTCTTCCGACTTCCGCTATCAAAGGACCCGTTATGCACGACCTACTTTGCAGGTATCCCGAATGTTAACCTTTCGACTTCTCTATGCTGCCCTGATCGGCTCATCCATCAAAAATATCACGCTAACCGAACGATTAGGCCGCCCCAGTCGAAAGCTCGTAATGGAAGCTTTCAGTTCGTAGTAGTCTACTGAAGCCATTGATCTTGAGCGTTTGGATCCTAGACGCCACGCCATCCACCTGCATCAATGTCCATGTACACGCGAGTGTATGTATTGAACCACATATGACAGGACCAGGCGGCCCAGTGTCAATGGCCATCGCAAGAATCAGGAGAGGAAAGATGGTAAGAAGGGGACGAGAGAACATGATTTAATTCGGAGGACTAGGCATGCAGATACTTGACCCTCCAAAGTGTATAGACTGCATGAAATGCCAGCTAGCCAAAATCAGGTTTGAGAACATGCGCAACTGCAGTCGCAGAATGATACCAGGTCCGAGTCTGTTAATCCTATTGAACCATGATTCGTGTCATTTTTTTGTGTTTGACGTAGAGCGTTCGTGACACTGTTGTACGCGCAGTATCTTTTGGGAATGGCCAGTTCCTCGCTGGTAATGTACCAGCAGCAGGGCCAGGTGTGCCGCATACCAACAGTTTGATTTCTCTGCGTTGATTATCGTTATCGTTCACAAAGGCGGTGGACCATCCTCGGACGTTCAAGAACTCTGAAGGTCTGACTATGCGCTGCCTTAATCAAACGGCCTTTCTTGAGGTATGCTGACGGTGGTTGACTCCCAAGTACTCGCTGACGGCGAACAGGATCCTCTGGTTTCTGACGGCCTCTACGTCAATGGCCATTCGGGTCCTGACCGTGTCATTTTCGCTACTAACAGCGAGTACTGTACGTATGTACCTACTTTTAGCTATTACAATTCTGTCTTCGAGGTGGCAGGCGACAGCTGAAGCATGGATGACCTATCTTCCGGATTCAAGGGAAAGGTACTGGCGTCAGGAATTCGAATCAGTGAGCCAAAACGCGTTTCTCAAGCACCAGCCGAGCCCTCCTCCCGGGCCGCCATCAGCATGTATCTTCCATTGTGCTTCAAAGGGCCGTGGGTCGCGGAACGGATGCTGCGATTGGAAACGCAATAAGGGAGATACAAAAGGGAAACTAGTAGTTGAGGAGGACCAATGAGTCTCTGAAGGAAGAAATAGGCTGTCAATGAGACTACCTTGAAGAAGCTGGACCGTCTTCAAGCAAACATCATACACATGGATTCGATTTTAAGGACAATGCGACGAGTAAAAAATAGGAATACGAAACAACGGGTTGTACGTAGCAGGCTGTCTGTACGTTAGTATTGTAATGAGTACGATTCAAAATTCAAATTTTGGTAGAGTTGGGATTTGTAATTGTCAATAGTAGTCGGTCCGGAGGTCCGTACGACGTCAGCGAAAGAGTTCTCTTGATTGACGACAACGATGAGCAAGGTCATTGCGCTCACTATATTTGCGTCCTATTTTCTTTTTATTTTCTATCTCTTTGGACTTATCCTCAAGGATTTCTTTCGGACTACGTCTCGCACGATCTCAGCCAACAAAGTCTCGGTTTTTACTGCTCTGACCATCGTGTCTTTCGGCCATACGTGGTTTTGTAGGTCGCACCTTTTCCAACATGTACAGATCTCTGAATGTGTCCAGATATGTTCAAATTTATGTCGGCAAGTGTTTCTCGACTACAATGGGGTCCGGGTCATCGATCCCATCTCATTGAAATAGTGGAGTTTTTCGGATTACGAGCGCACATCTTTGCATGCAGAAGCAAAATCCTTGTTGAACCGAATTTCATCCTGGCTCGTGGATACCAAGCTTTTTGAGCAGGCTTGGGCTGCCGTATCCTTTGGCTCAATGAATTGGTGGTGGAGCGAACAGTTGTGTTTGTTTACGGGGGGATTCTGGACGGTCTTCGTCTTCCATGAAAGTATGTCATATTGATGATCACTGCAACTCTTAGCTAATGATCCAGGTCGGCGATATGGCATAAAAAACGCTTGGTCGTACATGCTTCTGGGTCAGGTCGTTGCAATCTCCGTGGCTGCCAACCTTTTCCATCTTGCCATTCTATTGTCACCGCAATATTCGAAACCGAAACCGGGAGGGGCTGGGCTAGCACCGTCTATCCTATGGATCCCGGTCCTTTGTTCTCTTTTGAATGTTTTCATCAGTCCCTTCACGAATGACGTAACTTTCTTGCCGAATCTTCTTACCATGCACGCTGTGCTTATGCTACCGCTTCTCTTGCCGCCTGCTAGAGACTTGTTCTCAATCTCATACTCATCACTTTATTCGACGATATTGGTTTCTGCCGCAGTCATGCGACTGAAGACAACTTACCTTGCTATATCTGATGACAACTTCCTTTCTTTCCTAGCATCTGCATTCGAGACGTTACACTCTCATCCCGCTCAATCTTCCATTGGGTATGATATTGTATGGACCACTATCTCGTTTGCGGCGTGGGCGAGGTTTGGCATAAAACATGAGGCGTCGGTTTTCTCCCTGGTCTCCGCGCCAATTGTGTCCGTGGGTGTTATTGCTCCCTATGTCATGCGTTTGACAGCAGGACGAGAACAAAGTTTCATAACGGCAGTTCCTTAGGCAATTTCACCTATCTCTTTCTGATCATGATAAGGTGCTAACGATGTCCCAACAGAATGTAACTCATTTAAATAATGTAACCCAAGGATTTCCTTTACCAACGTTAATACTCGCGCACGAGCTTTTGAGTTCTTCGCACAAGCTTTGCTTCATCGACAAAGCAGAGGCATGTGTTGACCCTAGAAACGTTTTAGATTGATGGGACATCTATTATCCCGGGCTCCTGAAGTAAAACCGCTAGCCCGTGGAGAAAAGTATGATGATGCCCATTATACAGGTTTCCTCTCCGCGTGCTCACTTGCACATAGTCATTGGGACAGCAGTAAAGAAACGGCTTGAAAGAATGCACTTCAAGTTATATAATTCTAGGACATGATCTATGCGCTGGGGCTCTTGGCATGTCAGAAGACCATCGTCGGTCCGGTATGGAGTTCTTCGGAACTTTCCCGAAACTTACAAGTTACCTTGGGGCGTATGAAATTTTCAAATCTTGTCTTTTCATTTTACGACCCCGCACGCCTCTCTTTTATGTACAGATCAGACTGCGCTTTGCCTATATAGCGGGTGCGTGAACTTCATCGCATTCCTAATTCCTGCCTCATTGGTCAGCCTCGCTGTGCAGACTCGTTCTTTGCAAGCAAGCCATGGTTTCAGCAGGCGCATTGGTATGGATTTCGCTCCGTCCTCTTTTGCGGCTGTAGGTCACTCCTGTCACTGACTTTCTTCCCTGTCGTTCTGACTGCTCTCGCAGTGTTATGTGTGTTACGGGAGGATATGCTATCACCAAGGCAGATATATTTCCGCGCGTAGCTGCCCAAGGAGCAGGACAGATAGCTTTGGTGAGTCACTACGATTCATGAGCACAATAAATCTAATGTTATCCATCCGTCATCAGAATATCACAATACCTTGCCTTATGTTTTCGAAGATGGTACCAGCCTTCACGTCGGACAATATCGGCGCCTTAGGTGTGCTGGCTGCCCATAATTGACTTGGCAATATTGTGCCATTCCAACCCCTCACACTCACCGCACGTTCATCTGCATTTTAGGACCTCTCCTCTTGATATGTGTCATCTATCAAGCTTTGAGCGTGGGAATAGCTTGGTTGACTAAACAGTTTTTTTGGGTTCCCCATCGATTTCGATATGGGATTTTAGTGGCCGGTGGTTGGGCGAACTATGGTGATATACGTGAGGTCTTTCCAATGTTTTGGTTTTCCCTCTCTGACGGTGAGTTTAGCGACTGCGGTCATCATGAGCATCACAGGCGCTTCGCCGTTCAATGGGGATTCCGATCAGAACCTGTCTGTCGCGTACATTTCAGTGTTTATCCTCTACTACATGGTCGGTCAATACCTTTTTCAGTAGTGCCATTTCTAATGGAACGCTCAGATGACCTTCTTTCCTATGGGAGGAAACAAGGTGATTGCTTGGGATTTCAAAGGTCCTGACGTAGAACCCGAAGAAGTCAAGGAGAGTGTTCGTCTCAGGCGACAGTTTATCTTTCGTGGTTGGCCCCGTGCTCTACGACAAGCACTGCTTTGTCGCTGCCAAGCGCATGATGAACCGGACGCTGAGAACCAGACTGATGAGAAGATGCCAAGCAAGACCGATCTAGCCGCTGATGACGACAACGATATCCACCATCATCCTCGTCATGGTCGACACGTCTCTTTCAGTGAAGAAACCTCTTCGACTGCAGTCCTGACTGATGTAGATTTTACTTCTGCGCCACCGACGGAAAAACTTCACTCTCCTCAACCATCTCAGACCGCTACGCAGACCTTACCGTACGACGGGTGCGGTTCACGACCCTTGACACCCATAGCAGAAGATCATCCCCCAAGTCCATCTCCCGTGCGACGCCGATGGCAAAAATTCTGTATCACCGCACGGGGGGTCCTCAAATCTCTCCTCACTCCCGCGTCGATCACCATCCTCATTTCGTTCCCTATCGCCCTCATTAAACCGCTCAAAGCCCTGTTCGTCGAGGTCGACGGATACTACATGCCCTCTGCTCCCGATGGAGAGCCCCCGCTGGCATTTGTCACGGATTTTGCAGAATTCATGGGCGCCGCGTCGGTGCCGCTGGGTCTTATCTGCTTAGGCTCCGCTCTGGCGAGGTTGAATGTTCCGAGGAGTCAGTGGCCGCATTTGCCGTTGGGTGCTATTTTCTCGTTGGCGGTTGGGAGGATGTTGCTCATGCCTGTGTTTGGCGTTTTGGTCTGTGAGGGTCTGGTGAATGCTGGTGTAATCTCCAGAGATGATAAGGTCTTGCGGTTCGTTTGCATGTAGGTTTATTTAGTTCTTAGTTTATTTTGCAGACGCTGATGAAGGACGACGTAATAGCTTATTTTCTTGTCTACCCACCGCGACTACCCAGGTATATTTATGTTTTCTGCGCAGTTATCTCAGCTAACCTCTGTGATAGGTGTTTGTAACACAAGTATACAGTGGAACCGGAAGCGCAGAACACTTGTCTGCTTTCCTGATCCCCCAATACATCCTAATGTTCCTTTCCATGACCGCTCTTTCTGCATACACCTTGCAAATGTTGTTTTGACCAAATTGGCCCTATAGAGTTCTAGACAAATTGAAGGCAACTGTACGAATACATTGCAACGATACATTCGTGTAATATACATCTTTTTCATATCAGGCAGGAATAGGCACCTCAGCTTGGGGAGTAAGCCTGACCGCGTGCCTCCTGAGGGCTGTGTCGAAGTCATCTGTCGCCGAGTGGACGGTGAGCCGGTTATCCTGGGCATCCATCAAATATCAGCGGCACGTAAAATCAATGGAGGAGGGTAGGACTCACCCAAACGACGACCGTTCCAGGTTTATACGTCGCTCTCACTTGGAAATCGGAGCCCTTCGCAATATGATCAAAGAGGAACTTGAGCAGATACTCAGATTCTTCTGCTTTGTATCCCACAATGCGCTTGGTGAAACCCTGGTTTACATACAGAGCTTTCTCTCCTGTTACTGGGTGTTCCCGGACGAGGGGATGCTAATAATGCCCGTTCAGACGTTAAGGCATAGACCAACAGGACATGAACCAACCTCGTTCTCTACAGGCTCCCGGCGAACAGGTCCTCCTCGCTGTCGAGAATGTTCGGCTTGAGGAACAGCTGTATGCACAGCCCGTAGACCTTCAAGTCGTTTCTTAAATTCGGGAGACAGACGATTGTACGCCTCGACCTGGGACGTGAAGAGTGTGTCTCCACCACTTTCGGGCTGAAATAGATGAAGTCAGTGAATTTGTCAGACGCAGAAGCCAGAAGCTGTTGACCTGGTCCAGAATGAAGAAGATCGTGGTACCTGGAGGTTGGCGCTCGTACGACTGCGGAGATAAGAATATTTAGCAACTTAGTGGATGAGGAAGATAGCACATACAATGTCAGAGTGCCAACTCGTTTTGTTGATGCGGTCTTCTCCAAGGTATTCACGGAATCCAGCGTGATCAATGTCCCTGTAGACTACAATTTGTTCAAATCTTAGGACCACGATAAAGCTCTACGGGTCTCTCACCGACATGGAACTCTGGATAACCCTTTACATTTCCCGACGTAGGATGTCTCTGAATCGGACCAAAATGCCTGCAGAAAAGGATGATCAGCATATCGCAAATTGTATCAGTAGACATAGCGCACTTGGCAATCTCAATCTGCCGTTCTGGAGTGAGATCTTTGAAGTCCTGGTCGCGGAAGAGAAGGAGCTTTCGCTCAGCCGTGAATAAAGCAAGCTCGTCCAGACCCTCCTTCGTCAGCTCAGAGATCTGAATGCCCGTGACCTCCGTTCCGATATATGGGCTGAGAGTCTTGGTACTCGTGTTGGGCCCAAGAAGATGACGTTTGGCACGGTCAGCACGGGATCCGGGGTCGATGTGCTCTGCCGGATCCGTCAGTCAAGTGGGCGGTGGGCCGTAGACACTTAGATTACCAAAGACTTGGGTTGGAGGAAACTTCTCATCGCTGTCCCAGTATGGTAGATAGAAGGGATAACTGGCTCCTGGTGCAATCTACATGGACGGTGAGGATGCAGGAGAGTAGCAGAGCATAAGCAAAACGCACTGTCTGTTTGATGGTAGATTTCTTGGGGGTGGGGATTTCTTCAGCCTTGGATAGCTCTGCTACGGAGGGCGACATCTTAAAGTGAGAGCTTGGATGTAAAGGTGGCCATCTGACTGGTCCTTTTATGAGATATCCGGAGATAAGCTTCGACACCACTAGCATGCGATATTTCTACAGGTCGACGTCATCGAAAGACTGAGGGACATTGCAGAATGATTGCGTTCAATGGCGCGAGCACGCAGCTTCAATACATCCAAAATAAGTTCAGGTCACAAGTCTCCAACATAACTAAGCACCTTCAGGATCTAGAGCATGATCCAAGGTAGGGTCATTAACGAAAACTGCTCCCAAGATAGGTTTTACTAATGCCGAGATTGTTGCAAGAAAGTTGAGGTCCTTTCTGGATATATGCATTCCTTTGTGATCCCCCACAGCACCTTGAGGAACGATGTCAACGGTTGAACCGCCGGCCAGCATGCTAAAACTGTATCCGCGTTTGCAGAATGCCTGATCTACATATAGATAGTCAAGTAAAGTGTAATTCCGGAGGGTTTGCATTTCACACCGTGTGAGTAGTACAACCAATTCAAATGCACTCTCGCAGAAACAGAATTTCTCGATAGGAAAGCCAACGGAGCTTGTACTCAAGTCTCCTTCTATTCCTTCTTCGAGTCACGATGCGAGGGTGTCGGACTCAAACGAGTTTTTAGAAAAAAACGCAACTCTTGTGCAGCAGGGCAGACGTTCCTATGTATCGAGTTAAAAAGATACCGTAAGAGCTTGTAGGACCAAAACAAAACCTTAGTCCACCCTAGTTATATCCTTCAGAAAATCAGTCGCCGGGATTATTTCAGTTTGGTAAAACCGGAAGGAACTATCGAGAGTCTGTCGACGGTCGATGGTTGACTGCACATAGTGGACGGCTCAGGAGGTATGTGGACATTGTCGAATGGGCTGATGGCAGGGCAGGTCGTGCGGCAGATCGATGGTCGTTGGCAAACAGTGGCGGGATTTGCCGCCGCATTCCATTACTTGACTATACTAGATCTCTAATATTTTCTCTATATTGGAGGTGTCTTCAGCATCTTCAGGCCATCCCAATGCCGTATGAAGCATGTATGAATCGGGGCCGATGCTGAGTACAGCACTGAGTCCGGGATTTAGTGCGTCAAGGAGCTGCTTGAATCGTGGACTGGAATTCATTTGCACCTCCCAGGGACAGACAATATTGTATTCTCAGGGAATTCCTGTATAAAATACTTCAATTAACCTCATCATTACCGTCTACTACATGTGTCGTTGACTTCGGGCATTCAATGCAACTACGACAATAATCGCTACCTCAAGGGAAACCACGATGCTCTTCTAAAGCCCAAGTGCAGCTCAGGCTACTAACTCTGTTCTGTAACACCTTGTCTAGTCTAACTTTCCAGAAGCGGCCGGAAACGAAGTGTAGGACAAGACTTGAATGCAGCACTGCGAGGTATCGTCACCATGGTCATGAGTAGGCCAGGGAAGGGCAGTAGAGCAGCTTGGATAACACCGCTGAGAAGAAGAGCACCACGCCAGCTAGTGAAACCAGGAACGTTGATGCGAGGATAGGAGCTCCAGGGTTAGAATTACGCCAGAGTTGATCTCTTTATTCGTGCGCTAGTCTTCAGTCAGGCATCAGGCGTCGTTAATGGCTTCCGCTCTAGCACAGAGGTAGCTTTGTGACTTGTCATGGGTCGTCGCCTTCATCTTGCCAGTCACCTTCACATTTCGGTGCTCGGCTGCACTAATTTCCAACAATGCGTGTACGGTCGATTCTGGTGTAATTCAATTGTCCCGACGACTGTACGGGTTTGATTGTGGAACTGCCTTCGGAATCGCTCATCTTTCCATGGCTGTGACGTTAATGACGTCTCTGAATATTGGCTGGTCTTCACTTCTCACTTCTCATAAAAGTTGATATTACTATGAATTAGTCTTTAACTAGGGTGACACTGCTTCTTCATCGGAAATCTTACTTCTCACTGAATACTTAGGCATTATGAATACGGACGCAACAGATCATATTTTTGCAGTACTTGGGAGAATAAATTAGCTCAAACACCAACGTTGACGGGGTTACAGCCTAGAACAACAGCTCCGTTCTACCAAGATGGTTTGTCAGTCGTTCGTTTCACGGTGTCACATCCACTCACGTAGTTGTTACCTGTGCAGCAGGCAGCCTGGCTAGAGCATTGATTGCTTCCAACACCAATGACGGTGATGGGGTCGCAAGTGAGCCCACTGTGGACAACGAGTTAGCGATGGATGTAAACCGCCATCAGACATGGACACCTACACAGGGACGGTAATATCGCCAACGTTGACACCGACGTCGGCTAGGGCGGTTTGGACAGCTTTGGATGAAGGCTATCGATTGGTCGGTCAGTGCGACGTCTTCACTTCAAAAAAGAATGTCATGAATCTCACGTCCTGAACGGAGTTACAGCACTGGAGAGTGCCGGAGGAACAGCTGTTGGCGACCGCAAGGAGAGGCAAGGCCAGGGCGGTGAGGGTGAAGGCAGAGAGACGAGCGAACATCGTGAGCTAGCTGGGTAAGTTAACAACTGAGAGTTGATGATCCTTGCCTCTCAATTTACCATCTTTTATACCCTCTAGCTCGCGCCGTCACTGCATATAGGACCGTTGGAGCATGAATGCCGCGTACTGTTACGCGACATCCATCGTTTGCGGACGGCGTTAAAGACGTGGCCGTTGTGCTAGCGAAGACGAAAATATGGCAGCGCGCGACGTCATATCCGCAGCGATGCGTGTGATTTCTTCTCTTCGGGCTCAGCATCATTGTACTAGCTCGCCATTTTCAGGCAAGATAAATATGATGGATCTCTAAGTGAGGTAAAAACACGCTTCAATCTCAAGTTTAATATTAATACGTAATAACCGCTATTTCTTAGGCTCCATAGCATGTCAGGCTTGACAGTTGAAAGCTTGATAGACTCTTATTCGGCGAAGCATCGTTGAGCGTAAGGCATAAGTTTACCTTTGTCCCCTGATTCATCAACCCTTATCTTGTCTCGAGTTGGGCGAGGGAACCAATGAGACGCGTCTGGCTTACTGGCTCAGTTCGCACCGGTCGTGTTCACGGCGCCCATATTTGCCGTGTTCGCTTTGTTCATTCCTATGATTTCATATACACAGGCACTAACTGACGGGGTACTTACTAATCATTTTTGGGCTTTGGCCGATAAGATATATCGTTTGTTTTCTGATAGGATCTTCACTCAATTTATTGTTTGCCAACAAAATGGTAGGATTGTGGTCTTGACGCAACTCGTGACCCTGTGAAAGGATGGTAGAACGGTTTACTTCAGATTCCGGATCTCCGAACACACCGCTAGACGTCCAATGTCCACTCACACACAGTCGCCTATAACTAATTTAGCGTGTGCCAAGACTTTTCATCCCTCGACGACAAATACTGATGCCCGAGCTGACGGGAAGAGGCAAAACTTCTAGCAATAGGAGTTCAAGCGTCACGATTCGACAGGTAGCAGCGTATCGGGCATTGGAAAAATCCGATTTTCGATGCCGCGATACGAAGAGATGTATAAGCTCTTTCCTTGTATGTCGGATAGCTTCTAACCTTTTCTGCAGTTCTCGAATCCTCATCCTGCGTCTGGAGCCATGGAGGAAGCAGAAGGAGCGAACGTAAACAGCAAAAGAATCTTCCACTAGTATAATGTACTTCGCTTCACTAACCGTATCAATCACACCACACGAGAACTATTGTAAGGAGCTTGATTGTTTCTTCTGGAGGATTCGGTAAAGTCTCTGTAAAGCAGCGATCTTGTCTGCCGCCAAGTCTCGATCTCGCTCAAGGCCTTAAATAATGTTGTGCTCAGTATCGACTGTATTTTCGTTTATCGATAGTCTCGTACTGGAACCTCCAATCAAGGTAATACTGTTATCTGGATTGTCGGGCATCTCACTTACGATTCAGGCATTTCTTAATCATTTCTCAACTATAAATTCCGACCCCAAAGATCATATTTCAAAGTACCCAGAGACAAGGTAAGGAGAAAAAACTGGTTCAAACGCCGACGTTGACGGGGATACAGCCAAGAACAGCAAGTCCGTTCTATCGAGATGGTTATTGTCAGTTTTTCCCATTACGGTAACGCTCCCTACTCACATAGTTCTCCCCTGTGCAACAGGCAGCCTGGCTGGAGCATTGATTGCTTCCAACACCAATGACGGTGATGGGGTCGCAAGTGAGCCCACTGTGGACAACGAGTTAGCGATGGATGTAAACCGCCATCAGACATGGACACCTACACAGGGACGGTAATATCGCCAACGTCGACACCGACGTCGGCTAGGACGGTTTGGACAGCGTTGGATGAAGGCTATCGATTGGTCGGTCAGTGCGACGTCTTCACTTCAAAAAAGAATGTCATGAATCTTACGTCTTGGACAGAGCTGCAGCACTCTAGGGTGCCCGAAGTGCATCCTGAGCTTCCGCCGCGAGGAAGCACGGTGGCGGACGCAAAGATCGGGAGAGCCAGGAGGGTGAAGGAGAACGCAGAGAGGCGAGCAAACATCATGAAGTAAGTGGAATAATTGTGAGTGGTCTCTGGATTGACGACTTTCCTTCCGTTCTTATACGATCTAAGGCTTCCATTATTTCCACCGAAGTGTCTGCTGTTCCGAACAAAATAAAAAAACATCTAGCCCGACGTGCGCAAGTCTTGTACCGCCGTACTATTCGGCGTCTGAAGAATGGAATTTTCACGGCCTTACAGCTGCGCAAGCGCTGATATGACGCCAATGAAACTGACTGCTCTATTCTCGTTCAGGAGGTGCGTTTAATGAACCTAGAAATGACATGGGAGTCACGGAACCGAATATCAATTGGTTCTTTCGCTGTTTGTGAGAAAGTCCTTGAACACAGAAATAAATTGTACCGGAGCTGAATATTGGCAGCATCAAATTTTGAGTGAACAACCGGCTTCAATATTCAATCGACTCGCAATATTTCTCGCGTGTTCTCGTGTCTCACTGCTTAACATTTGACCGACGGTTTGTTGTCCATATAGTCCAAGATAATTGTCTCTTGAATCCTAACGGGGCAAGGACTCCGTTCAAAGAATAAATGATTGGAGAATGGCGTACAATCATACGACTATGAATTTTCCTCACAGAGGAGAGTCAGGACAAGACGTTGATAGTTATGATAGCTGTATCCACGTAATGGCGTCTACACAGTTGAATGATCATGTACACGATGGGCCTCCGGACCCAAAAGAAATTTCAGATATTTTCAATGCTCAATGCATTTTCATTTTTTTGTCATTTAACCGTACGACTAAATACAATTATTATCCCTACTTCAATACAACTTCGAGTCGAAGATCACATTCCGGTACCGGACCAAGATCGTGAATGATGAGGAAGAGGGAAAAGAACGGTACGACTTCGGCGGCCTGCAATTGCGGAGCCGAAGTGATTATCCGGCAACCGGCAGCGTTCGCTCTCGCATCTCGAGAGGTCGATACCATGACCGGTTTAGTCGTAGTTATAAGTAATAGCTAGCTCAGGACTGAATCTCCGCATTCCGGAGATGTCACAGAAGTCAGACTTGTTCAGTGCTTTGGGATTCAGAGTCTGTATAGGTGGAGGTTGGTGTGAAAATGGTTGAAGGCTACAACATTGAAGTGGAAATGTCAGTGTACAATAGTGAGGCATGGGTCAGGAGAAGACAGCAGACCATTATCTGTTGAGTGCAAGCCAATGTATTATACCTGTGAGACTAAATTCTCTGATCCTGGAGACTGTTCTCAATCAATTGCATTCAAACAAATAGCACACTTACTGTGAATTCAGGAAAGGGACAAACAATAGTAAAATGATGATTCCAGTGTCAGTGCTCTGGAATGTATGTATCATCAGTAGTAGTCATGGTGATGTTTGAAAAGAAAATACTTCTTAGCAATTGTCATTCATAGCAAGTGCCTTTAGTGTCACTATAATTTCTGCAGGATCTCTGATGGCAATATGGGGCTGCTTCCTGGACTGACTGCTCTCATGAGAAGGGGAGCCAGACCTCTTCAACTGTTCACTTGGAACTGCAGTGTTGAGGTCATCTGGAAGTCTCTTATCCACATCATGCATGTTAGATTCCCATCAATATGATCTCTGTAATCAGGCCCATGTCATAACAGATCATACTTCCTCTGGTTTAAATGCAGGAATCCTGGCTAGTGAGGCAAAGATCAAGTATGATGATATGCATCCATTTGGTGAGGCTCTTTGCAATGCCAAAATACAACATCCCAATGCTGATTTCACCCTATATAAAAGCAGTGTCACCAAGGCCTTTTTGAATTTACCAGCACATCCTCTATGGCAAATTCATCAAGTCATCCTTGTTGACAACTGATATCACATTGTTAGATGGCTCATCTTTGAGAGCTGAGCTTCACCCAGAATTTGGTGCTCAGTCTCAGCCTTGTTGTGTTGGAATCCATCATCTCAATATCACTGACCTCCATGTTTATATGGATGACTTCTTTGGCTGGGATTTCACCAATCACCAAGTTTTCTATTGAGGTCAGCAGTGATCAGCACAGCAAGTACAACTTTTGATATTTTGAGAATATATCTCCTGTCTCTTTGATGATCCAAAGTGTATGGTCAGACTCTCAAAATCATCAGTTTCTGGATCAATGCCAACCAGAGAAGTATCTTCTTTACACAGCAGTCTGTTATCAATGCTGAATCTGAGGTCAACTTGTTTCTTTCAACATCCAGAAGAACACCTATTCTACAGAAATGGCAGCATTTAGGTAGATATCTGAACTGGGTACTGAATGTTCTACCATGGGGCTGTTCTGCTCTTTCTTTCTTGTATAGAAAAATGGCTGGAAAGACTCACTCTTTCACAAAGATCTTCATCAATGATGCAGTTAGAGAGGATCTCTCCTGGTTTTCATCTATTCTGCTAGATTCTGTAGGCATTCATTTTGTTGATTCAGCTCTCTAGACTGACTCAGAAGCTGACATGATATTTTGGATGGATGCCAGCTTAAAAAATGCATTATCATTCATTTTTGCAGGAAATGGTTTCATATATCAGCTCCATCCACCTTCATCTAAAACTATGATCAACATCTTCTTTCTTGAACTTGTCACTATTCTTTCAGTCATCCATTATGCAGTATCTCTACCCAAACCCCCTTGTCATCTTTTACTTTTCACTGATAGTCTCAATTCTGTCACTGTATTTGATTCTCTATCAGTATCAGAACCTCTTCACAATAGACCCTTACTTGGAGCAGCAGGTCTGATACTCCAATCAGGAATTGATGTTCATGTTCAATATATTGATGGAAAAGATAATATTCAGGCTGATATGCTTTTCTGACTCCTTTTGGATGAATATCATTATAAATTCCCCACTGACTGCATCTGCACTTTCACTTCACCAAGAGACCTACTGCCAGCATGATGGAGACAATCCTTCTAACTGCACTGAGCAAGCATGCTCCTCACATTGGTCACCCAGCTTCCTCCCTTTCTCTTCTTGATGAATGTGTTTTTTTTCTCTAAGCTCATATGATTGAGCTTGGAGCAGCAAAGAGTTATGCAACAGGAGCACATGACTACATATGGTTTTGCATTACTCATGCATTGCCTCTTGAACCAACACCACTTACTCTCAGCAGGTATATTGCCTATACATCCCAGTTCATCTCATCTGGCCCAAAATACTTGACTGGAGTCCATCACTTTCTAAAAGACCTCTATCCTGACTTCAATGCCAGTCAGAAACACCACATAGTACAAGCTACTATCTATGGCTCAAAAAAGATGAGAGGTGATCCTGCATCCCAAAAACTACCTCTTCAATTATCCCATTTGATCATCTTTTGTCTTCTCACTAACATCTCATATTTTTACAATGACCTCCTATTCACCATCATACTTGCTTGCTGCTTTTATGGCTGTCACTGGTCAGGTGAGCTCATTTGGAAAAATGACAAACAACTTCAGGACTTTCACAAAATAATCAAATTCTGAAAGAATGATGTACAATACCATCTTTCTTACAACAAATCTGACCCCTTCTATCATGGTACTGACATCCTACTCACACAACAGAAGCTCACAGACCCAGTTATACTCCTATCACAATATATAAAATATCAAGATCTTCTTCATGGCCTATGTGCTTCACTCTTTATCCATGAAAATGATGATATCCTATTGCAAAATTGGTTTGACAAGAAGTTTTTTGCAATTCTAGGCAGAGACTTTGGTGGTCACTCTACTAGAGCTGGAGGAGCTATATTTTATGCATCACTCAGACTCTCAGAATCCATTATACAAGCTCTTGGATATTGGTCTTCTAAAACATGGACCACTTACATTCAGGAACACCCTGCCCTACAAACACGGCTGCAATTGGCATATCTATGCACTCATCATTCTCTCCCCTAACTATTTTTTCTGCAACCCATTCATTCTTCTTAAACCACCTTCACTCCCATCTCTCACCAATCAAAAGCATGTAATAGCCATTCACATGTTGTGATTGATTTGAGGATAGTCACTAAGGCCCTTATTATAGCTGGTTACATCCCACTTCTTGAGCAAGCAGTAGAGGCCAGTAGTATGTGCAACTTTAGTCTGGCACCTTAGACCACTCAGCCACCTCACTATGTAAATGACTGCACTTTTCTTTGTGTGGGTGTCATCTATTTTATCTCCCTGCAGGTGTTCCCACCCTTCTGTCCTGGAATTGTCAAGCTTGTACTGATACACATTGGTTTTCCATTGCCTATCAGAAAATGACAAGTACATAAAGGTATCCTATGAAAACAATGATATTGCTTATATATGTCAAAGCTTATATGCATGCATGCATGCAACTTCCCATCTTGTTGAGATAGCAATTTCAAGCAAGTGTAAGAATATAATTGAAGATATGATGCCAGTCAGTGGCAGCTGACTTGGATTATGATCCAGATTTATTTAGTATTTTGTAGAAAGATCTTGAAGTAATATAAAATGTATTTAAGTAGAACATCTCTCTCTTGAGAGGCCAATTCTAATCCTCTGCACATTACTCTGCTCTCTACTTATAACAGATTATGGGCCCTAGCCATAATTGAACTTACATTACTACTCACTTCACACTCTTTTATACTTTACATACACATATAAAACTGCATGTATAGCCAGTCCATGTATAGAATTGACCCTCTTAAGGGTCCAGAAAATTACTGACATGGAAAATCAGGATGATCAATATCCTAACTGATTTAGAACTAATTGATTATGCAGATGGAAGCACTCCAGTTCTGGCAGACATGACACTGGTGGCAGATTGGAAGAAGAGTGATAGGAAGACTCTTTCAACAATAAGATTGTGAGTTTCAGATGGCTCACTGATATATATTGCTGGTTCAAAGACTTCAGCAGAAGTCTGAAAAGCTCTGAAAGATATGTATGAGTCCAAGGGACCCATGGGAATTGTCCTTTTCAGAAGAAAATTCTTCAGAGCTCAGTGTGAAGAAGGAGAAAACATAGAGGAGCACATTAGGACTATGAGATTGTATCAGGAGGAGCTGGCATCCCTTAAGCAGAAAGTTGAGGAGAAAGACTTCTCTATTACACTGCTTACATCACTCTCAGAATCATGAAATTTATTCATCTCATCAGTGGATACTGC